TTCGATTGCTCGAAATTTTGGTAGAAAAAGATGCCATTTTGATGTAGTTACGTGGTGTTGAAGAAGATGGAGCTCTGCAGCTCGATTGTGGTTGGGGTGGGCCCGTGCTTACGCGAACAAACTTCTGATAGGTGACTGTATAAATGAGTTAGGAGATGGATCGATCAATGAAATGCAATCGTAGCTACAAGCGCTCTATCTATCTTCAGATATCACCTTACTCCTTAGTCAGATTATGTTGCTCCAGGCTCTGATCCCGACTTAGGGACCTTATAGATTACTAGGTCCTTCAACAACGTTGCTGCTGAGGCTAGTCTTAGTTGATACTAACCAAAACTAGTGCTCAGAAGGAAAAGATTGCTTATGGCGATATAATCCCTTTGGCTCTATCCCATCTGCTGGCGACGCAGCCTCATCAAAATACTTGACAACGGACATATAGCCAGCTGCAAAAATCCTATAAGGCTCAGCTGATGCCAAGCGCTTATAGTACCAACAAGGCAAATATTATGTGTTACGATCATTCGATCTACAAAATTTCAGCTACTTGACTAAGCTAGGAATTAGTCTAGCCTGTTTCGATGTATTCTCATCACCTTTCTCAGCCTCAGCTGAACCCTCTAAATTCTATCCTCAGTGCTGTTTTTAGCCCATATTCTATAGCCCCAGAGTCTCACTGTAATCTTATATATATAAATAATGCCTTATTTACAGTAGCCACAAACATTCGCACAAACATTCTCAAAGACATTAAACACGCTTTCACAGCTTTCGACACCATGAGATTCAACATTTTGCCAATGATCGCTATCGCGGCAACTTTACCAAGTGTTTCTCTATCTGCCCCGACGACTGATTCTATTGGCATCTTTCCCCGCGACAACACCGCTGCTATAATTGGTACCTGGGATGACCAGAAATGTGGCATCTCGAAAGTAGATGACAACGTCGCTATCCCTGATGACCGCCCCACCGGTAATTGCAAGGAGTTGCGTGGGAACAGTATGCAGGTCTTCTGGGTCAAGAAGGGGTGCGTAGGTACGTATATTGACCCGCTCCCAAAGCGCCACAAATGGACAGTTTAATGAGTACCTTCATAGTTTTGCTTTTCAAGAACAGAGGCTGTAAAACGGACCCAACACCCGCAACCTCGCTGGCGAATGGCTGGAATCAATGTTTCAACAATAGTCGATATGTGAGCTGGACAACATATTGTGGGTAGAGTGGTGGACAAGGTACTATTGGTAGGGTGTGGTAATGTGATTTGGGTGACGGGATCTGTAGATCGCATAATTATGGCATAATCTAGACAGGGCATTTAAGATTTTGTAGACAATGCTAGCTGTGCGCGTGAGATAAACCTCGCTAAGGACGTGTTTGGTTGCGCGTTATGCGCCTGCATATTTAAGGCCCGTTTGGGTGTAGAGCTCAATAGCGAAGCCTAACTAGTATCGTGGCTGCACACATAGACCTTCTGTAGGTCACGAAGGGGCGGTTTGTCTGGATTTCAACATAATTTCGGATCTACTACTATTGGTCTAAACTTATGGAGCGCGTGCGAGTTCGGATCCGAACGTCACTCCGAAACCTCGGCTCCGACTTATCGGCCAAACAGGCTGGGCATTAGCGGGATATGAATAACACATGCGCATGTTCATAAGGGTTCAGCGTAGGGTTTAATACATCACTCTCTAATACCAGTACTCGTACAAAATGGTCTCTGATTATCTGACTCTTCTTTTTCTCCTTCTGCGTCACTTGCCCTCGTTCGCACTTACAGCCTCGACCCGCAAGATTAAGGCTGTAGTCCACCGTTACACCTACAAGTCCTTGCCATCAACGCAAACTAAGAATGTGGTCGTAGTCGGCGGTTCCTTCACAGGATACTTTACAGCAAAACACCTGATCGAGACTCTTCCCAGTGGATATCGCGTTGTACTCATCGAGAAGAATTCACATTTCAATTATGTGTTTGCCTTTCCCAGATTTAGCGTGATCCAGAGGTACGAGAAATTTGCATTCATTCCATTTCAAGGATTAGAAAAAGGAGCACCAAAAGGCATATTTGAGTTTGTGCAAGGAAAGGTTGATAAGGTGAATGAGCGCGTCATCAGACTGGAGGGTGGAAAGGAACTGGAATATGAATACCTAGTGATTGCCACTGGCACGTCATCAGCAATTCCCAGCAAGGTAGCAGCAACGGAAAGTCTTGATGCGCAACGAGAATTGAGAGGCTTGCAGAGTAAAATCGAGAAGGCGGCACGAATTGCGGTTGTTGGTGGAGGCGCAGTAGGTGTCGAGCTTGCAAGCGATATCAAGGACTTTCATCCTGAGAAAAGTGTTGTGCTGTTACATTCAAGAGATAGGCTGCTCCCAAGCTTTGGAGAACGGTTACATCAGTACGTAACGAAAAGGTTTGATGAAATGGGCGTTGAGGTCTGGCTCAATGAACGGCCACAGGTCTTGGAGGGTAGTCACACCCTCAAGCTCAAACGAGGCGGAGAAGAGACCTTTGATCTCATCGTAGGTTATCCCTTGGGTGTCGAAATTCCCTCGATCAGTCAACTCACGAAGCACAGATCCCATGTACTGGTCAGCGGCCAAACAGCTCAGTCATATCCAGCCTCTCGTTGGAGTCAATATCAAAGGAGTCTTCCCACATTCTTGTCAGACCAACACTGCAGATCGCTGATGAGCGTTTTCCGAATGTCTTCGCTGCGGGCGACGTTGCAGCTTCTGGTGGACCAAAGATGGCACGAGCGGGTTATATGCAGACCTTCGTTGTTGTTGACAACATCTTATCCCTAATCAATGGGAAAGATAACATGAAGGTCTACAAGCCGATGCGTTGGCTAGAAGGCTCGATCAAATTGACTTTAGGAAAGGTAAGCATTATCGATAGTCCGTATCATTGAGAGTGAGCACTGAATATCACTAGGAACACCTTGTGATGTATACGAATGAGTCTGCTGGAAGGGACACGCTCGTGGCATCAAATTCTGGGAAGATTGACATAGATGTCAAAAAGCAGTGGCGCCAGTTTGGGGAGGATATAGCTCAGCCATAAGAAACCGTAGCGTAACAATATTCAAATAGACACTCAGAAGCCGATACAGTTGGTCTTAGAAAGAATTGGCCACACAACACTACACCATAGCGACAGCCCCAATAAGCGGTGTAGCTATATATTTGCCTACAATGACAATATACTCTAACTCATTTCGCTCAATCTGTATCGACTATGGCCTTAATATCTTGTATCCATCTGGCTTATAGCGTATCGGACTATTTTTCTCAAAACAGAATAGCAAGTCTCACCTCGGCTAGCTAGAATTAATGTGTACTTAGCTTAAATATTTCAAAGAGAAACACGTACTAAAACCTCGAAGTTTTGGCCCCAAGGTTCATTAAGAAAAGTCCTACCTTTGAAAACTACATGGACTATTCATGTATTTGCATAGCCAAGTCCCACTAGCGAAACCTGCACAGACTACACTACTCATGTGACTGCATAGCTTAGCGTTCAGCCTCGGATTGTTACTAGATGTTTGTCCGCGGGCTCCGTATCTCAAATCAGGAGACACAGGTAGGTAAATACTAGATGTAGAACGGTGTAGATAAAGTGAGTGTGAGTAGATTGTCTGCCCCTTATCCTGTGTTAAAAACTTCACCCAATAATATATTTCTAATCGTTCTTGAACAAGGCTTCATATATCACTAAAGTACGTTAGCAACCACAATGGCAACCTACAAAGCTCTGGTATTGGAGCAGTTCGGCACGTCCCTGGTCCTGAAAGATGTTCAAACTCCACCTGTTACGCTCGGCTCAGCGCTCGTCGCACCACTCTATGCGATGATACCTCCGCTACTTCCGGTGCTGTTATCTGGTGCTTTCAAGGAGCAAGTAAGTTTATCACGAAAGAAATTTTGTATTGCTCCGACTTTCGATTCCACCCTGCATTAACATGCTGTATAGCTGTTGTTTCGAACTTCCTTACTCAATACCAAATCACCTGTCAATTCCATTGCTATTTGTTCTAGCACCGCTCCGCTACAGATTACATCTAATGTTTCTAGTATCCAAACTTTCCCTCCCTACACTCTGTGCTATTCCTGCGTTGCACGTATCCTTTCTCTTCCCCCCGATGCCATCACCCTTCAGATCGGCGACCTTGTGTGGGTCGATGCCACGATCCGAAGCCGCGACAATCCACACGCCGAAATCATTCGCGCCTCCCTCTGTGGCGCTGATCCGGGCTCGCTGACCCTCACGAAGAGCGTCTCGAACGAGGGGGTTTTTACTGAGAAATTGCCTGTTCCGCTAGAGGGGATTTTTAAGTTAGAAGAGAAATTGGTGAAGGGGAAAGAGGAAGGTGGATTGGGATACAAGATTAGTGACTTTGCGCTTTTGGGATCTTACCTGTTAGCAGTAGGAGGGTTGGCAAGCTCGAATATCGGGGTGGGTGATACTGTTATTGTGGGGCCGGCGACAGGCAAGTTCTCAGGGGCCGGGGTGTTAATTGCATTGGCAATGGGTTGTAAGGTTGTGGCTACAGCTCGTAAAGCTGAAAAGCTTAAGATATTATAAAGGTACTATGCTGCGAAAGAGATGTTATCAACGGTTGTTCTAACGGGCGACACAGACATGGATGTGAAGGCACTGAAAGATGCGACAGGTGAAAAAGGAGCGCACGCGTTTGTGGACTACAGGCCTTCCTCTTTAAAGGCAGAACTGCTGTTTTTCATGGCAGGCATCAAGTCGCTCCAGCGTGGTGGAGAGTTTATTTTGCTGGGAGGCGTATTTGCTGATCTTAAACCCTCGTATCAAGAGATCATGCCGCGCGAAGTGAAGATCCGGGGTAAATTCATGTATCAGAGAGAGCATATAGAACGCTTCTTGAGAATGGTTGAAACAGGGAATTTGAAGATCGGTCCAGAAGCGGGTTCGAAGGATGGGTTCAAGTATTGTAGTCTGGATCAGGTGGAAGAGGCATTGAATACGAATTCAGGATGGGTGTTTGGGGACCAAAGTTTGTTTACCCATAATAAGTAGTGAAAAAGCGCGATGATCTCTTAACCTTACCAATCACAATTATTAAATAGCTGGTATTACGATACTCATCACTATCAAGACATAAAAGTATCTCTACAGGCGTCTATATATTCACCTTTCCCCAGTGACTCAATTCAAAAGTAACACATTGATTTCAGTATTGGCAGCGGTGCAGTATAAGGGTAGGGTAGTCCACCATGCAGCTAGAGTATATATAATTAATTCATAAATTAATCAAGTCTAAGCAATTCTTGATTCACGGAAGCATTCTCTTCCGTGGCTATAGATCATGGTGACAAATAAAAGGTGGCTCGCGTCCAATATAGTAAGACTAATGGTCCAATACTATCCACGACCGTTCACTAAAATAGCCGCATACTTAGCTTTAAAAAGAGAATATAAGCGTATATTGTATTCACGTTGACTATACTCCGGTTGGGGACGGCCCGGACCTAGGGCATGACGCTATCAGCCCCGCGTTGACGCAAGATGTTACCTCAATTGCGCTATCAAGGCCGCATCGCACACCTGTTGACGTGATATACTAATCTCATTGCGACACTAAATTTTTTATTATATCGAGTCTCTTCGCTGTAAGGCTTTCAGATATCGATCATTAACATGGCTACTGCTCAAGTATTAAGAACTGGTCCGGTTGGCCAACCCGATATCGATTATGCTCCCGATCTCGACAAGTATCTTGCACGTGTTGCCCGCCGAAAAGCTACTGAAGAGCTGTCGAGTCAGCTACCAGATGGATTTCCCCACGAACTGAACTCTGACCTCGTATGGAATGGAAGCGACATCACTGAAAGGTACAATTTCGTCTACGAACTCAATGGGGAAGAGCTTCAGGAGATTGATGATGCGCTAGAATACTTCAAATGTAAGCTATTTTGATGCGTATAATTGAGGTGTACTGAAACGACAACAGCTCTTGGCAAACCACTCGGCTTCGTCAACCAAGAGACATTTCCTCTTCCAAAGCTGCACGCTGAGCTGCGCAACATTTCCGATGAGGTCCATAACCGACGTGGCTTCAAGGTCCTTCGAGGCCTGCCATTTGATAAGCATGACCGTGAGGAGAATATTATCATATACGCTGGAGTCTCGTCGCACGTAGCTCCAATTAGAGGGCGCCAGGACTTTCAGTATCAGGGAAAATCAGCGGATGTCGTCTTAGCTCACATCAAAGATCTAAGCTCGATTGTGGATGCTGACAAAATTGGAGCACCTGCTTATACGACCGATAAGCAGGTATTTCATACTGATTCGGGTGACGTTATTGCCTTGGCATGTTTGGAGACTGCTGCGGAGGGTGGCGAAAGCAAATTGTCCAGCTCATGGACAGTGTACAACGAGCTTGCCAGAACGAGACCAGATCTTATCAGGACCCTGGCTGAGCCTTGGGCCAGCGAGAAGTACGTTGAACCTCTAATTACATAAAATTTGAAAAACCTCCTGACTTTTGTGATAGTTTTGGTGGTAGGGGGGACAAGTATGCACTGCGACCATTGCTTCACTATCAGCCAAAGACCGAGTCTACTCCTGAGAGACTGATCATCCAGTACGCACGAAGGACGTTCACGGGCTATTGGGGTTTGCCAAGATCCTCTGACGTGCCACCCATCACTGAAGCTCAGGCCGAGGCCCTTGATGCCCTCCATTTTCTGGCTGATAAGCATTCTGTTTCTCTTGGGTTTCGAAAGGGCGATGTGCAATATGCCAACAATTTGAGCATTTTCCATGCCCGAGATGGATTCAAGAACACTCCGGAGCAGCAGTGAGTATCAACTCACATGATCTTGCAAACTCCCGTGCTAAAGCAATTTAGGCGTCATCTTATCCGCCTTTGGCTGCGTGATCCTGAGAATGCATGGCCTACGCCCGAAGCGTTGAAGCCAAGATGGTCCATATACGAAGGCGTAACGCCTGAAAACTCTGTTTTTCCGCTGGAGCCCACAATCCGTACTGCAAGTGGAGGGAAAAGCAAGCCGCTGGAGTGAAATGTATTGGCCGTTTCGAGATCCTGTACACCGTATCTGCAAACTTACTTGGCTCAGATAGTTAGCGCTATCTAGACGTATAAATTCCCACATAAGAATGCTAAAGCCAATTACAGCATCTACCTATATTGTTAAAATCACTACCTAGCCAGCAAACTCAAATAACTTAAGTAACGCCAACAACAATTTTAGTCGGGATAGCGCTTTTTGCCACCTTGTTATCGTTAGTAACGCAAAACACGTTTGCAGACATAGTATATTGTAGATAGCAATATTGCGAGTAGAGCCGAGCAGTTAGAAGAAGGACCACCCGGGCTTGGATTCCTTTTTGGGCTCTCGGCAAGATACACCGGGATCATAATCACCTAATCCATATGTGAGTACGATCCTTTATTCTATTTAGAACGTTCCACATGAACGTTACATCACCCCCGCTTCCAAGCTCGCCTGGTCATTGTCTGTCAGTTATTCTAAGTTTCCCACAACTTCTATCGCCTCCAACGTCATGACTTATTCCTAGCTATGTAGTATACAGCACTTCATTCTTTATCAAGCTATAGAAATTCGAATCTTCAGTAAGAACATACGAGGCTGCGCGACGAACTGCCCAGTGAAGCGAAGACCCAACACCTTGGCCCTTCAAGGTACCCCTGCGATGTCGCAAATACATTATCTTTCGCGTGCTCGGCACGCGACACAACTTGATAGGTTTAACAAGTATCTGAAGGCAATGCGCTAGAATTTAACAATCCTGTTGCAAATGACGTGCGATGGTGACATCCACACTCCTATTTGCAACCAACCCCAACTGCGGAAGGTCGGCTCTATCCTTGAAGTTCCATATATACCTGCTATGTCCGTCTTGCGTCGCATGCTTACACGTCTCTAAGGCCACCCAATGACATAGCGTGACGCACTGGGTCATCAAGAAACCTAGTTATCCTTCGCAATGTCTTCGCTCTTCAGAAATCGTTTCAAAATTGGTGGAAACCCAGATCGATCGGCTTCTGCGGTTCAGTCGGTAACAGCGAGTGGCAATATTCAAGTCATAGATGGGGATTTGAAATATGTCGGGGAGCAAGGTGGTAACAATGCTCCTATTGCCTACCAAGAAGCGAGCGGAGCTCCTGTCGAGACACATTCCCCTTTGGGATACAATGTTGGACCTATCACGATAGTATTCTTGAATCTCTCGAAGATGATCGGCACAGGTATTTGGTTCCTCAATCTTAAGATTTCGATTTATATTGATCAATCGTAGGAATATTCTCGACGCGTATGTAAAAAGTACTTTGACCAAAGTTAAGAAAGCTAATAGTAGATTGTAGCCGCATCGATTTTGAAAGGTACGGGCTCGGTTGGGCTTAGTCTGATCTTCTGGACAATTGGATTCTTCACATCAATATCTTCGCTATCGGTGTATTTGGAATATGCAGCGTGTTTTCCGTCTCGATCAGGTTCTGAGGTGGCCTATCTAGAACAAGCGTTCCCGCGACCCAAGTGGTTGTTTCCGACCACATTTGCGATCCAATCAGTCATCTTATCTTTTAGCTCTGGCAACGCAGTGGTTATGGCCAACTACCTCTACAAGATTGGAGACTATCAAGCAAAGCCGTGGGAAACCAAGGGGCTTGCGGTCGCCTGCTACACGGCTGCTGTGTTGGTAGTACTGTTCCATACCAGAGCATCTTACTGGATTAGCAATGCAATTGGGGCAATCAAACTGATAACACTAGTGTTCATTGCTATCACGGGGCTGGTTGTGCTGGGTGGACACACCAGGGTCAAAAACCCTTCAGCCGGATTTCGCGATGCTTTTGACGGTAGTCCGTCGGGATATGGTGTCACCAACGCCATGTACAAGATCATCTTTGCGTGTAAGTAATTATAAGAAACTGAACAGAGATACTTACTGACATATGATACAGATGCTGGATATGAAAATGCATTCAATGTGGTCAACGAGGTGAAGAACCCGGTAAAGAGCATCAGGAACAATGGATTTGCCGCAGTAGTACTTGTTGCCATCTTGTACATCTTGGCAAACGTGGCTTATTTTGCCGCCATTCCCAAGGAAGAAATTTTAGCAGGCAAAACAATCGCTGCTGGTATTCTATTCACCAAGGTGTTTGGAGACCATGGTGCTGTCCGTGGCCTCAATTTCCTCATAGCACTGAGCTCGTTCGGCAATCTGATCGCTGTCCTTCTAGGGTCCTCACGATTGATTAGAGAATGTGGTCGACAAGGCGTGCTTCCTTGGCCACAGTTCTGGGCATCCACCAAACCATTCGGTACCCCAATAGGACCATACTTCACAAAATGGGCGCTCACTATTCTCATCATCCTTGCAGTGCCAGCGGGCGATGCTTTTTCATTCATCACGGACCTTCAGGTGTATCCCTCAGCTTGTTTCAGTCTTCTCATGGCCGTTGGGCTCTATGTGCTACGGTTTCGCCGTAATCGCCTTGGACTTCCACCACCCTCCTTCCGTGTTTGGAACATCGTACTCATTTTCAACATTTTAATTCAGCTATACCTAATCATCATGCCATGGTATCCACCAACTGGCGGAGCGACAGGTGGCGATGTCAGCTTCTGGTACGGTACCTACATCGTGGTTGGGATTGGCATACTACTCATTTGCGGGTTGTATTACTATATCTGGATCATTTGGCTGCCTAAGCTTCGAGGCTACAAGGTGCGCCAAGAGGTTCTGGATCTTGGAGATGGAGCGCAAACACATGTGCTTGTGAAGATACCGTACGACCAGATCAGCGAATGGGATGCGCAGCATGACGCGTATGGTAGGATAATAAGTCAGAGCGATCTTACCAAAACCAGCTCATAAGAAAGAAAGAGTGGTATAAATCAATCCTGAAGGAGCGATTTTGGGCCTTATAAATATCTATGTAGTACACTCAAAGTTTAGCTTATATTCTTTTTAAGATAAGTCTATACAACACCCTCCATTAACTTCGGTTATCTTGCTCAACAGTGAATAAACGTCTCAATTTTCCATTTCCATGTATAACTGTGTATTGCCTACTTATCCAAAAAAAAGTGTTTGTTAGGATTGATACCACTATTGTAGTGCTGCTTGCATACCAACACACCAAGCTCATTCGAGAAGCAAAGAGCATCCACCCAATCATTCACCTAGATGTTCTACAATGTGGCACCCATTCAAGGCATACATCTACCAATACATACCTTATGCTATTCATACGCTTAACCTGAATCAGTAACTTTAATACAAGAAGCTCGAATTCTGAGCTTGAGAAAGCTTGTGTTGACCTTGGTCGTAATGCGCGAACTGGGATAAGGTACATGTTCAATCGTTCTAACAACGTAACGATCAACCAACTTCTTCTTCTTCCACCTTCCCTAAGATTGTGTTTCAGAGATGACACAATTGAGGGATGAGATTGCATGTCTAATACTTGTTAGAGAGTGTATGTACCACTTTCAAAACGTTCTCATAACCTGGTAGCTGTCTCCTTCTCGAATGCTCTTTCTTAATTCTAGGTTGTTCATTGTTGCAAGCTGAGATTGTTGCAGTCGAACGTGTAAGTATTTGTTTTTGGACCAGGCGCAAATGTAACGTTCAATGATGCACACTGAAGATTGTGAAAAACTCGTGATATTATTGAAAAGCTGATTAATGCGCGTTCAGACTCTTAGAGCATTCGCCTTATCTCCTCAGCGTATAAAGGATACAACAAGCTCAGCATTCATGTGCGTATCGCTATAGTTTATCAAGTTGACTGATTGCAATATCCGTAAGTCCCACTTCCATACCACTTGCGGCAGCAGTTCTGATCCCAATCGGCCGGAGTAACAGAGTTCGGGACACGGCAGTAGAAGTTGCCACGGTTCCAGAAGTTAACCGTATTAATCATAGTTCCTGTGCACCGTCAGAAATGATACTCAATTACATTTCTTTGAGAAACTGCTGTTTGTTTCACTGTGTTGACTCACCTGCATTATCATGGCAGCAACGAGTGGTTCGGTCGGCTATGGATTGATCTCTCCCTGAACCGGTTGGTGCCTGTCCCCGTTATTATATTGTCGTGGTATCTGAAAGCTTCAACATACCATGCAAACGCATCCAAGGCCTGGTACGGTTGCCTGAGCGCTAACAACGGAAGCACTTGCGGCAAGTAATACGGAAAGCGTAGGTAGATGCATTGTAGCGGTATAGTGGTATAGTAAACACAATGATGAGTCTATCTAGGATACTTGAAGATAATAGGTAATGTATAGTTGAAAGATATCACAGCATACACAACCTTATATACCTCAAGGCTTCCAAGATGATATCTGTACTACAGCTATCTTAGTAAATCCAACCAAATATAATTCGCTTCCTTGCTAGGCACTTCACTACAACGTCTAGATTCTGAGGCGGACCGAATACCATTCCAACCGGCTGATGCCCAGGTACGAGATCTTAGCGTGACTCTTGATTGCTATACGTCTCGGTTGTGACAGGCCCCAATTTAGGCGGCTGGACGTTTTTTGAACGAAGGTTAGAGAAATGGACCTTGTAATGCGCGACGATATTTGGACACAAATACCAATCATGTAAGAAAACCAGCGACTTCGCTGTCTTGTGCCCTACCTTGCGCCATATTTGACAGCGTGTGTTGATCGCATCCGACATCTAACGCGCCTTCACCTTACCTTGTCGCAATTATCAACTTGACCTGTTAGTACTCTACTGGTCGTTTTTCGATCACAAGGAGGCCCCATGGCCAGAGTGGTCATGACTTCGTATTCTACTAACAAGCACCGAGTCTAAGACACTCAGACAGGTAGCGCTTACACATTATATTGACTTATTTAAAAATCTCGTATATTTAGTTATACCAATGGCGGGAATCTCCAGACCGGCCGACTAGGCCTTGAATAGACGGCCCGCTCAGACATCCGCGAGATACCGTCCACTTACCCATGTATACCCGCACGTGAAGCAATATGTAGATCAGAGATTCGTTCTGTCTTGAATGAAGCGCTTTGTACACGACAGCGATTATGTGATAATTTATGTATTTCAACTTGAGGTAAGCTCGATTTACTGCACAACATTAATTCCTTCGTAAAGTAATCATGGGCCCTTCAGATACGAAGTAAGCGCCAAGGCACCACTGAACAGACCTCTATTTTCCAGCTAGACCTAATAGGGTCGATTTGGCTGGTCCGTTTTCATTTTGCTGTTTTGGGCCGTTTTGTGTTTACGTTTTCAGGTCTTCATAGGTTAGAACTCCGAATATAATTAGTACTATTTAGTGTTGCGGCTAGGAGTAACTAAATAGCCACTTGCGTAGCTAAATACTCCGTTGTCTTGCTAGTCCTAGCAGCCCATCCTACAACGCGATGACTACTTGACCGCCACGTAACGACAATCTAGTCACAAAATGGAGCTTAACCTCTACTTCTTCTATGCAAATGTAAATAGAAGCTAGTCAGCTCCCTCTATCGAAGCTGTAAATCTAGAAAGGCGAGTAAACGGAGACGGGAAATAGAGAACCAAATGAGCCTAAATTAGATCGTATTTCTTCATGCACTAAAACCCACTAGAGACTAACCCTCATATGGAACCAAAGTCGTAATCACTGGGAGAGCTTGATATTAGATATGCACGGTTTCTTACAAGGATCAATGTGAGAAGGCGGTGAAATTTAATCGCGCTGTCTACTTTTGCGAGTAGCGATATTAGTTGCTTTACGCCCACATAACACGTTCTTCTGTCTACAGCTACTCTTCTCCTGGCATCTTATCATTATATTATCCCTCTGCCATACTACAACTCAAGATCTCATCGTTTCTCGCAAGGCAAAGCTATTAGTGTGTAGACTCAAGAGGCTATGTCACTAAATCCTCTTTGGTGTCTCACTATTAGTCGCGCAAGCTAAAAGCAGGGAGGTTTCACCAGGATAGCAAGGGCATATGTAAACTTGAAGCTGAGAGATTTATATGGCATTCAAGATGTCTTCAATTTCGAGTAAAAGTTCATTTTCTCGCTGTGTGTTGAGTTACTCATAACCCTGTGCGCTCGATTGTCTACATCGTACAGACCCAGGCTGAACCTCTAGTTGATCATGTCAGGCTTGTTGTCTTGACCTGCTTCTCACCACCCGTTTCTTGTCCAGGAGACAAGTCCCTTGTTACACTTCCATGGCCGTGTTCCGCAGCTATCGTTTCTGTTGTCGGTTTTCCACTTAATTCGCCCTTGGTTTGCATAGGCATTGTTGGTTCAGTACCCTCGGATCGCCTGTATACAGGAATGAATGCATCGTAATATCGAGGCATAACCAAGCCGAGCAGAATGACTATAATAGTCAGGATAGACAATATAAACCCAGAAATCATCATGGGATCAAAGAGAAGAGTGTGAAACTCCGGGAAGGCGAAAGAGAGTATGATGGCGAGAACAGGGCCGCTCAGGTAACGGAGCAGGACAGGCATAAATGCAGGGATCTTCCAGTTCTTCCCCTGCCCAACAATCACATTCAAGTCACGGCGTAGTTGATTGCCCTAGAAGCCTAGTCAGTCTCTCAAACAAGAAGCGCCACAAATCCATGTAGTACTTACTGAATAAAATGCGAGATACCAAAACTTCCTAAAAACGGCATTGCTGTTCCAGAATGAAGGGGCATCTACGTCAGGTTTTCGTGCTATTACGACAGCTACGATAGCCATAAGACAGTAGAAACCAATGCCGGTACCTGCTCCAATACCTGGACTATTTATTCCATGGGCTATGCTAATTCCAAGTACCTGAGCACCAAGAAAGCCCACATTGTAGACCACGAAAGCAGGAAGCCCAGTTTGATGGACGATGTCTTTCCACCGGTATACAGTAGTAGCACTGGAAACTTCGCTCCACACAACGAATATGAGGGCAACATTGTTTACCCACCGATCAATGCCATCGAGCAGATAGTATCCAAACTCAGTACAGTATGGTAGGCACCTGTGTTTTGAGAGGGTAAGTTGGTAAGCATTCATAAGATCTGGCTGATGTGGGACAAGGGAATATACTTACATGAGAAAGCAAAGAATGGTAAGTGTGGTGACGACAACAGGTCGTGACGCCTTGACTATACCAGAGTCGCAGATAAGGGTGACCACCACATCCAACATAACAAAAGCCGAACTGAATCCAAGAACCACAAGTGTAAAGAATAAGAGTACCGCCCAGAAATTAGCTCCGGGCATCTGGAGTACAGCTTCGGGTAAAGTGAGAAATCCGACAACAAATGCGCCGAGTCTCTCACCATCCTGGGGCCATCTGCGGAGGAAGCCAACGACGCCAAAGATGGCGAATGCGGCAAAGTTCTCGAATAGAACATTACTACCGCAGATGAGACATGCGTCCATGACAGCGTTGGAGTGTTTGGTGTTGTAGCTCGCGTACGAAGTAAAGTATCCAAACCCGATTCCCGTCGAAAAGAATACTTGGCCAACGGCTGTTTGCCAGACAACGCCCGAAGCAAGCTGATCGCTCCTCCATGTCCTCCACACAAGGTCAACGCCTTCTCTTGCATTCTCGAGTGACAATGCTCTTCCAACAAAGATGACGGTAGTAACAATTGGCAAGCCCATGGTGAAGTAGACGACTCGCCCTGTCATCCCAACGCCACGGAAGATAGAAATCCAGATGAGAAACCAAACGAAGATACTCCATCCAACTGTTTCGCCGACGAGCGCTCCGTTGGGGTAAGCCGTGAACCGGGTTACTGAATTTCCATCGGCACTCTGGCTTCCTTCGTTAATCTCCCCGCGTTGAAGTACGTCTTGGTAGTAAAATTCTTCGATCCGATTTTCCCATGGCAAGGGGCTAGTGAAGCTGTGCCGGAAGTACTGCATGATCCATGCTAAGTTGACAGTGAAATATTGCACAACGAGGAAGCTGACAATGACCGGTCCCATACCTACACCCTTTAGCCGGCGATGTACATTATTGACTGGAGGTGTAAACTACGTCAGCCTACATCCTGCTCAAAAACCTCGCGCTATAGTCTTACATGCGATGACGGTTCCTCCGCGGTACGCTTGTCCAATCGAGACTTCCAAGATGAGTGCAGGAATGGCGATGAGAAATACGGCCAAAAGATATGGGATGAACCACTGGAGTCCATAGTTGTTATACAGAACACTAGGATATCTGAGCAGGTTTCCTTGTCCTGCACATCCACCCATTGCAGCGAGCAGGAAGGCTGCCCGTGACGGCCATTGGTCACGGCCGTCCTCGCTCTTCGCAGCAGGAGGCGCGATGTAGTCGCCGATCTTCCGCAGGGTTTGCATAGCCATGTTGCAGAGTGGCCTGCTGTATACTGAGATGGATGGATAAGTGGTTACCCCTCATGAAACGATATATCACTAGAATTTTATCGCACTGGTTGTAGTGTTCGTATTTTCGAACTTCTCAACAATGGTGGATTTCCATCAGTCTCACTGCAGCGGAGTGGGTCAGTTTTGTATCTTGCCCAGGGCGTGGACCCCACTACGTCCGCCAAGGAGAGTGATGCTAGAGCTCCTGATAGGTATCCGGTGGATCACTCGGTTCAGTTCGTTTGGCCCAAGGCGTGCGAGATGCCAAGAATCCCATGTGTAGGTTCAAACTGTTGGATAGACCTATCGTATTCTGCCATAGGAACGCCGTTTGCAACGCCACAGACAATTTTTACTAGACAAAACAAGCTCGTTCTGCATGATGGGTCCATGTGACGGTAACCATCATGCGATTCCTTAGATGAACATCTTCCTGTGGTAGTTGCGTGGAGGCTATCGTGGGTCGCCAAGCTTCCGCTGGGAGAAGTGGATCATTGTCTGTCGGCTATGTTCCTGGCGTACGTCACATTGGATGGTTGGAGTGTTTCCAACAAATCATGGTGCACTTTGTTGCCGTCTTCCGAGATGCCAATGCTTAGCTGTAATTGTCGTTGACACATTGCCATCATTCTTGTTCTTCGCTAATCTCTCATCCGCTATACTTTACACATGAGAAAACAGGTACTGGCCAAATGCGACCCAAGCAATGGAAAGGCTCTGTTGTTACATGGGAATTGTGGCTCACGTACGCAGGCCGGCTAATCACTGGCATATCGTGCCGATGGGCGTGTACGTCAAACCTCACCAACCTCTCTTTCTGTGGAAAAAGGCCAAACAGCCATGTGATTGTAAGCCAGTCACATTATCTTCTGGGGTCACTCATCAACTTCATCGACCATTATTTCCTTCTTTGCTTGAGCTCGTAGTATATAGAAGCTGCTTTTGTCCTATTAAATCCTCGACCAGGAAGCCTAACTTCATCCCGAAATCCATGAGCCAGCCTATTCAGAACTAAAAATAATTCCCAATGATCATACAATGTTTGCAGAGATTTCTCACTAAGTCCCACATGATAAGCTGGGTCTAATGCATGCGCTTCAGATCGGTCTTAACCCTAGTCTGCATATGTGTGTGCTCGGGCTGCGGACTTCTGATGACTTCGATTTCCCAATATGAACCAGGTTAAACTTTTAGTTTCGCAGCCATCGATTAACGGAGATGCAAATTCGAAGGTAAATAGAAAAATCGAAGAAACACACTATTATCAAGGGATGTTGAGCATTAGTAGATTGGTGACTCATCATCGATGAGGTTTACGAGACTTGGAATTGTTCCAAAATGACAAAGAATAGAAAACCCTTGCATGGGAACTATATACAATATACTTCGAATGAATATTGTCGTAAGATCACTCTGGAGAAACTATGTCATTGTCCAATAGCGGCAGATACATACAGCCCTTTTCATTCAATGGTCCCGCATCAACATCTACATTTTTTATCCTCAGCTTCATTCTTACATTTTGTATGTAGAGCTATTCTCTAGCGTACAGCTACACTGCATAGGTGGTAATACTTGAGGTATGTGCGATACGCGATGGGTGTTTGAATTTCGCGACATGAGTACATACCGAGCAAAGCAGGATTGCTAATTGCCAACGAATAAAGATACAATTTCTTAGTGTATAAGGCATCTATAAATCAAAGGTTGAAGCTAATAGGATGGGATAAAAACGGCAAAGCTAAGCGTGAAGGGCCTTTTGATGATCCCTTGGGTCAATTCCTTTTGGTCCAGTCATGGTTTTCCCTAACGCATGAAAATGTTTCCTTCCCAGATTCCATAGCCTCGCGGTACATCCTGTCCTACCATCTCTCCTACCTGGACATCGACACCGTATCCAAGCGACGAGACCGCACGATCAAAAACATCTTTTGGTAACCACTCTGTAACGTTAGAAATAGGTCCTATGGCACCAGATACGCAAATCATAAACATCCATCCAGCATTCTTTTCAGCATCAGTGAACGGATGATCCTTTGGCTGAGCCTCCTTGCCTTTCCAGCAGTAGAGCGATGAGTATGTTTTGATGTAAGCGGGAAGAAGTTTCCTGAGACGTCCCAACAGCATTTCGGATATTTTCTTCATGTCATCGCCTGCACTTGCAGGGAGTCCGACGTTTACTGCAATCAGGTAGGTTGAGAGTGTAGCAAGCATGGTACCCAAGGGGGACAGCAAATCCGGGGGTAAGTTCTGAAAGGTCGGTCCGCCTCCTGTGGGAATCTCTTCATAGACAGCGAACTTGGCATCAACAATGTCGAACACCATTGGCTCTTTACCCTCTTGCTCTAAACCTTCACTGTATCCTACTGGGCATTCATCCTCGCCGAGCTTCCTTGTGGTTTCCAAATTCAGAGCGCGGCTTACATCATCGTATGCCTTGCTCTTCAAGACGTCCAAGTTGTCAACAAGACATGCGTACACAAACATTGGCTTTGTGTCTCCCTCTGGGTTGTGTCCATACCCATTTCCCTCATCGGATCTAGCAAACCGCAAGCAAGAGGTGACTTTGCCGTTGGAATGTTGGCCCGCGGACATGTTGATCATATCTCTGAAATGCAGTTTTGTCCACCGCCAGAAGTATGGGCTAGAATCTCCGCTCCCGTGAAGTAAACGTGGGTGCACGAGTAGCATACCGGGTTTCTGGTCTATGGATCCCATTTTGTGAATGCAGTTCAGAAAAAGAGTTGCTAGCCTTGGAGGAAGTTTTGGTTTGTGAATAAGAGACTCAAACGAGAATGTTGAGGTTTATGGTGTCGATGAACAGTTGCAATGACCGTATTCCAAATCTTGTATGTTGTCGAACTCTTCAAAAAGAAAGTAATATGAACCCGCGTTTCTTGACGATCCCTGCTAAGATATACACAAAGGTATTCTGATCTCCCTCGTTCCCTAACCACTGGGTTTTCAATAACCGGAAAACACTTTGGGGATCCGGACGTGCAGCTGCAGCGCCTACATATGTATGCATACCCCGCTGTAGTACGGCGCGTTACGTCCGTGGCGCATTGGTAAGAAGCGGAAAAAGCAAAGTAACTCCTAGATACCATGGCCGACCTCCTCCCCTTTAACGTGCCCACTTGCCTGTGATAGCACCAGAGCTTACAGTGCGAAAATGACGGGTCCTTAGTCACTGCCTTTGACCATGAAATATGTGAATACCATGCTGGTACGGTCGGAAATGTTCATCTCAAACAAGGAGTCGTGCATATGCGCTCTTATGGCTTCATAGCCCAGCTCTCGACTAGGCCGTTGATTTCCGCTACCATATGTACACGCGCGTGAGAGCCGAAGATCTGCAGGCGCATGGTGGCGGTAGCCACGTATATCAGACTACACTTGCTTTCGTCCTACAGGAATAGTTGAAGCATTGTATGGCGACACGCCGGTCGCCAATACTTCTGCCAGGCGCATCAGGGCTGTGCAAACATTAACAACATGTAGTAAGGAATTAAGTGATGAACCTAGTCCGCTGGCTTTGGAGATAGTGGGGCCTACCGAGGCATAGTGTGAAGACAGGGCAGGGTAGTGCCACAATCCAGATCTTTTAATGCAGGCACTGATTCAGATCGACGAAAACTGGTTGCGCGCTACACAATGGGTGCGTAGGAAAGCGTGACGTTTAGGTACTCTCGTTGGGTTTTTCCTGGTTGTTGTGCAGAGGGCAATCTAGTCAAAATCCGAAGTCTGGTTCTGGGCCTCCCATTGTAGATGCGTCACCATGGCCTTCTCTGCCTCCAACTCGGCCTCAAGGGTACCTATCCGGTACGTGAACTCGGTGATTTTCGCGTCCTTTGCCTTAACAGCAAGACGAGTCACGTCTCGTGCTCTCTTAAAACCTTCTGTACGCTTTACATGTCTTATTAACAAGGTTTTAAGCTCCTCTTCGGCATGAACAGGTAAGACGATGTTGGATTCTTGCAACAGACTAAAGACGTCGCCGACTAGGTCTTGATCCATTGGATTCTTGAAGCGACTTGTCTTTGGCGTTTCATCAATGGAAGTATAGGGTGTTGAGTAGGGTGTTGCAACTCTACGATTGCTTTCTTGACTGGCGGCAGAAGAGGGGAAGGGGCTGGCCGCTGCTGAAGGTCTTGCAATAAACAAATCTCCCTGAGCCTTCCGTCCCGTGTGGGGTGTTTGCAGTCCATAAACTGCCGTGTCGTTGGTTTGGTCTTCGTCCCAGGGGAGACCAGATCTTTTGGAGGCGGGAGTGCTGAAGATTGTTGTCTTGGCAGCCTTACCAGGCGTTTCCAGATGAGACATGGCTTCACCCGGATCATGGCCGTCTTGGGCCTTTGAAGGACGGTACTTGTCTAGATTTCCGCTGACGGAGCGTTTGCGCTTGTGTTCTGAAGTGAGAGTGGCAGCTGTATTTGCGACAGCTTCGTCCTCTCGTGTACGGGCATCGTCGTCCCATAGGAAGAACTTGCATTGTTCTTGTGGAGGTTTGTTGCAGGTGCGAACTGGATTGAGCTGATAAGAATTGTGCGCACGGTGTTTGGTAGTGAAGAGCATATCATACACCATCTCCCATGATTCGGGCCTGGTTTTGAGGTTTGTAGATGCACTGAGGGCAGTCGCGGACTGCAGTCACCTGATGGCACGTGAGCAGACAGCCCTGAGTGGGTTGAGTATTGGCCATCATACAGTGCCAGACGCCGTGGACGAAGAGTCCTTTGCGCGCACCTCGAGAGCTAGACATGACGGATTAGGACCAGTCTCGATGGTAATATTGATGATGTCGTCGTCGTCGTTGTCGTCGTCGTCGTTGTCGTCGTCGTCACGGTAGGCGGAGTGAGGAGTGGAGAAGAATGGATGCAGGGGTCTAGCGCGAATCTTGCCGCGCTGTTCCGGTCCACCTTACTCGATATGGGCAATTCGTGTAGACTCGACGGCCCATCTGGACTGGCGTCCGATGTTCGCATTTGTGACTTCCTTTGTCCATTATCGCTTTTGTTGCTCCAGCCAGCCTTTTCGCCATCAGCCTGGTCCAGAATATGCTGTGCAACGGTGCGCCACCCTGTCTACGGCTGAGTCCCTGACGTGAATCCACCATGTCTCCTTTTCCCACTCACTAATCTCCACCATGAGTGGCTTCCATCCCTCGCACCTTCAGTCGCCACAACTGTGCCATCTTCGGTGCTGCTCATGCTCATGCTCATGCTCATGTCAAGGTGAACACATCCTGCTCCCGTGTCAATCAAGCGCCTTCTTCAATTTGACACTCTGCTGCAATCATGCTCATCCGATCGGCAAGAAGGCTGCCGCCCTCACTCGTACTCATGCTCGTCTTCCTGGCCTTCTTGGGCTGGGAACTCAGTCAAGGAATGAGACATGAGGAGCATCCGTTGCCGGCATCGCCTCCTCCTCCTGCGCCCGCTCTTGTCGAACCTGAGCAGAGGCCCCACGTCGAGGAGAAGAAACCGCCTCGATTGGCCCTCGTAACCTTCGTCACCGAACAGAGATCATACCTCTATCTCTCGCTAAGGAACAAAGATCGTAAGCTTGGTCAAGCTGCTACCCAAAATCGACAAGCTGACATACGTCCTGCTCAGACTACTCCCGCCGTCACGGTTATGACCTCGTTATCGACTACGAACAGCACAGCGAAACTGGAAACCCTGTCTATTGGAAGTTCGACATGATCGAAAGGCTGGTCAAGTCCGCAAAGTATGACTGGATATGGTGGCTCGACTTCGACACGCTCATCACCAACACCAATACCAATGTTGCCAACATAATCGACGAAGAGCTGCAGAATGCCGAGCATGCCGACAATGTTGACTACATCTTCACCAACGACTGCAACGGCCTCAATCTGGGATCCTTCCTGGTACGCGCACACGACCGATCCCTCGAATTCATCCACCGTGCACTCGATCTCCGCCACACCGACGAGGGCAAAGACTACAGCGAGCAGGACGCCCTGGTGCGTGTCATGAAGGAAGAGCCATACTCGGAGAGGTTCATCGTCGCGCCCCAATCGAAATTGAACGCCTTTCCCGAAGAGATCAAATGCTATGAAGATGAGCATGGTCAGTGGGAGCCTGGCAAATTCATTCTGCATTTCGCGGGCGCGTGGGCACATGTAGAAGGCGACGACCCTACAGGTCAACTTATGGACAAATACAAGCATGACGTCATGTGGGGGAAATGGGAAGATATCTATTGATGACGGTGATGATCACGATGAAAAACGCACCGTGGGATTATTGTGGGGTTTTGCGTGTCCTTGGAGTATTCGTTTGAGATGTCTGGCCTTCTCGCATTGGAGTACAGGATTGCAGCAAAATTGGTTATACACTAAACTCACAAAATGGCGTACGTTTTATGGTCCGGCGAACTACGCACAAGAACACTTACTTGGTTTTATTTTAGAACGTCGCAATCCATATATTATTGTCAGATCCGTTTTTCGGAATTGCTGACGGCCTAGCGCGCTTACAAACAATGCAGCACAATGCATGGCGACTGTCCTCTTTTGTCCAGATATGCAGCAAGTGTCGGCTGAAGTAAGCGATTGCCCCACGTTCGACTCTGTGAAGCTATTGACTCGAGTAGACCTTGTCTTCTCTGCGTTAGTTTGGCCTTCTAGAGTAGGTTACTTTTTTCGGCGAGCGAGGTCCAGTTTGCGCTTTTGGTGGTTGCAACACCAGCACTTCGGGAATGATCATTAGGTCACTTTTAATCTAGATTTATAAAGCAGCCACACATGCAACTGTATCGTTCGGTGCCTCCTGCATTCGAGTCTCGCGCTTATCATCCACCATGAGTCTTCCAACCATTACCCAAGAGACTACCACGGCGCTGGAACAACATATTGACAATGCTACACAACCGACTGCAGACAAGTTACCACTGCCGTCTGCCCTAGTTCATGTAGTCGACGCCCAGAACAATGTCCTCTTCTCCCATGGCTCGAGTCCATCCAAACCTCCTACGTCGGAATCAATAGCTATCATTCAATCCCTTACAAAGATCATTGGTGCAATAGCATACATGCAGCTTGTCGGGCAAGGTCTGGCCACCCTTGATGACTCCACCACAATCAGCACCTTCCTTCCAGAACTCACATCGAAGCAAGTTTTGACTGGCTACACCGTGGATAGCAATACAGGGAAGAAGCAGTGGCAACTTGAAGACCAAAAGAGCAGTATTACAGCTCGAATGCTCTTAAACCATACTTATGGCGGCGGCCACACTTACTTCAACCAACTACTCGTGGACTACGTCCGTGATCTCGGCGAGGGAGTATGGGAAAAGACAAACGAAGCCAACGACCCTTACGGCATTCTCCTTGCAAGCCCTCTCCTCTGGCACCCAGGCACGCACACAAACTACGGACAGGGCCTCGACTGGATCGCCGTGCTCATCGAGCGCATCACCAAGAAGACCCTGGGTGACTACCTGCAAGAAAACATTTTCAATCCCCTCGGGCTCCGGGAAATCGGGTTTGAGCCTGCGTTTGGAGGCGCCGTTACCGCACTGCCTGAGAATGCAGGTAAATTCTGGCCGAGAAATATGAGGACGGAAACCGGTTTTGTCACGCTGGATGCGGCGGAGCCAGAGGTCGTTAGAAGATCGGATGCGTACCCTGAGGGACAGCATCACGTTGGGTGTTTGGGAACGGGGCTGGTGGCTAGTGCAAGGGACTACGTGCATCTTGTTGCTGCGTTGCTGCCGCAGAATCAAGGTGTCGATCCGATAACAGGACATCGTATTCTTTCTGCCGAGTCGGTGGCGGAAATAACAAAGCCGCAGCTTGCAGAGCATCTACGTAATGACTCTCGTAGTCTTCCTGTTTCAGATGCTCTTCCCATCATACTTCCGGTGGACTTGTCGTCTCCTCATCTGGATCCCGAAGGTAGCTATGGGCTGGGTTGTGGTGTTCAGGGTGCACAGAGAGTGCTGAAAGATGGGAAGAGGGGTAGAAGTAAGGGTACGGTCTATTGGTATGGTGCACCAAATTGCGATATGTGGATCGATGGGGAGAATGGTATCGTAGTGACTATTTGGGGGAGTTATTATCCATGGAACGAAGGCGCATGGGTAGACTTCGTAGCGGGGGTAGAGGGATTGGTTTATGAGGGTCTGACAGAGTAAGGGATGACGGAAGAGAGCCTGAGAGAGAAACAAACGTCTTCTCCATCGCCTTGAAATTGGAAGGCTTCCTTTATGTAATTTCCAGTCTACAACAGTTGCCTTTTTATCGATTTTGTCCTTCTTTGCTTTTATTTGTGAATATATTGCTATTGAGCTTCAATATAGATGATACAGCCCTAAGTAGATCATGGCCGCATTCTCAAGTCTCGTTTATGGCTTTGTCTAAAGTCAAATAACCTTTTGTTTCTCTTCCTCCTCATCTCAAAATGAACTACATAATTACCCTCTTTTCTTCTTTTACCTCCACACCTACCTGCGAACAAAGGCAAAGACTATACCTCTTCGGGTTTTCATTCTCACCATATCACGTTCTACTAAAAGTAAGTTTACCTTGAAACAACTGTCTTCTGGTATATATTCAGCGCTATAACTACTTTCGACCATTTGTTCACGATTTAGCTAATATCCAACAAACATCAACCACATCCAGATATGCAGAAAGCTTCCAACGATACGCCGTGCAGATACGTACTCAGATCCCACCCTGCTAACTTACATGTAATTGACTGAAAAGCATTTGATATCCTGATGCAGTTCCAATCAGTAATTCATCGCATTCATATCACCGACAAGCACGTCTCCAAAGCAACAAGAGCGCAATCTTCCGGCTCCCGACGACCAGATTCATAGTATTCATTTAGGTTTACTATTCCACTACGTCACGACTGATATCAACGAGAGATTTGTCATGGCCTTCTTTGTGACGTCCAGGACCTGTGAGTTACACTTGACCGAGGCAAACTACGGGACCTACTGGGATTCTGTTATGAGGGCAAGATTCATAGAGCAGCACCACTTCTGCTTGACCAAAGGCATTTATCCACAGCCTCGGCTTACTACGACTTCTTCTTGTGTTGCCAACTCTTGATGCATCACTTGCCCAGACTCTTGTCATCTTGGGGAGGCTCAACCTATGTTAAAGCCTTAATTGCGCGATATGATAGGCTTGTTCGATGTACCTATCAATAAACTATCCGTCATACCCATTGCGCGTCCAATGGTTTTCTCCGCAAGACGCTATATACCCGAGCCTACCTACAAGAACTACCAGCCTCGGTACCCTTCTGATCCTTGCTTCAGCTTGTGTAACGGTACGCCACCTACTATTGTACATGCCCTAGACTGGCATCGATGTGATTGGCATGGATGGGGGATGTCAGAGATGATACAAGGGGGTTCCACGATGCATCTTGAGTATGCATCATCGCGACCTGAGCCCGATACCTTGGGTCTAGCTCTCTTCCTTTCTCTCTTCCCAATAAAACGCATACGAGCTAACAATATCTCTTGCTTGGCATGCGTTTGAGCTGTTGGAGGTTGTTGTGACGCACACCGCTGCGCCTGTAACACTTATTGATTGGATGTTTTGCTTTTTGCGGCACACGGCAGTAGTTGTGTGTAAGTATAGCCTAAAGAGCAACGGCTGGCTGGTATGGTCTTGGCTGATGGATTTTTCTCCACATACATCATAACTGATTTGGCCAGACTGTTGGTCAATCTCTCTTTGTTATGACCGAATCCCCGGGAAGGAGGGGCTGAACCCGTATAACGCCACCAATACTATTTGCTTTGGGGAATTTCCCATCCCGCGATCAGGCAACCTGCTCATAATGTATGCGAACCCCAACTAACGGCTTTTCCCCATAATTTCATAATGGATAAATGGATGGGTTGGTACTTTTGCCACGCAGACGTTCTATGGCTCGTTTACAAGACAATGTGGAGATGTGGTGGAAGCCAAAGTGATCATCAAGACGGGTCGCGCCTTGGGGGCCGTAATTGCGTGGTCCAACGCCATTTCCGCTGCCAGATCGTTTGAGGCCCATTACTTTTTGTTATGTACTAGAGGGCCTATAGCAGACCGATCCATGTGTGTATACATGTATATATGCCATGATAACATCGTATGGAGTGGATCACATCTGCTGTGGTGCTGAGCTGAAGTTGCTCAGGAGCTGAGCCGGTAGGTGTGATGGTCGTCGCAACACGGTGTGGCGCTTTGCTAATGGCGAACACCGGCTCATTCCTGCCCGAACCGGGCGTTCATGCAAACTTTGGTGGATGATTCTAGCGCAACATGTCTCCAATGGACGGGGTATGGAAGCTGGGCATGTCTGAGTATGTACAAGGAGAGGGAGAAGATGACCCGTCTCAAGACCGCGTGCCGTGAGCTGCCGATAACTTGGCAAAAGAGCTGAACGCATAGGCACTTTGCAAAAGTCACTGTGTTGATATGAAGATATTATGGAACAGGCTATGCCTGTGTTAGGGACGGGACGCCCTGAGTCGGACCGATGATGATGAGAAGCTCTAGAAGGATGCCACGAGGCGAATGGCGCATTTCGGACGTGCTTCCTTATTTCGAAGGACCGACGAGTTTTGTACGGATTGAGTCGGATCCTGGTTGCTGAAGGTTCTGTCTCTTTTTTAGGCAATTGGCAAGGGCATGAGAGTCGTCTAGCGCTTTTGGCAACGAGGCTGATAGACGGGTTGGCGGGTCAGTTGAACTGGGGTGGTACTGAACCAAACTGTTGGTACCATGGTGACATCTCTCGGTGATGGTGGTCAAGTGCTGGTTAGATCTTTTGAATAGCGTGTTGGTAGGTTAAACCAGCTGCTGCAACTAAGTAGCAGTGGCAGAGCATTGGGAATTTGCTTGTCCATGGGGCTGTCTAGATGTTGTACCGAAATCTTATTACTACCCCACGTTCATGTCACTGTTGTCATTGAGAGGGAGAAAGACAGGGAGATCCTTGGGTGGTTCTGTCAAACAAGAGCCTGGCCAGGGCAGTCCCCGCGAGATTGACAATCCGGGTGCTGATGGAGGTAGCTTCCTGGGTGTTTGCAGGCAGATCTGAAACTTATTGGTCGCGGCCAACGCTGAAACGTGTGTGTATTGGGCAACATGGAAAGCTTGGGATGTTGAGAATGCTGGGGATGTTGTCGATGCAAGACGCGTGGCCGCATTGTAGGCGAAGAGCGAAGAGAGGGTGGGGAAAAGAGGCGAGCGAGATGAGGCACGTGCATGTTGTGCACGCCCAAAGCTGGGGAGTCCGGGCGTGCACCTTCCTGGTCATCATCATCACCATCATCATCATCACCACCACCACGTCACCGCATACATACATAGCAGACACAGACTTCATAACCACATATGCTTGAATCAAGACACAAAACGATGCCTATGGCCAGACCGAAACGAAAACTGCATTCTTGCGCGTCGGCACGCGTTTGTTGGGCTTCTCCACTGCCCACCAGACGCAGCGCTAACGCGGCAAAAGGGGCTTGAAAACGCCGGGTGTTGCAGGAACAGCGGCGATGCTGACTGCGTTGCCCGCTTCCCACCACGACATGACAGGTTGGTCCTCCGTGCCGGGGATCGATGGTTGGAACGCTAATCATCAGTCGATCCGGAGAATTGTGTCGTCTATGTGCTGTCGATGATACTGCGAACTGCAGCCTGCAGGTCTGTTCCTGCATGCTACATTCTTAGGTACACAGCAAGCTGAGAAGTGGCTCTGGTCCCACCGAGAGCGCAGTGGAGCATTCAGGCAAAGACTCGGATAGCCCGCCATTGGACGTCAATAATGAGTCTACCCGGGATTGGACACTCCTTCACCGGCCACTCAACGCCCTTCTCCGACACTGTCAATGGCCGCCCAGACAGGTGGTGTGCCCACAGCAACGACCGAGTTGGTCTCGTGACGCGGCACACCACGCGCGCAATACAACGGGTGCTACGTCGTAAAATACACTTTTTCTTCCTGTTGCCGATCGTCACAGTCAGCTTCACCAGGATCTTCACGCGGCATCGTGTCAATTTCGCAGACTATTGGCCTGCTCAGTGACAGTCGCCAGTGACAGTTCCTACCGCAGCCTCGACCAGCATGGGGGCTCAGATAGCTTGTCAAGACGTGGGGTGTGTTGAAGAGAGGAGTCCTTGTGCGTCGTCTTTTGACAGGAACCGCGCCGCACTGATCTCTGGTAGGCGCCCGCGGCTGGCCGTTTGGACGCCGCCACGCTTCGGGCTGCTCAGCCATTTTGGAGAGTGGGCGAATCACGCTGCATGCGCAGTCCAAAGACGTGATGGCTCGCCGTGCTGCCTCTGTCGCGTTCGAGCCAACACCAGCGCGCATATCAGCCGGGTGCCTGGGCCCGGCAGTGACATCCTTGTCCCCAGTCCCGCCTCTGGTGCGAATCCCGGCTGCCCTTGCACACCTCCTGCTTGCCTTGGCTACAAATTCACTAGGGTCCGGCCGCGCTAGAGTGCTAGAACGAATAAACTCTGCAAGGGGAAAGTGGCCTGTTCACGTCAGGATCGCCGCCCTCACTGGACCTATACTCAGGCGGCCCAACCAGGAGCCACTCCCAAGCCCAGGGCGTCGTCCTGCATCGTGCAGTTTTACTTATGCCGCAGCGGCTTTCCCCTACATCTACCATAACGTCCCGTCTTTCGGTTTTTTGTCATTCGCTTTGGCCTCGTGTGCCTCTTGATCGACCCCAGAACCTTATTCACTCTTTAGACTGCTGGCGTCAAGGTGATCCGCGACGTATTTACTCCACATTTTTGTTTCGTTTCTTGCCTTGTGACGTTTATTGGATTCGAGTCCTGCAACTGCTGTCACAAGTCTCGCTACATCCTTCACTGCCTCGCCCTACCACTGCATAAACTGTAGCAGACCCAAGCAAATCCAAGAGTCGAATTCCGGCACCTCCATTGCCGTCGGGCACTCACGTATCCTGCCCACTTTATATCCCCCCAGGCACGAGTTGGAATACCGCCAGGTAGAACTTGCGTCACACATGTACACAACACTTTGGACGCATTTGTCGTAGGAAGAGTCTGAGGAACCTGAAATGGTCAACAACGCTACAGCAATCGAGGCACTTCGAGGCGACTGCCCGCCGCCCTTCTTCGACCAGTCAAAATTTGGATTTGGCGGTTGTAGGTCATCCCAACACAGTCTTTTGAGTGTATTCTGACGGGCTCAGTTGTCGATGGAAGATTTTGTGCGCCTTATGGGGCTACTGGTGTTTGCTGTCTACCATGCCCACTTACAGACTTTCTATATCCAGAGAGTACGTCCTCAAGGGCTATGACCTAGTGCTCACTCACCTTACTAACGACTCCAGGCTTCAACACTACCTACCAAGTAGCTGAAGCGCTCAATGTAGTGGGGCTTTTCTGTCTGGTATTCTTGTTAATCTCATACATCTTCCTACCAGCCGAAAAGACACGCCGGCATTATCTCAGCTACTGTCTCATCATCGCCGCGATATTCATGGCAGTATGTATATCTTGCGTGGTTCAAGTCTTCCACTAATCGCCACCAGCTTGGCTTTGTAATACCCTTTGGAGCTCAACCGGAACAGTGCTACGACGAAATTACTCCCAATGATATGTACTCCAGTCTGACGTGCGCTTTCTCGGGAGCGTTTCTCATCTCCGGTGGTCTCTCAATGGCGGTTTGGATCTTTATTCGTGCTCTCTCCATGCACCTCCAAATCTGTTGGGATGTTACTCCTGGAAAAAGGTTCTTCTACTGTGCGCAAGGCTTGGGCTGGTCCGTTGCTGCTGCCTTCTTCACCATCACCATCACCATCACTGGTGTCTCGTTCAGGTTTGGCGATGTCTGCCACGTCAATGCTGAGCATTCGATGAAAGATTTCTGGGGCCCTCTGCTAGCCATTGCTGGAGCGGCGACAGTCATCCAGATTGCAACGTAAGTTGCTCGTGACAGGTATCTCCACAGTCTTACTAACGCATGTCTAGATTTGTGTATTGCATCAAAGTCTACCTTCAGAACATGTTCAGCGATGACAAGACCGAGACACAAAGTAGCGCGGGCCTTCCCTCGTACACGACCAGCATCCGGAACCGGTCTGCACGAGCAGTCTACCGACGTGTACGCAAAGTGCTCTACCTCCAATGGCGTGGCATTACGATCGTCGTCTTTATCCTTGTAGACGTCATCTTCTTCTCGATTGTGTTCATCTGGCTCAACTCGATCACTCAGCACGCTGCCGACAACATTGCGGACCTCGCCCCGTTCCTCCTGTGCTTGATGAAAAATGCCGACGAGCCGTCACCATGCTTCCCTCTTGGTCAAGACCTTGCCATTGACCAGTCCACTGTGACTGCGGTCTTGATGATGCTCTCGATTGCTGGTATACAAGCATTCCTATTACTTGTTCGATGGAGCATGGTGACTGGATGGCGTGACTTGATCTTGGGCAAATTTAGCAAAAACCGCGAGTTTGTATCTTTGGATGCCAGGAACCCGACCGAAGATATGCGTCATTTCGAACTCAAAAACTTTAACCACCAATCACCTCCAAACGCACATATTACGCCGGAGATTGCTAGTTATGTCATGAGCAATCCCCGGTCCGACACGCCCGATCACTTTCAAAAAGACATTCAGCGCGAATACAAGAGCCCAACACTCAGTTTCTCTATCCCAAGGACTCAATCTCGAGCTACCCACGTGGACTGGGACCCTAGGTCATCCATGGCAAGGGGAGGGCTTGGGCTACATCCACCCGACTATGATTCTAAAATCTGATCATGAATGCGTAAAAATCATTATTTTCCTCTTTCCAAAACGATTTTCGTACTAGAATTCCACATACAGGGTCCTCCATGGCGCACTCGTTTCTACCGTCAGATTTAGCTGCGCACCATTCTACCGCACGCGACCGCAACACCGACTTGCAATATCACGGCGGGGACGTTGATACCTTTCACGTGCATCTGCATCTGATTGTCGAACCAACACCATGCTCTCTGCGAGATACATGGATTACAGTCACAAGCTGGCTTGACTACAATACTGTGTTACTACATACCACTACTGGTTGCACAACATTATGCGCCATTCATCCTGGCCCTTGGCCCTCGCACCAGCCGCCATTCAGTAGACGGCGTCCAATACTCAACTAAAACGTTTCCTTACCTGTCCATGGCCGCATAAAATCCGCATACCCCAACACACACAGTGTACACGATAGACAATGGCTTGGATTCGCTTCCACCAATTACCTTCACGGATGGCTGTGTGTGCATTACGCAGCACAGGCCTTCCTTGACTTTTCGCACTTGGTCTTTCATGCTGCCGCGTAAAGTGGCCAAGCAACTTTTTTACCGCTGTACAGCGCACTCGGCCTAGGCCTTGTTTCAGAGATCTTTCCTATGTTTCAAGACCGTCATTGCATATAGCCAAAACTTAGTTGCAGAGTTGCATAGCTCTATTTTTTTTTTTTCGCGAGCGCCCAAGCCCGCCAAAGCTATAGTAATAAATCGACTATTACCCGTTCACAAGGCCAAACTTTCCATGGAAAAACTAAAAATACTCGTGAAACTGAGGAGGAGAGTCGGGACGGAAGTCGGAAGACGGAAGACGGAAGACGCCCTCTCTGTCATGACTGACAAAGAACCATCAACTTGCGCACAAGGCGTGTAAAGGTCCAAACGCCGTCTCAAGTAGGTTCGTTGGGAGATGTGGGGCCGACCACACACCCGGCAATATGGCTAAATGAGCCACGTTTGAAATGCCGATCTACTCTGTAGACAGGACATCGCGTACGCTTGAGAACATCGCGTAAGAACATGGCCGATGTAAGAAGAGAAAGGGGCCAAGGAAAAAACGTGGCAATTGAGAGCTAAGCCCTAGCGCTCCCATGGCCATCAGGGGACCCTCCGTCGCATCCGTCAGTGACTCTCATCCGGTCAAAATTGTCGGCTCTACCCCGTCCAATACGGAAACAAGTAGACGATGACATCTGTCGATCGTCTTCATACTTCGACAAATCAACCTTTTGCCGTGCTGACGCCTCATTCTCCGCCATGCTATTACTGACTATCTATACTGAATCGGGGTCAGCCATTCGGCCGCTTCCGCATCTTGTAGGCGTACTATCACAAAATAGTAACAGGTACCCACAGACATGGTAGTAAGTAGTCGCTATCAATGTCATGCAAGCCTTTGCACTGCAGTCACGCAGTATCTGCGCGCTCCATCTGGCCAGGCATGCAGTAATTCCACTTTATTTTACCTTTCTTCTTCTGCTTTCTTTTGCTTGCCTCACGTGAGAGGAGGCAAAATTCCAGCACTTCTCCTTTCCCTTGGCACATCCTCCTCAACAAGAGTGTGGGGCAATGCTCCAGTTCCCACAACATGGTTCACCGGAAAGACGCGTGACTGGATGCAAAGAGACGCGGAGGAATCCCATGAAAAGAGTAGGTAATTCCTTTAACAATCGTTTTGTGGGGGCGCAAATCCACAGCCTAACGGCTCCCTGCCTGTGGTTGTACCGAAGACCGGTAACTGTCTTGGCGCGGAGCACTAGCCGGACCTGCACGCATTCTCGGCACGAACTCGCAAGAACGGGTTTCTGGCCCGCGGACTAGATAAGCGGCTTACGCCGAGTGTGCGTGCGGCTGTGGAGGAACGGATTCGAGGGTGCTGAAAGAGACTCGTCTTGTCATCAGCAAGGCTCAGTGCAAGGCTCGTTCATCGTCCTCGCGTGTGCAAGCGAGATGAAGACGGGAGCATCCTGGGGGAAAGAGGAGCCGCTACGCAAAGGAACTCTCTATGCTTTGCCTAATTCTAGCGCAAGCATCTTCTATGGAGCTTACGTGAGGATAAGACAAGAAAGAAGCAAACCCATGTTCTTCTTGCTCGCCAGGCCAGCATTCGAAGTCTTGGTGGAGTGGCATGATCCCGACTGCCGGTCCATAGAAGACAGGGCTTCGTCGTGCCACCACGGAGAGCAGACAAAGGAACTTTAGAAACACGTCTCAGACCCCGCTGCCCCCTGCATATGCATGCTGGGTATGTCGAGAGTTTGGGACTCTGTGACTGCACGTTAGGCCACTTCGCCTGCATCTCTTGGGTATGTTTGTTGGATACTTTATCAGTGCAAGGTGGTCATGCATGCGTCTGGTTTAAGCGACGTAGTGATGATGTCAAAAGGGGGTGGGAGAGAAGCTATGCATGCGGCGCGTCTACTGTGTATAGCGGGGTGGAAAGACAGTAGTAGATGAAGCCGAAGCCAAGATGCTCATGATTCAAAACACGTGATGAACACCCAAACATAGGAGATCTTGCACAAGCTTTTCAGATCCCTATGTATATCATAATTAATTAGACCTTTACGCTGGCCTATGCTAGTAGGCTTAATGCGTGCTGGTTGTCCGTAGTGCTGTGTAACACTTGCCTGTGTGGGCAGTTCATCCCATCCATCTCTCCTTGCATAGTAGAAGAATAATGTTCTTCTCTGTTGAATCTTTGTAACAAAACAGACCACCGGAACACACATATGGCGAGGTCCGTAATCTCACGATACCAAGTAAACAGCGAAAACCAGACATACATCGTCTCGTTTCCATCATCCATATGTCTTCGTAGCACAGCACAGCACAGCACAGCACAGCACAATACAACACCAATCGAATCTTCGAGTCTAGGTTGTACTTACTCATCGTCATCTTCAATTTTAAGACATGCTGACAAAAAGCATCAGCATGTCTCCGCATCAAGTCGTAATTCCGCTACTTATGGCGTTATGGGCCTTCGGACTTAAGCAAACGTCACCACTAGTTAGACCCAAAGGCTGGCCACCCCACCATTGCGCGTATCGGGCCGTTCTCTCCCCTCACTCCAATTGTCATTGTCATTACTGCGAACCTCCAATCTGATACGATACAAGAGCTTCGTTCCAAGCTCCCACGTTTGCATTATTCACAAGAGTTGGAACAAAAGGCAAAGCAAACTTATAACCCTACTCTTTGCTTGAGTACCTCGGATATACGCTAGCATGGTTGCGATGGGAGGCGGACCGAACATCCCCGTCCGTGGCAGCGCGTCAAAAGAAAAAGAACTGGTGCTCTGTACATTACCATGGCCGGAAGACCAAGCTTCGGCCGGCATCAAAGAGTTGAAAGAAGCGTTTGGTGATGTGGAGGTCAAGTATTATCATACCAAGTATGCGAATGGAAAGATGGAACCAGTGGATGTGTCTGAAGGTATGTTAAGAAAAAACACAACAGCAATGTACCGGACATTTTCTGCGGGAGCAAGCGATCCCCGATCATGCCTTTTCTTTTTGAGACCGTTTTGGGTCCGGGGAAATGGTTTGGTATCGGAGGATTCGACAGAGTCCCTGCATGACCCCATACTTACCTTTTCTTCAACCCATTCAAAGCCATCCTTGTCCTTGGCATTCACCGCCCCAAACTAACCTATTCTCTCAGAAGCTCTCCGGCGCGCAAGCTACCTAGTAACCCTCTTCTGGCTCCCACCCGACGCCTCGTCTATTCCCTCCGTCAAGTTCATCCAATTTGTCTCAGCAGGCACAAACCACGTTGCCAATCACCCTATCTACACGGACTCGAAGATCCCGCTATGCTCGGCTAACGGCGTTCACGGCCCGCAAATTGCAGAATGGGTTATCATGATGGACCTCGTGCACAGCCATAACTACACAAAGCTGTATGATAACCAGAAGAAGAAGGTCTGGGATCAGAGGGTGGGCATAGATGTTAGTGATCGTGTGGGTAAGAGAGTTGGAATCTTGGGTTATGGGAGCATTGGTCGACAAGGTATGCCCATCATTCATTCCTTTTTCGCGTGAATTTCCATATGTATACTGACCATTTATTTCTTCTTCCTGTCATACAGTCGCCCGCGTAGCGAAAGCAATGGGCATGGATGTAATAGCGTACACGGCATCTCCACGCAATACCCCAGAGTCCAAGCACGATAACGGGTACATTGTGCCTGGCACTGGCGACCCGGATGGCAGTATCCCTAGTGCATGGTTCAGCGGGACAGAGAAAGAACACATTCACGAGTTTTTGAAACAGGAGATTGATCTGCTAGTCATAGCTGTGCCATTGACGTAAGTATAGACTAAAATATTTAGAGTATGGGGTAAAGTAGAAAGCTAATGACCAAAATAGCAAAGACACAACACATCTCTTTTCAACGCCGGAATTCGAACTCTTGCACAAATCTAACCCCAAGGGGACCTACGTCGTCAACATTGCGCGTGGCCAAATCATCGATCAAAAGGCTCTTATTACCGCTCTGGAAACCGAGCAAATCAAGGGCGCTGCGCTAGATGTGACGGATCCTGAGCCGTTGCCCGAGGACGACCCACTCTGGGATGCTCCCAATGTACTCATTACGCCGCACTGTAGCGGATCATCGGATGTGTACGTCGACCGTGCGTTGCAGTTGCTGGTTGAGAACATCAAGCATGAGAGAAGTGGTGGTCATTTGATCAACGAGGTCAACCGGAAGAGGGGATATTGAGTTGAAAGAGATTTGAGACTCCAGGCTGTCAAGATGTGTGTAGTAGAACAATCAACCTTAGACTATGGACAGATCGATAATGGGGTATGTATGCAATAGACTCCAAGTAAAAAAAACGACATTTTTTCCCGTGTCTAATTATACGTCATCCTCATCTTTTTTTGATTTCACGCAAGCTTGAAATGGAGGAAGAAAACCCATGCGCCTTTCTCCACACCGTATGCTATCACCGTCTGCTGAACAGACTCGAGATCATTCCACCCGCCAGATTCCGCGCAAGACCGGATCCGTACATGGCGTTTGAAGCGAAACCCGAAGCCTGACTAAACTTGTCGCACCGCGAGAAAGCAAGGGTATTCGTAATCGTAAGAACGAGCGCGATAACTGCATCGTAACCATTAGCTTTGTCTCTCCTTCTCTCCACCAAACTTCATAAGAAAAAAAAGCACCCATATAACTCACCCACAAGCGTCAACCAAATAAACTCGAGGCTAACCAGCGCAACAATCGCCAGCACAACCCACAGCACCGGCTGCGCATACAGCGCCAGCCAAAAGAAGCGCTTGTCCGTCGCATTAATCTGGCGCGAACTCGTATCCTGATCCAGACTCTCAAACACCCATCGCCCATCGCCCGTGCTGGCATCGACTTCATTCCACCAGCGCAGCCCGACAAGGCGGCGGCCCGCAATGTTCTTGAGGTAGTAGAAATCCATAGCGAGGAGCAGGATGGTGATGATGAAGATGAGGACAAAGTTGGAGGTTAGGAGGCGGAGGCCTAGGAGGTAGACTACAAGGGAGGCTTTTTTTGGAAGAGTCAGTTTTATGTGCGGGTTTGGGGGTGGTTTCGTATGGATACGTATACATGTACGTACATGTGCGGAAGAAGAGGAAGGTAAGCAGGGTGATGGGATGGCTGCTGAGTCTCCAGCTCAGGGAGCCGGGTGCTGGCTCTTGTTGTGCGGTTTCCATTTTTTTTCCCTCTCTCTTTCTTTTCTCTCGTCTTTGCGCGCGCGGGGAGACAATTGGTGGTAGGGTGGGGATCCCTTCAAGATGGGTGAAGATGAGCTTCACGTGGCTTTCCCTGGGCGGGCGACGCGTCGGCCATTCGGCGTTTAAGCTAGTACTAGTGGCTGCCGGCGCGGCGGGCGCTCTCCAGTAGTTCCCCGCACGTCATAGGGTCTGGGGATCATCCGAGCTATGTAAACGGCCATTGGGATTGCTTTGGTTTTATTTGAGCTTCGGAAGTATCATTTCAAGTTATATTGTCTGCTGTATAGACGATCAAGAGTCACAATGGCAGCGCCAATCATTCGAAGGGCCTGCATGTATGGTATGTTCCCTCCATTGCCCTCCTATATAACATGCATGCGATATCTCTATCCTAACATGTCGCAACATAGTACCTGCATCGTCTAAGAAGATGCTGGAAAAGTCTTTCGCTATGCATGCCGACAATGTAACATACGACCTCGAAGACAGCGTTGCGCCTCACATGAAGCCCGCCGCTCGCTCCAACCTTCGCGACATCCTTAGCAAACAGCGACCTGCTGGTATAAAAGAAATGTGTGTGAGGATAAACAGCGTCGACACTGGTCTCGCCCTGGACGACCTGACAGAGGTGCTCAAGGGCGAGTATCTGGATGCCATTATGCTTCCCAAGTGTGAAAGCGCTGCAGACCTGCACTTCGTGACGGATGTGATAAGGCATCTAAGTCCAGCACGGCATCCAAGCACAGGACAAAAGGGACAAAGGGATTCAGTGCGCATAATAGCATTGATAGAGAGCGCAAAGGCTGTGCAGAACCTGAGCTCGATATGCGCAGCGTCACCCTACCTCTCGGGTCTTGTCTTTGCAGCAGAGGACTTTGCAAAGGACATGAGTCTCACACGAACTCCGTCTCTCACAGAGTTCCTGTATGCGCGCAGTGCGATTGCGACAGCAGCACGTGCAGCCGAACTTCCGAGCACGATTGATCTGGTATGCACGAGCTACAAGGGTGAAGAAGGACTGAAGACACTTGAGGAGGAGTGTCTGAATGGAAAGGGCATGGGCTTCAATGGCAAGCAATGCATACATCCAAGTCAGGTTGCTGTATGCCACAAGGCATTTAGCCCAGGAGAAAAAGAGCTCGAGTGGGCTGCGAGGATAGTCATCGCAGATGAGAAAGCCAGTCAAGCGGGGCGAGGAGCATGGACACTGGATGGTAAGATGATCGATGCGCCTGTCGTTAAGAAGGCGCATGCGGTGCTGAGACATGCTGAGGTGTGCGAAATGGATGTTGATGCAGTAAAAAACCGTTGGAAAGACCAAGAACCTGAGTAATGCACTAGTATCTTGGAATCTGTATTCATACATGCTCGTCCTGACCAGCCCAATCTCCCATGCTTGAGCTTTACACGGTAATCATGACACTTGCGTTCTTGTACCAACTCAACAGCGGATTGTCGCCATTCTTCGTGGTCGTCTCCGCAATGTCTGCTCTGCCGGCCATAAAATCCTCGTGTAGATAGGTGCGCGCGAACCGCCCTGTAATGGCTGTATACATTGGTTCCATGACTTCAAAGTCGGTAGGGAAGAGAATGTCAAAGTAGCCTTGGTGAACCTGATTGCTGTTAGTATAGAAAACACAGCAAACTCCGGTGGGTGAATCGACTTACAAGAGGCGTAGAGACAGGAATCATTTCTCTCTTATACCTAGTCTGCACAACAGGAGCATTGATACCTTCCACCGCATCGCCTAGCTTGTGGAAATCACTGCTGACCAACTTATGATTTGGGAATTTTTCATACAACATGTAGAAGAATTGCATCAGCCTCGTGGGTATGTACTCTGGCACACTCATGTTTGATCGGAATGGAATCAAACTCCTCAAGTTGTGCATGAGCCGTGAGCCTTGGAGCGGGTGCCGATACGAGGAGCATGCAGCATGCCTTCTTTCGAGGAACTGGCTTACAAGAGGGTCAAGGGTGCGTGAATAATACTCGAAGAGTTCACCTCGGGCATCTATGACGACGTGCGACTGATAGGGCAAGCCAGTCTCGAAGTCGTACTTTAGGGCATCGTGTGCAAAGTTGTCAAAGACCTCGAGCGCAAGGAAGTAGCAGGGCGAGGAGACGTAGGTGTTCCAGTCAAAGATGCTGCGGTTGACAATCTCCACCTTGTCCGCATGGCCTCTTGCGTATGCCGAGTGACCCAGCCCTTTCTGTTGCAAGTCGGCAAGTTGACTGGAGATTTCGATAATCTTGTACTTTGTCCGTTCATACACTTCTGGATGCACATCTCTGATAAAATCGAGTATGTTCAGCATCATAGTGCCGTTTCCCGCGCCCATCTCATATATGTTCAAGTCGTGATATGGATAGAAGTTGTACTTGTAGTCTTCGACGAGATAGCGTGCAATTGCTTCTCCATAGTAGGGAGAGAACAACTCGGTAGGAGTATGCCATAGTTGTCGCAGGTCGTTTGGCTCTCTATAATCCAGCTCATCCTCGAAGGCAGTGTAGCGATGTCGTAATTGCTGGAAGAATTCGTGCTCGGAGCCCATGGAGTTGAAGTCGAACGGGTCGCCTGGCGAGAAGATGACGACTTGTTTGGAGAAGTAGCCGTAGTTTGGGTTGTACAGGCTGTCTGGAGACGGGTGAGTATGTTTAATCCTTCAGTACAGCGACTGCCTACCCTCTATAAAGTCTCGTAGCAGCATCTTGACTCGCCGCGGTCTTTCCCTCCTAGTCCGCAACATATCTGAGGTGACCATTGGGTATCTCTCGAACTCTTCGCTTCTCTCATGCGGAAATGCATTTTTCCTTGGTGTCCATCTGCTTTCCCTTCGCGTCTCGCCCTCACCCAACCGAGTGGCTTTTGTCCGTCTTTGGTGGTGTGGAATGCAGGCAGCAGCGAGCGCTGGTCGACCTCCGCGGGCCAGGCATTGCGACGCCCGGTGCGAGAACAATTGGCGAAAGAGGCGATTGACGAGCGGCGAGTCCATTGGCACCAGAACAATCGTCGCAACTCGTATGCGACGGCGTCGGAGGCGCTGGCAGTCTTCGCGCGGACCCACGTGGGTGAGCTTTGCGGGCAGTGATGCCAAGACGGGCATGCCACAGCTCCGCTTCTGGCCCTCTTTCGCTAGTACTTGACCATCTGCATCTTTCCATGCACCAACCATGTCCGATCGCTCCAGATATTACATAGTAGGGGCTTTTCTGTTAGGAATAGCCGTCACAGCTGCATACAACAAAAGATTGGTTGGAGAAAAAAATGATGCTGCAAATAGTCACTCACTCCTTGCCCAACAGCAAAATTTGCTCTTACAACTAGCAAAAGTAAATGACTTAGAAGAGTTGAAGAAGGGCCTCTTAGGGATTGAGCGTTCATTAGAAAATGGTAAAGGATCTATCAAGGAGGGCATCGAAGGATGCATTGGCAACACCCCCCTCATCAAGATTAAGTCGCTTTCTGAATACACAGGCTGCGATATACTAGCAAAAGCGGAGGTATGCAAATCAATGGTTTTCACAAAATGCCTTACTGATGTGTAGTTTTCAGTTCCTCAATGGGGCAGGTAACAGTCCCAAAGACCGAGTGGCACTTAGTATAATTGAAATGGTAAGCTGGTAGCGCTGGATATTGAAAACATCGCATGCTTTTGCTCAACATCAAACAGGCTGAGCAAAAGGGGCTTCTTATTCCACACTCGGGTGATACCATATATGAAGGGACAGTGGGAAGCACGGGTATTTCATTAGCAGCAATATGCAGAGCACGAGGCTATAAAGCACACATGTCAGTTCGTTGGTTGCCATTCAAGAATACTGGCTAACAACTCGAAGTTGCATGCCAAACGACATGGCAATCGAAAAATCAGATTTGCTCCTGAAGCTTGGTGCTGAGGTAGAAAGAGTGAGACCGGCGCCTATTGTGGACCAGAAGCAATTCGTCAATCTTGCACGATCACGAGCTGAAGAACACACTGCCAGCACTGAAAAGCCGGGACGGGGCCTGTTTGCCGACCAATTCGAAACAGAAGCGAATTGGCGTGCACATTTTACTGGTACAGGTCCTGAAATCTACGAACAAACCGGTCGCCGTCTGGATGCCTTTGTTAGTGGCGCTGGTACAGGAGGAACGATTTCTGGCGTCGCCATGTTTCTAAGATCCAAGCTGCCTAATCTCAAGGTAGTTCTTGCCGACCCTCCAGGCAGTGGTCTATTCAACCGTGTCAAGTATGGCGTCATGTTTGATCCCAAGGAGCGAGAAGGAACACGGCGACGCCATCAGGTGGATACGATAGTTGAAGGCATAGGCATCAACCGAGTAACCCACAACTTTGACGTTGGGCGAGAATTGATTGATGATGCAATCAGAGTGACGGACGAACAGGCCATCTCTATGGCGCGGTGGTTAGTCGAGCATGATGGAATCTTTGTGGGAAGCTCTAGTGCGGTAAACTGTAAGTTTTGAAGCGCTCAAGCATAGGCAGTGCTGATTTGTTAAAGGTGTCGCTGCTGCGAAGCTCGCAAAGAGTCTCGGACCTGGTCATCGTATCGTCACAATACTATGCGATAGGTAAGACAATCCCCCACAAAATTGGCATTATGCTAACAGTTATTCAGTGGCGCAAGGCACTTGAGCAAGTTTTGGAAGAGTACCGAGCCCATCGGTGGTGTGGACAGCGATGTGTCCCTAGAAGCCATCATCAATGCCTGAGACGGTGTCTTCTCGTTACTTTCTGATTGGAGTCCTTCCCCAAGGTTCTTCTCTGTGATGCCCACTAATACCATTCAAAAAAAGCTCATCACCACCCGCATGCTGAAGATGAGAATGTACGACTAGATCGCGCCATCAACCAGGACGTTGCAGCGTACGTACCGAGGACGAGCACACACATCCCCTCTGCCATCGCCGTTTTTGTGGAATATGCGACATTGCGTAGAAACAACACTCCATTACGAACCTCGAGTGCGATGAATACGTGATGAAGAAAGACAAAGATGCTTCTTTTCACAATGCATTTTGATTTGGCCAGAAAAGGAATCAGCGTCTTAAGCCTGTGTGTGTCGTAACAAAGAGCAAGATTTTCACAATACCCATTCTCTTCTGACCCATGCTTTGTCTGTTTGAACCGGCTTTGTATACTACAGAAGGCATCCTCGTTTTCTCGCTGTCCATCGCTGGCGGACAGCTCTATACCACGCATCACACACACACGTGTTTCTGTTGCACCAAAAAAAACATTTCGTACCATCCAGCAAGATAAAATCGGAATTTTTTTTAAAAAAAATATGGGGAAACCAGAAAAAAAGACAGTTCCACCAAGCAAAACCACCAGGTTCAACAAAACAGATGGCATCAGCAAACTCTACCGCCAAAACCCGACCCAGACGCTCGCCCAACGCCGCCTCCAGACTCGCCTCGAGCGCCGCGTCAAACTCGGCAACCCACGCCTCGCCAACAAAATCTCGCAAATGCGCCTCAGCATCGCCCCCATAGTGCACGCGACAAGCTACGACGCAGCGCCCTCCTTCCCCCGCACCCTCCTCCACCTCTTCCTCCTCACCGAACCCCAACTCGACACCCTCGCAACCTTCTACTCGCAAACCCCGCCCTTGACCCACCTAACCTCCGCCTACCCCTCCACCATGAACTGGAGCCACCCTTTCCTCGACACAAGCGACGAATTACCCGACGACTGCAAGTTGAGCAAGTTGGAGCGGGTCAAGGTCAAGATGAGGATGTTCGCACGGTTTGTGGGCATGAGGGGCGCCGAGACGCCGCGGTGGGAGTATGAGCGGCAGATTGAGATTTTGGTGAATAAAGTGAGGTGGGAGGTTAGGAGGGAGGAGGAGGAGAGGAGGGGGAAGGTTTTTGGGGAGCCGAGGGGGTTGAAATGAAGAGGTGGAGGGGTTTTTTTTTGGACTGTTTGAGCGTTGGCATAGCGTGGAGTTGGGTTTTGAAGCATGATGCTCTTTGATGTTTGGTAGTTTGTTGCAAAAAAAAGGGGGTTTTTTTCCTCCCCCAGTATTGGCTATTGTCCTTTTATATCATAGGTCTAGGAAAGAAAGATGAAAAATCCAAACAACGTAAACACCAGCATGACAAGAAGACGAACATCTACTCTAAGTAACTCCTACTATAATCATGCAATAATAACCAAACGACTGTTCAGGCCAAAAGTGTCATCTCGTACTTGAACATCACCATTCATGATCCCCACTAGCAAGGCGGATCACACGCTTCATCTTCTCAGCACCTGGCATATCCAAACCCATCATACCACTCTCAGTAACGGCCTTGTGTAGTCTGATACCTGCGTCACGAAGCCGGCGCTGCTTGGTATCTAAATCATGCTCTTGTGTGACGATAAGCCCTGCACTCTTGAGCGAAGGGTCATAAAACGGCGAATCCGGTCTTGTTGAGTTAAGTGAAAAAGGACTCGGAGGTGGAACACAAACTGTTCCCGACACTGGTATCTCTCCCGTATGGAGGTAGCTTCTCACGCGTTCGAAAATACAATTGTCAGGTCCAGACAGCGTGCAGTGACCCGCATGGTCACTTACAAGTAGACTGCTACCAGGAAATAGGTTGCTCATGTACCGACCGCTATTCAGCGGAGTAACAGGGTCTGCCGTGTTAGATATAAACAAGATGGGGTTAGAGGTATTATTGGCACCAAAGGGGCCCTCAAATCTATGGTTCGCGCGGATATTCCATGCTGCACAGCGCATTCGGAGCATAGACCAGTAAGCTCCAAAGGTGGGCGATACGGATTCTACAAGTTGCCAATAGGCGAAGAATTCGTCTTTTGTGAGATAGCCTTGTTCAACGCCGTCGCTGCAGAGAATGGAGATTGTGGATACAATGGAAGAACTTGGGTCATTGGAATCAGAAACATGACCCGCAGGACAAGAGTATACGTGGGTGTAGCGGTAGGTCTGGGCTAGCTGGTTGAGCTCACTGCCACTTCCTGCCTCAATGGCTGCAAGGATCCGGGAAATGTATGGAAACATGATGCGAGGCTGGTACACGGAGCTGAATAGCAGCATCTTGATATCGGACCATGTTAGAAATTCAGGCCCGTCGAGCGAAACGATTGGCAGTGGGTCGTGATATAGGGAGTCTACAATTCGCAGGACGCGCTCTTGAATATCGGTGACATTGGAGTTTACCGTCGCTAATGGGCAGTGTTTGGGACCAGAGTTGAAGCAAAATGTGTAAAAGGATGATAACGCTTTCTCCGAGTCTACAAGACTGCCATTGCCCTGCGAGTGATTGTACTCAAGTGAACTGACGACTCCGTCAAGGACCAAACGCCCAACACGGTCAGGAAACATGGAGGCAAATGTGTATCCGAGGTAGGTTCCATACGAGAAGCCCCAGTATTGCAGCTTGGTCTGTCCTGGAACATACGTAGTGTTATGATCTACATGTCGCTTGCCGGAATCTCTAGCGGAAACTTGAGCGGCCTCGTTTGCAACGTATTCGGCGTGCCTCTCAGCAATCTCGAGCATGTCTCGGGCAACAAATGCTGTGGACATGTATCGCTTGATGTCCGGACCACTCTGGCCTTGGTCGGCAAGTTTGCAAGATGCACCAAAAGCATGCGTCATGGACCAAAGTCTCCCCAGGGCTGCATCTGAACTTCCAAGAAGGCCTTCATCGGCTTCCCTTAAATTCCAGGACCATGCTGAAGGGCGATCCGGCATACATCGTGCAGCAGGTTCCGTCCGACCAATGCCGCGAGGGTCGAATCCAATGATATCAAAGTATTTTGCGTCACTAGAAGCAATGTTGGGAGGCTCGTCCGAGTCGACAAGAAGTTGTAGTGCTTTTCCTGCAGTGAGGGCAAACGCGGCGCCTGCTCCACCTGGTCCGCCGGGATTTGTCAGGATAGGACCACCATAACGTGGATCACTAACTGGCACTACAGCAGGTACCTTTGTGATGGCGATACTAACGGAGTGATTGGGGTAAGCGCCATTAAAGTAGTCCAATGGCAGCTTTAGTTTGGCGCATTCAAACCCGTTGAAGCATTTGTGAAATTGTAGATGTTCACTCGCCGATATCTGGGCTTTGATTAACTGATGTATTTTGTTTTGTGGAATCAAGACGAGATGGAAGTCGACTACCCAATGCAGTAAAACAAAATCAATGAGAAAGAGTGGGATGCACTAGTTTGCAACAAGCAGCTCGCCTAGGGCAAAACATTTCTAGAGCATAGTAGCGGTCTGGTGCAGGACTTGGCGGAGGGATATTGTGTCGATATGAGAAGGTGCAGACGCACGTGTAGGGTGCGGTGTGACGATGAGCAAATGGACACTTCCATACCTCGTCCCATTCAAAAGCAGGCTTTTCCTGCAGAGGCAAGAGGACATGCCGTGTCTTGGATGCAGGAAATATAGTGTTGAGGGCTGCGAGGCAGACGAGAGTGACGAAAGCCGCCGATAGGACACGCGAGGCAGTTTGGGGCCGTCGAGGGTAGACAGGGGCGGCGGCTTGGTCCGACGCTATTCGATTTTTCATATTGTGGATGCTTTTGTTGTAGGGCCAGCAGCTATGGCCGAAACAGTAGGGTAATCCAGACGTAATTGACTATGCTGCGTAATCGGCGATGGGGTAAATAGTAGGGGAAGAGGGAAGGATGCGGGGTCGGCGAGGCCGTCAGACAGCAGTGAGTGAGGCGTGTGCCTCGCTAGGGGAGTAGGTACACTTTGGGGCTTGTTGGTCAGTGAGTAGAACATGGCCTTGCCAGGCAGCAGCAGCAAAGCAGCAAAGCAAAAGTAACCACCAAGCCAAGGGGGGCCCGCATGTGCGTGAGGGCTGCCCAGTCCATCTCCCCCCTCCATGGCCGTGCAGATAGTTGCATATTCACCAGACGCGTCTCTGCTGCAGCTTGAGCGGAAATGGTGAGCGACTAGGTATGCAGCATGCAACGACCGTCACAATGCGTGCTTTTAGCCGGCCTCGAGCCTCTGGGCATTGCGTCGTCGTGCACAAGAGCGGATTATGCATCCCCATGTGTGAGTGTGTGTAGTGAAGATTGCAGAGTGCAGAGTGTGCGCAAGACGCCATGGCGATCGGAGCACCGTCTGCTCCCGAGGTTTTCTTCTGCTGTCTAGGTACCGCAGAGCCTCATTGCCGTTGCATACCGACACCTACTCGTACCATACACACTCCCTCTGAGCCTCGCCCAGCCATCCAGACGACCCAATTGGGCATGCACGCAGAGTGGCTACAGCCGTGTAAAACCAGTTAACGAAAGTTTGTAAATAGACCAAAGTCATCCGCATATGACAAGGACAGAGCAGCAGCACCTCCTGACTCAATGGGTATCTCATCTCTCAGTACCAACCACCCCTCATTGCCATCCCCAAACATTACATATCACGCTCATGCAAACGGCCGCGCCCGGAAACCCCCCCTCGTCGTCTAGACACAGGTCTAGACCCAAGGGCCAACTTCGGCCTAAGCTACCAAGGTAATCGCATCCCTCATAGTACCTACTCCAAGCACAAAATCGCGGGGGCAAAGAGGCCGTCAGGCTCTCTACCATTGCTGCTGGCCTTGGCCGCCTTCTTGTCCGCCATAGCCTCCTCCCTGGCCACCACCGCCGTAGCCACCGCGAGATTGGTAGCCGCCGCCGCCGCCTTGTGAAGGGCCCCAGTTGCCGCCACCGCCGCCGCCGTACCCTTCTTGTATAGTCAGATTGTTAGTCCCCATGGAGTAGATGTTGAGAGCTTACCACGGCCGCCGCCTCCACCATAGCCTAGTAGTATGGTTAGTAAGATTTCAAGCCATCTGACTGTGGAACCCGTACCTTGTCCTCCACCATAACCTCCGCGGTATCCGCCTCCGCCTCCATAGCCGCCGCCTCGGGGAGCACCGCCGCCACCACCACCAGGGCGGTCGGAGGCCTTGTCGACACGGATCCTACGTCCGTCGAACCTGGAGAGGTCAGCGCATTCCTTTTGCTGGCCGGGGCGTGTATCCAAAGTCTCTCAGACGAGGACATGAAATGCGTGGACTGCATACTCCTCGTTGTTCATGGCTTGCATGGCAGCATCGGCCTCAGTCTCCTGGGCATAGCGGACAAAGCCAAAGCCTCGGCTGCGACCAGTATCGCGGTCCTTGACGACAACCTGTAGTAGACTAAGTATGACATGTGTGCATGGTGGTGGGCAGTGATGGGCAGTGATGGGCAGCAGTGGGCAGTGGTGGGCCGTCAGTGACTTACAGCTTCTTCGACTGGGCCGAACTCCTCAAACTTTGAGCGCAAAGTCTGGTCGTCGGTATGCCAGGCAAGGCCTCTGCTATAGGTCAGCCACGTGGGGACTGGAGAGGGACTGCACACTTACCCAATAAAGAGCTTGGCCATGTTGGGGGCGATGTCTTGATCGAACACTGAACGGTCTCAATAGTGGCTCTCGCAGGTCAAAAGCAATGCGCGGGATACAGAAAAGCTCAAGACATGGATTGACAGAAGTGGTGCATGACAAAAGGAGAGGCCGAGCAAGACTCGGAATCCATGGCGGCTTCTTGAGCAGGAGGCAGTAGTAGTAGGTAGCAATGTGACGGGACGAACATTTGGTATAGTAGTAGCACGGGGCTGGATAGAGTTGGTGTATGTATGTATGTATGTAATATGGTTGAGAGTAAGAGTAAGAGTAAGAGAGAGGGGAAGAGGAGGATGGCGCAAGGCAGAGGAGCACAAATGGCGAGCAACGTGTGGGTTTGGCGGGGCAGGGCAGTGTGATATGAGTACCCCTCCAGTGTGTGGCAGGTGAAAGAGCGCTAACTGTATCCAAGTCGACAGGACGGGCGCACGGACTGCGAGCAGCAGAACAGAGCCTGTGGGTGTGGGTGGGATGAAGAGAGGCAGAGCCAATGCCCATGCCGATGCAGCGTACGGCTCTTGCAGCCACGGTGTTTCGCAGCCGGGAGATGCCCTGCAGGCTGCAGCTGACAATGACGGCAGCAAGAGACTGGCTCTGCCTCACGCCGGTTGACAGGCAGGTTCGCCCTAGTGTGTCCCGTGTCTGTCTGTTCATGCTGGGGACATGCAGGCCGTGTCTAGCTCGAGCCTAAGCATTGCCCAATTGCAGGGCTGTCGGCGAGCCAGAGCGAGGGCAGAGCAGAGCAATTTTCTGATAGGTGCCATGTCTGCCCCCGGCCCATGGGTTTTCCTCTTGCTCTGCCTTGCCTTGGTCGCACACACTGCCGGCATGGCCTCGACACACGGCCATTGGGCCCACGGCCCACGGCCCACGGCGACAGTGCCAGTGCCAGTGCCAGTGCCAGGCCAGGTGCATGCATGCAATGCCTGTGTCTGCCCCGCGAACATGTTGGCTACTACTCAGCGCAGCAGTGATCTTCGCGCGTGGCTTTGGTCCACGTCGCGCACTGTCGTCCCAAACCCTCAACCAAGGCCGGGTATTGGACCACAGGGTGGTGGTTCAAAGAAGCTTATCAAGTCGCTATCACTAGTCAGATGCTGTGGGGATCGGGCCTAAGCCCTCTCGGCCTTTGATAGCTCGCCACCATTGCGCCAGCAGATGATCTACTTTAGCGTACACTACCGTGCCCTACCTACAATACCCACTGTGCCGCGACTCTTGTTTTCTTTTCTTGTTCTTTGAGGCTACAAAACACCTCATCTATTACACATGTATACACACATATGTAATTAAACTACCTATGCACATATATATACATAGATATACGCATCATACAAACTCGACATGGCCGCATTCTCGTCGCGCAGTCTGCAGCCCGACGTCTTGGCATCAAACCGTCGGCTGGCGGCATTGCAATATATAACATGTACTCACGGCACGGATGCTGCCCTCTCGGACCTGCCCCAGCATGCCCCATCGCCCAGCACACTCTACCAAACAACCCAACCAAGACTAAAATTCTCCTTCTCAATCCGGATCCCGTCTGTTTGTAAATGACTCACGCCTGCACGCCGGTTGGACTCGGCTCTTGCTGCTGTTAAAGCAGCGTACACATCTCTACACTTCTAGCAGGGTTTGCCCCAGAACTATCCCACAGCCGTCATATCAAGCAACCATAGCATGTCTCGTTATCAGCGCCGGAACTGGGTCGTGGTTAACAATGTCGCTTCTAGCAAATAGATGTTGCAAACATGCCGGCCTGCTCTTTCTCTGTCTAATCACTCGTGCTTTCCCTCTCATGAGACAGACACTAGCCAATCTTCCACGTCCACCGTACCTGCCTTGAGCTCTAGGCATGTATCACCACCCTCCCTCCAACGGCAGGCACGTCTCAAGCCGGGCGGGTGATTTCTCATCGCCCCCTCTTCCATGTCCAACATGGAACGACCTCCGCTAGACCACCTGACGACACTCGAATACAATGACACACTGAATACCACCATATCCACTCATTATTAGAAGCCCCGAAACACCACACGTACACTCAACGGCCCACAATGGACGTCCTGAAGTGGTTGGAGGAGACCGAGCAGCACCCAGTCCCTCAAGATGCTTGCAAGCCCAAGTCCAAGTCCAAGCGTTTGCCAAGGCGAGCAAAGTCCGACAGCTCTTTACTCGAGCCTCTCCCTTTGCAAGATTCCCCTGTCCAGCAAAGGGCCAGAAAACAAACTGCCCGTGATGTTCTCGTTGCTTCATCCAGTGCCTCCTCAACGAGCAGTCTGTATGCTCGCAAACCCAGGCGGAAGACACGTCCCGAACGCTACGAGCCAAACAAGCCCGAACATGCAGGACGTAACAACTCCTCGAAAAAAGCACGACACAAGTCGAGACGGAGAAAGGTTGAAAAGTCTGGCCAAGTAGTGCGAAACTTCAAAGCTAAGAATGTATCAGGGGATCGGCTTACTGTATGATCTCCATGCAGCAGCAACCTAGAATCACACCTCACACAGCAATGTACTGATGGCTGCTATAGTTGAAGCCTCCAGAGCTGGGCTTGTTCAACAAAGGTCGGACGTCAATTGCAGTCCGAGGCCGTGGCTGTAGGTATTCCAGAGCCACCGTAGATACCCTCGTCTACTTGGAGATAGAATGAAACCCAACCCAACTGATATTGTAACAGTGCCCGATCTTGTCTTTTCCGAAATGAAGTTTTTGCACAAGCACGAAGAACCAAAGCCCCCGCCCCAGCCGGATGTTCCCAGGAAGAAGCGCAAGATAGATCACACGCACACCAAAGACGGAGAGATTTCCACCTTCTTCACCACAGATCGCCATACGCTGGCGCAAAAGGTTCAAGACAAGCCTGCTAGCCATAGTAGCGTACGTGAGAAGAAGCGGCGTCATCATTATCATAGCCCAACGACTGATGTGGCGATACCCACCGTCGAGCCTGCTGATCAAATGTTTCTTCCACATTCTGATATCCAATATCCTCGACACGAGAGCACTCGTTGTGTGTCGTGGTCTGAATCCATTCGAGCACTGAGCACCACGTCAGCACACCATCAAGCCGATGATGACGCGCCTCACGAATGGCATGACTCGGATCGCTACGGACATTGCAAGTCCAAGATGAAGAGACCAGAAAGAACTTTCAAACAGCCAGAGCTTCCTTCAGTCGCCAAGCAGACTACAGACGACACGGCAGGATATTTCCGAGTATCCTCCCTCGCTCCATCTCACAGTAGAATGTCTAGGTCGCAGTCCTGTCCTCAACAGGCATCGTCTCCAAAACGAGTGAACCTTGTAGACCGCTCTGCGAAGCTTCAACCCACTGGTGCAGCTTACTCATCGTCATCAATGCCACCTGCCGTGCCCGCCTATCCGAGTACGGACGCGGGTCTAGTGTTGGCGGCAAATCGCTCAAACAGTCCACGGTTTGGAAAGTCGTCAATTCTAAGGGAAATACGTCCCGTCAGCCAGCATCAGGTTTTAGATGATGGCTACAACAACTGCGGTGAAGATCAGGAAACGTCTTCAGACCTGGAAAAGGTTCTCCAAGTCTGTAAAGATACCCTCTACAACCAACGTCGGGCAGCTCCGTCACCAAGAAATGGCGCCAACAGATCAGAGCACTTGCTCCCGATGCAATCGGCAGATCAACCGCGCCGGACAAGTTGGCATATGCCGACGCAGCGTATTCCCACTGTACGGTTTGCTCAGCTACCTGTCCAATATCATGTACAACCGACATTTTCTGGTCCTAGTATCTATGAGCAACAGGAACAACACCAATATCAACCATTGAGGGTTTCAGGCAATGAGGCCCTCGGCGACGATCCATGGGCTTTCGAGCAAGAGTACATGGACGATGACATGGCAATATGTTACAACGATGTTGGTTGGAATGATACAATAGAGGCAAGTATCTTGAATGAGTTGGGAGACAGCAACGAAATGTATGTGGCTGAGGGGGCCTTTGGGGTAGACCACATTGGTGAGGATTCTTGGCCTAGCAACAACCATGATGTGGCCCCTGGGTTCTGGCGGCCAAATAAGTTGTATTGAAGCCGAGAGGGCTGCCTCGCGTCAATGCCATATTGCTTATGAATGCCATGTGCCTCACCGGACGGCAATGACTCGAGTATGCGTAGATATCAAAAGCATGTACACACGCATGGACGACTGTCCCGAGGGCCTCTCAGATGATTTGGTACATGTCTAGATGGTTGCTTCGTGTTGGCAAGAGTTACACAGTAGGCTAGCGGGCAAAGTGGGCGGTGTGTCTGTGCACTCGGTACTACTTTAGCACTGGCAGCTGGGGAAGCTCGGGCATGCGCTCCACAGCGTCGTCGTTTTTCCATCCTCGGGCCTGGGCTATCGCACGGAAAGGACATCGGCTATGCTTTGACCGCCGTCTGAAATCAGATTGCCTATATGCCCGCCCCTCGCGCTGTGTTGCAGCTCCGTTCTGGCCGTACACTAAGCTCTCGGCCAATATTTTCTTTTCACCTGTCGTTGGCCGTCTCATGCAGACAGCCAGCGGTGACGTTCGTCACAGTGGCGCCGCCATCCCAACACAGCTCCCCGCCTGCCGGCAGCCCCACTAGACCCCTCAACGACAAAATCAACTCGAGGGCTCGTCAACTAGCAGGCCATCTAAACACCCCTTCCTCTTCCACAGCTCTCCACACAGCTGCCACGAAGACGTCGCCCACCATGTCTTACACCACCCGCAAGATTGCCGCAGCCAACACGCTCGAGCACCGCATCTTCATCGAGAAGGACGGCCAGCTTGTCTCGCCATGGCACGACATCCCCCTCTACGCCAACGAGCAGCAGACCATCCTCAACATGGTCGTTGAGGTGCCCCGCTGGACCAATGCCAAGATGGAGGTATGCAGCCTGCAATTGACCCTCTCAGTCGTCTTGAGAATTGCAGCACGCTGACCCTGTGTCCAGATCTCCAAGGAGGAGCCCCTCAACCCCATCAAGCAGGACATCAAGAAGGGCAAGCTCCGCTACGTGAGGAACTGCTTCCCCCACAAGGGCTACCTCTGGAACTACGGTGCCTTCCCCCAGGTACGATGATGCGATTCCGATATCGGCCTGCACACACACACGAATACTGATGTTGCATAGACCTGGGAGGACCCCAATGTCGTTCACCAGGAGACCAAGGCCAAGGGCGACAACGACCCGCTCGACGTGTGCGAGATTGGTGAGCTCGTCGCCAAGCCCGGCGAGGTTATCCAGGTCAAGGTCCTCGGTGTCATGGCTCTGCTCGACGAGGGCGAGACCGACTGGAAGATCATGGTCATCAACGTAAACGACCCATTGGCCCCCAAGCTCAACGACGTCGAGGATGTCGAGCGCCACCTGCCCGGTCTCCTCCGTGCCACAAATGAGTGGTTCCGCATCTACAAGATCCCAGATGGCAAGCCTGAGAACCAGTTTGCCTTCTCTGGCGAGTGCAAGAACAAGAAGTACGCTATGGACATTGTCCGCGAGTGTGCTGAGGCTTGGGAGAAGCTCATCACTGGAAAGACCCCCAAGGATGAGATCAGCCTGTATGTGTGCATCAATACTCCCCCTGACTGTGACTAATTGACTGGTAGCACCAACACCACCGTTTCAAACTCGCCAGACCGCGCTGACGCCAGCTCGCTCAACATTCCCACTGGCGAGAACAAGGCACCTGCTCCCATCGACCCCAGCATCGACAAGTGGTTCTACATCTCTGGTGCCCCATCCAACTAAGTCCAACGGTTGCCCGCCATGGCCATGGAGTGAATTTCGGGCAAGCGGCAATGTGCGATACTGCATCGACAATGTCTGATGGCTAGCCTGGATGTCTTTTATGGCAAATACTGCGGTAAATGGCAGATACAAGTGCATCATGTACCCATACAGAGCAGTAGAGAAAAATTAGTAGAAATCATGAAATCGTTTCGCGAAAGCCTCAACGAAAAAGCCACCATGACGCCAGCCTGTGCTTTTTGTGGACGTGTATATATACAATTGTTTGCATGAAATTGGGCCTTTAATTGCCCGCTAGCTCCTCCTTTCGTGCCAGTGACCGTGAATGTCTATCCACCTCCTCGACGACTTGTGGGATGCGCATGTTTGTGAGGTCCAGGTTCATTTCCTTGCCATCTTCTGCACATATGGATCAGCCTGTGTTCTGCAAACTAGGCAAGGAATACATACTGAACTTGACACCCAAGGTCGCAGGCTCCTTGCTGTGCCGTGGCAGCATCTTGGACTCAATCTTCATGCCATCTGAGCGCGCATCCGGTGGTATGAGGGAGAGGAAGAGCCGGGCGGGTTTTGAGCGCGGGGAGAAGGGATTGAAGGTTACGCGAACGTCGGTAAGGAACCTGGTGATCATGGCGGCGACGGAAAGGCGAGGCCTGTCGAGATAACGTTGTAGCAATTGCTGAGTGCGTGAGAATGCGACGACGTACCTGTGAGTGTCCGGTAGGAGAAGGTCGAAGTCGCAATGGGCGTTCTCAATCTCTCCAGTCGCACTTCCGCCATGAGTCCGTGCTCGAGATTTCCTGCCAGGCTACGGCGGGTGGTTCAGACACGTTGCGCTCTTTCCCCCCCACCAAACAGCCCGCCGTACGTACCGCCTCCGTCATAGGGCAACTTTCATACAGCCACCGTCGCTCTCCGCATTCCGAGCCTCACCATGGCTCCTATTCCCTCCACCATCCAATCCCTGACCACACGCCTAACTGCCCTCGCCGAATCTAACAAGGCTGTCGGTCAGCTCATACAGCGCCTCGCCAAACTAGATTTCCAGCCTGGCTCACAGCCACTAGACCCTGCAGAGGGTGACGTGAGATTGGAACTAGGCGCCGAGATACACGAGACACTCAAGGGAATCGAAGAGGAACTAGAGCTCCTGAGGCAGGAAGTTGAGGACATTACTCAACAGGGTGGCATTGCTGGTCGAAGAAAAGACAGTAGCAAAGAAAGTGAAAGGAGTAGGCTAGCAGTACTGCTTGCAAGGTTGACCGAAGACTTGAGATCGTAAGTAGGCAGATGCTATGGTTTTTCCAGAGATGTTGTCTGCTGGTTGCTAACGCAATACGCGTCTGCAGTTCACGAGCGCAGTATCGCAAGGCCCAGCTCACTGCTAAACACAACGCCGACCGCGCAAAACTCAAAGAGCGCGAACTACTCTTCTCCAACCTACAATCGGGCTCCTCTACTCCTTCGTCTACATATCGCCAAAGAAGACAACAACAAGGAACATCAGAAGGCGAAATTGTTGCGCAGGCCTCTTCGGACGTTACCGCTGCCCTACGTAGGACGCATCAGTTGATGAGAGACGAGCTTTCACGCTCCCGATTTGCACAAGAGACACTCGAACAATCCACTGTTGCACTTGAAAACCTTGGCGACAATTACTCAGACCTCAACACTTTACTCGCGAATAGCAAAACTCTAGTATCGACATTGCTGAAGAGCCAAAAGAGTGACACGTGGTATCTGGAAACTACCTTTTACGTCTTGATAACAACTGTCATCTGGCTCGTTTTCAGACGCTGGTTGTACGGACCTCTGACGTGGTTTGTTCTCTGGCCGCTCAAGCTTGTCTTCCGCATCGTTTTTGCCGTTGCTCCAATCGGCGCGGCATCGTCGGCCGCAAGTTCGAGCGTCGCAGCATCTTCGTCGTCATCAAGAACCCTAGTTGTTCAGCCTAGCGCAGCTGGTGGCATTCCCCGGCGCGAACCTAACGGCCAACCACAGTATATTCCTGTCGGTCGTGGAGGACACAAACAAGATCAAGACCCCAGTCCGCCAGGTTCATATTCGCAGCAAGTTGGCAAAATGGCGGAACAAAGTCAACAGCAGCAAGAGGAAGTGCCCGATCACCCACAGTTTAGGCAGCCGAGGAAGGATGAGGATGATGGACCAGTCACATTGGGCGATGGAACTGTATTGAAGGAGAGCAGTAAGCCGAGGAATCCAAAGAAGAAGATGTGGGATGAGGATGTTGAGAGGAAGAAGTTGGAAGAGGAGCAGCAGCAACAGCAACAGCAACAACAGCAGGAGGCTGGTGGTGAGCGGAATCGGGATGAACTCTAAGCTGCTGGTGTTGTTGTAGATAAAAGAGTGTAGTTGTACCGAAGTTATATAGTAATTATTCTTATCTTTAATCTTTACTACCAAGTCCAAGGTACATCTCTACATAGCGAGACGCGGGCCGCAGTACCGCCTTCGATCGCCAACTGACAATAGCACGAGCGACGGACAGCCATTTAGCACCTGAGGTTAAGAAACGATTGCTAGCTACTCCACCATTGTCCTGAGGTGTACAATCAGCGTCTCTACAACCTTGGCGACTAAACTTCGAAAGAAGACGCGAGATCAGCTTCAGGAGCAGACAAAATCCAAGCTGCTCATGAGCAGCTGTTTGTGGAGAATTGGAAAAAGCGCTTCTCTTACACAGATGCAAGCAGTATATCATCCATATTTTCTCGAGCCGCAACAGTATCGCTATTCTTGAGTTTTCTTAATTGCCTAGATCCAATGCTATGATCAAGCTTCCCCCCCCCAGCCTTGACGATCGCAGTGCTCGTACAGAGAGCCGTTCCTTGTTCAGTTATACGGAAAACTGTATTCTTCTCCTTTTATGAGACAAGACGAGAGGCTATTAGCTCAGCAGAGGGATATATATAACAGTCCGGTTTTAGGGGCTTGAGGGCAAGGAAGCTAGTGAGGTCATCGTGCGTGGGACAGCTGTATTAAAGTCTCTTCGACGCTAGCAACACGTTTACTCATAAAACATATTCATTTTTATTTATAGAAATATGAAGAATTTAAAAAGAAAGACATCTACTGGAGAAACTAAATTCCTAACATATGGAAAAAAACAAAAAAACCGGATTGTTTTTCTTCTCTTTTCATCGCTAGAAACCGGCTGCCCATGATGGCTAGACTCAATCATATCTATCTATTCCTCAAAGTTGCTTCGTGAACATCGTATTGACGCAAAGTAGGAATCATCTTCCTCCCAGAAAAGAAAAAAAAGGCTATAAAAACGCCATACATGCATGCCCAGCTAGAGTGTCTACCCATGGGACTTTTTTGAAAAAAAAAACGAAAAGAAGAGACAAAAAATCTAAGCCTCATTCCCAATCTTGCCCCCAACAACCGCCTTCTCCAACGCAGCAACAACATCAGCCACAAGATCCGCCTCATCCTCGACACCACAGCTAATCCTGACAAGATCATCAAACACACCAGCGGCCTCACGCTGCTCCTTGGGGATACCGCCGTGCGTCATAGCACTGGGGACTTCAACAAGCGACTCCACACCACCCAGGGACTCGGCCAGCGTAAAGATCTTGGTAGCCTGGCAGAAGCGTTCAGCAGCGACATGTCCGCCCTGGATGCGGAAGGAGAGCATACCGCCGCCCATGCCGTCGCGGTGCTGCTTGAGCGCAATAGCGTGTTGTGGGTGCGACTTGAGACCTGGGTAGTTGACCGAGATGACGTGTGGTGAAGCCTCGAGTGCCTTCGCAACGCCCGTCGCGTTCTTGGTTGCCTCGCGGGCGCGCAGGTGCAGAGTCTTGAGGCCGCGGTGAGCGAGCCAGCAGTCGAAGGCGGAGGGGACGGCGCCAATGGCGTTTTGGAGGAAGGAAAGGCGCTCGTAGAGTTGCTCGGAGTTGAATGCTGCGGCGCCCATGACGACGTCCGAGTGGCCGTTGATGTATTTTGTGACAGAGTGCACGACAATGTCTGCGCCGTGGTCGAGCGGGTTTTGCACGTAGGGGCTCATAAAGGTGTTGTCGACGACGACCATGATGCCGTGCTGGTGGGCGATTGTCGCGACTTTGCGGATATCGACGAGGGTCAGGGTGGGGTTCGAGGGTGACTCGATCCAGATGAGCTTGGTGTTTGGGCGGATGAGTTCGGCAATGTCGATTTCGATGCTCGGGCTGAAGGTCACCTTGACGTCGTGCGTGAGGGCGACTTTGGTGAAGTAGCGGTGCGTTCCGCCGTAGACATCCGAGACGGAGACGACGTGTGAGCCTGCTGCGAGCGATTGCAGGATGTTGGCTGTGGCGGCAGAGCCAGAGGAGTAGGCGAGCGCATAGCGGGCATGCTCGAGCGCTGCAACGGCCTTTTCAAAGTTGTCTCTGCAAAGATGGCGGTTAGTCGTGATTCTTGGACTTCAAATATTTCCGAGAACAAAGAAAAAGGCGTACCGGTTGGGGTTTGAGGAGCGTGAGTACTCGTACTCGCCAATGGGCTGACCAACACCGGTTTGCGCAAATGTGGTGGAAAGCGAAATCTATTACGTCGTCAGCCAAATGCTCCCATAACACATCAGATGATACTAGAGAGGGGAAAAAGACATACAGGCTCAATTACAGCGCCAGTAACAGGGTCGTGAGGACTTCCAGCGTGCACAGCCAGAGTCCCAAATCTGTGGACTGGCGAGGCCGGGCGTGGCGGGGTATCGATGGGGTGGTCGGCCAGCGTCATGGTTGTACGGTCTGAAATTAACTTTTTGCTTAAAGTATGACGAAAAGTGACGGTGGTAGAAGGGAGACTATTCAAACTTGAGATGAAGAGTCGTACGTAAAAGGGAAGAATGAGGGGAAAAGGCGAAATTTCTTTTTTCAAAATTCAGAGATCAGGGCTTGACCAGGTTGATATATATGGCGGTCGTCTATGGTGGAGGATTATGTACTTTATTCCGAGCGAGGAATGCTAGCGCAGAACAAACGCCGTACTTGGGCGGTCTGGGTCTCCGGGTTGGTCAGAGAAATCACGTCTTTCAGGGTCAGACGCGCAGACGTGACAGAAATTTTCTTTCGCAGCAAAAAAGTTTTGGAGGTGAGGGAATCCACTGAGGGTGTGTGGGCTTTTTCTCGCCCGACCCATCTGATGTATATATACGTATACTATTCCACGCTCCCCCGGGCGACGGCCCGTTTGCTCGTCCGACATTTCTCAGCAACAGGTGCATTATTCAGACTGGCGTTGGCACACACACACACACACAAATGCAGGCCGCTCGAATGGCGACATCTGGCTCGGCACAAGGGCGCGTTGGTTTCGTGAGCAAGCGGGGATGGTGTCATAGTCGATCCGCCTTGCGACGGTCTTGGCACCCGCTCCCTGCTGATTACACATGGCGACCTGCCACTGCTCGGGCGAGAGATTGGTAATACGTAACGACATATGCAGTGCACTACACCCATACCCGCTGCTATATCCGTTACTTGATGATTTGAGTATCTCTGCCAACCCTTTCTCCACCTGCCTACTTCTACATACACACTTGCGCATACACACGAGTCACCCCCATCACCTCACCTACCCTATTAGTATGCGTCATCCCCGGGCCTACTCTTTAGCTTAACGTAGCCACTTACGCCCTTCTTCCGCGTTGCCTGCTCCCCTTCAGAAACATCCCCTTTGCGCAATCCTGAAGGCTTTCCATTGGCCATGTTCGAAGTGAGATAGCTCCGTCCATCATCCAAACCCGTATTACCTCGCCGCTTCTCGCCAACAACAACCGGATCCTCGGCAATCAAGTTCTCCATATCCTCCCATTCCTTCTGGTTCAGTACATCCCATTCTTGTGCCTGTTGCTCAGCAAGCAAGAATGCCTTCAGTTCATCCACTACCTTTGTAGGCGACAGGCCCCATCCGCTAATGTAGTTTGCATTCTCCGCCATACCCAGGTAGGAATGTGATGTTGCATGTGACAACTGCCCAAAACCCACAGGCATCTTTCGAAGTATAAATCGGGATGACTTTGATGTCGTGATGTCCTTGTCAAATGCGTTCTCCAGCCGCTGTGCATTATATGACTCTTGTGCAATGAGCAGTCTGTATAGATTGCGACCCATCGAACACGTATCTTCCCACTGCTTGAAGCTGTCCTTCATGCCTTGCGTGCGACAAAGCCATGCTGCATTGTATGCCAGCAACGAGACGCCTTCAATAAAGGACGAATATGCAGGGGGGTCCTCGGCTGAGAGATGACTCAAGGGTCGGTCGACGAACAGAGTACGGGGCTTAGGGAGGTGTATGCGAGCCTCAAGCGTGCGAGAGGCCTCTGGGCTGGCATTTGACGAATGTGAAGGCGTCGATCCAGGAAAGGGTACCTTCTTTCCTTGGTACGAGGATGCCGGACTAAAGATAGTCGGTTGTGGATAGTCACTATGGGGAAGTGTGATTTCGGCCGGAAGACGGATCCCCAGATAGGCCGCAACACGGACGAGGAGCTGAGCCACCGCAGCCAGGGAAGCCGATAGACCGTCTGGCGCTACATCTGCGCAAAGGTTAGTATGTCGCCATATTGAGCAATCGTTAGAGCCGTACCATTCAGGTCCCGGAGGTCATGTATCCGTAGGCGTGAGCCGGGCCCAATGTTGAAGACCTCCTTGATGCTGCCATCTCTCGTCTTTCGCCGCTGCATCTTCAGGCCCGCAAGCTTCGCCGCAGTCGTGCACAGCTGCATGCGCAAGTCTATCGTATCGTGATGCATCTTGTCCGCATTGTAGTCCAGCCTCTTGATCTTCTGCTGGACCTTGTCCAACTCATTCGCCCGTCGCGACTCGATCCCATATGTGGCGGAGGAAAGGTCCGACTTTCGCTGCGCGTTGGCTGCGCGTTTCGCCTCGAGTAGCTTTCGTGTGGCATCGATCTGTTCGCGAAGTCTATTCGTATGTTCTGATATGTCCCTCACACGCTCCTGTATTTCCGTCGTCTCGGCTTTCGTCCTTTCCCAGTTTAGATTGTTCGTGCATTCCTGTCTATCGACCAAAAGTCCACCCTTGGAGTCCACAAGCGAGACGTGTTGTATCGCCTGGTCCTCGGAGCCGTTTATAGTTGCCTTGACATGCTTCTCGACGCCATCACGGTCTATCAGCGTCCTTGCGAGCTCGATGCGGGGCTGTTCGAGGTATGAGCGGGCGCATGTCATGCAGTGGAAAGGCTGGCTGGGGCCGCCAGTTTTCCCGCAGATGTCGCAGTCCATGGCGAAAAGGTGTGTTAGGTGATGTCGCCTTCAGATATTTCGTAGTGTGGTAGGAGTGGACGGTACATCGAGACCATGGTGAGTGTTTGGCCGCGGTGGGTTGGCAGCAGCCTACGTATCCATGGAGATCGGCCAGTAAGGTGGCCTGTGAAGAAAGTACAAGCTATGCGAAGGGAAGCTGTTTGTGCTATGTGCGGGTGAGGGTGAATGGGAGAGCACCTAGAAGGCGCGCAAAGGAAATAGGCAGCGTGACTGAGGCGGTACGGTACTATCTAGGGGCCGGCGCGAGTCGCGAGTCAGACGCACCTTCCAACGTCATGCCGCGACTGACCAAATCCTTATCGCGCCGGGCACGTGGTGTACACAGCATATCCCCAAACAACACCGGGAAACACCGGATTATGCTCTACATTAAGGATATCAAATCTATATCCACGCGTCAAACACCGTCTTGATGGTGATACGACAGTGCTGCAATTACTCTACTACTAACCCGCAGCACTGACCGCCGCCACAAGCATCGCGAATGAACAGCACCTCCGACACCGAACGTGAACCCCTCTCCCCAAGTCACACTTTGCCGGTTCTACCCTCCTCGCCCCCTGTACTGACCCCCCTTCACCAAACCCAAGGCATGGGTAATGATCCGGAATCCGAGGCTGAGCCTCCGAGGCAAGATGCTCAAAACTCTCGCCTATCGCATAGACGAGTAGGCTCCGATGAGACGGAACGGCCACACTCAGCTCAGCAAACCCAACACGATACCGACAGCCACATCAGTGAAACCAGCGAAGAAGAAGAATTCGACGAGGATGATTCAGATCCTGCGCACAGAATCGGCGACTTTGACTGGGAGGATCTGCATCATCGGTACCACGAAGCTATGAAAGTTTGTCACGGTGAGGAAGCAGCGTTGATGGAGGAATGGGAAAGCCTCATGACTGTAATTTGTGCTGCTCCTCAAAACAGAAGGAAGATGCTGATGCTGTTCTGCCTAGTACTTCCGCATATGGGCGCAGTCAGGACATGAGCATGAAACGGATCGTACATATTCGAGGTGGGTCGTCCACCCGATTTGATAAATCGTCCTACAATCTACTAAACTCTACCTCAGACTCTGCACGCGCACCTCCTACGTTCAGCACTCGGAGGACACACTTGAGCAAAAGCGAAATCACTGTAAGCTAATCTTGCCACATCTTTCTTTCAAACTTGGCATGTACTAATGCGATGCAGATATCAGCGTAGTGAGGGCCTTTGAAAGTGCGCTCAACCTTCTCAAAGCCAGTGGCCTGGGGCGCTGATGCTCATCAACTTAGATGACATCTATCTCGCCCATCATGCGCCTCAACCGGCTGTCTTGCCACGAAATATATCAAACGGTGAGGTGACGTTGTTTACTAGACGGTCGATGCTTTCGTCTAGTTTACCTACCTGTACCTCGTCACATGTGCATATTATGCGTTGCTCAATCATGTGATGACTTAAGTCAACGACGAGCCGAATCATGAATCTCGGAGACAGCCTGAGACAAAAAGCACTCGCATGCCTCGTGTAGCACATGATATGATACCCATTCAAAAATACAACTTCAAATTTTCTTCATTGCCGAGAGTTCTCCCTGTCTAAAATCCTAAATCGACAGCTCAAGATTCTATACAACATGCCATACCCGAACCAGCTAAGCCATGACGCAAAAAAAGGCTTCTATCATGTTGCCGAAATCTATACAAGACATGGGTTGTTTGTTTCTTCCATGCTATTCAGATATGCGTTGAAAAAAGAAAGGAATTGTGTCCTTCTTGCCCGAGATGTGCCAGAAAAAATCGTTCTAAAGACAGTGCAAGTGCGCAACAGTAACCGCCGAGCTGAGACAAGCCGTTTATAGAAGAGGGTTAGAACGGTATTCGGGGACGATACCGTTGGTCTGCGACTTCTCGGCTTGGTTCTCGGTCTCTAGTTCGTTGCTAACGCTCTCGTCACGCTCAGCAAGCCACTTCTCGGCTTCGAGAGCAGCAATGCAGCCGGATCCTGCGCTGGTAATGGCCTGTCGGTATCGCTTGTCTTGAACGTCACCAGCAGCAAAGACACCTTCTACACTGGTAAGACCTTCACCAGGCTTAGTGATGAGGTAGCCATCCTCATCCATGTCGAGCTGTCCCTTGAACAGCGCGGTGGCTGGGTCGTGTCCTACGGCATAGAACAAGCCCTTGGCCTCCAGTGTCTGCTCTTCCTGTGTCTGGTTGTTCTTGACCACCAAGTGTGTCATGAGGCCATTCTTCTTCTCCTCGCCCTTGATCTCTACACCGCTGGTGTTGAACATGACCTCAATCTTGGGGTGCGTTGTCAACCGGCGGGCGTTGGTTCGGCTAGCCCGTAGTTTGTCTCGTCGGACGAGGACAGTAACCTTTTTCGCCTTCTTGGTGAGGTAGAGTGCCTCCTCTACTGCTGAATCTCCGCCTCCAATGACGACGAGGGGCTGGTCGCGGAACATGGGCAGTGATCCGTCGCAAACTGCGCATGCAGAGACACCGTTGCCCCAGTACTTGTCCTCGCCCTTGAGGTCTAACCTCCTTGCTTTGGCGCCAGTTGCGATGATCAGAGCATCAGCAGTGTGTTCTTCCTCCTCAATTTCGACATCGTCACCCATGGGGTGTAGCCAGTACTTGAAAGGGCGCGCCTTCAGGTCAACCTTGGCGACGGTCTGGGAAATGATTTCGGTGCCACATGCTTCGGATTGTTCGCGCATTTGTTCCTGCTTATTGTAAGTAATTGTTGGTGCACAAGAGCTTTTGTGGCTAGCGACTGACCATGAGCTTTCCTCCTCCAATCTTTGTGAAGCCAGGGAAGTTCTCGACTTCGTCCGTGGTGGTCAACTGACCGCCTGCCGCGATACCGAGAGCCATGAAACCCTCGTACATTACGGCTACACAATGTTAGTAGTGGATGGGAATGTTTAAGGAGACAACATACGGTTCAGGTCAGCTCGTGCAGCATAGATGGCTGCGGTGTGGCCTGCTGGCCCAGAGCTACAAATGTTAGATCGGTGTCAAAAAAAGAGTTGCCGCAACCAGCCGCAAACTCACCCAATGACTACAATACTGTTAGCTCTTGTTCTTGCCATAGAAATTCGGGCATAACTTACTGACTAGTTTTGAATGCATGTTACGCGCTTGTACTTTTGAAAAACTTGAAGCAGTTGAGAGCCCCGCTACAGGTGATACGTGCTGGTTATGCGATGCGGCGGCAGCGACGGGCACGGAGAACAGGGACAGAGATCGAGGCGAGGTGGCCCTTCGGAAGAGTGATGCGAACACTTTGGCGACGTTTGCGAAAACCCGCGGGTCGCGTGCAAGATCTGGTTGTGGATGTGGGTCGTGTGCGGAATGATGGTGGGATGGGGTGTCAAAGTTGGACGACCCGCGTGTGTAGTGGCGTACGGAGTGTCTTGTATGAAAACGAGAAGACGAGAGAAAAAGGACTCGAAATATGGTCTTCGAACTAGCTCAGAAGATGCCGCAATTAGTGAGCGCTGGCTTGGTGGCTTCGGAAACTCCGCAATGTTCTGGATGATGGCGATGGGCCGAGGCGTAGTGGGGGTGTCTGTATTATTCAATCCTGCGCAAAACTGAGCTTAGTCAGTATATTCGATTTTACCGGCCGAGGTTTCGCGCGCGCTATCAAAGTGAAGACTGTCAAAAGGAAATAATTGACAAGCAGCTACCTTCAAGTGAAGATGAAAGAGGATTATTGCGAGACAAGAAAGAAGTAAGATCCTTGCCGCGGGTTGACGGCAAGTGCACGTTGCCGTGCCTTTGATGGATTCTTAGAAATCCGATGGCGACTAGACCCACGTAGCCCTCAGCCGCGCAACTTTCGGTTTTTACAACCCTTACGCCATAAGACGGGGGGACCCGTGCTCCTCTACTAGACTTCGGCACTGACGCACATGTCGGAGCCATCGGGCTATTTGCCCAGGCAGGCTCTCCGGCTTGGGCGCACAAGTCGTGAGGTAATCACAGCCCATGACATTTCGTACTCATCACGGTCTACTTTCTATCTTGGTGTGTCGGCCGTGCTGACAACTTCTATCATCATCTCCGGAACAATTCTCTCGCATCATGTTAGCTAATCCTCCGCGCCTGGACGCTTCCTGAGGTTCTCGATGTTGTATAGTATGCTCCGAACACCATCGTCGTCTGCGCCCTGAACACTGCTATTCGCCGTGTTGCCACTCCGCTCAAAACTCTCCAGCTCCTTTGCAAGTTCTGTATCTTCCTGCCACAGGCCCTCGGGTTGAAAAGAGAAACACTGCAATCTAGGTACCTTTTTCCATGTCAGTAAAGATTCACAAATATATGCAAGTAGGCCGCTTACTTGGTCCTCACGTTTCTCCGTGGTTGAGCCTGGTTTGTGGACGTTGTCTATGGAGACTATAATTCGAACGGAACCTGTCGGATCGACAATCAAAGCAACGTCAAGCACATTGCCGTTCAATGAGATTTGAGATCCAGGTGTAGATCCTCCCACCGCCAAGCCGAATAGTGCTGGGACACCTTCACACGCTACAAGGATACGCTCGGCCTGTCTAAAGTCAGATGTTGCATTTCAAGGAAATCAAACGGACGATATACGCACATCATTTCCCTGGTTTGGCAAAGGCCATATACCAGAGACGGCGACCTTGTAATTCGTACGCTCCAGGTCCATCGGAACCGCATTCCGCTCCTGGAGATGGCCAAAAGCGAGATCTCGGATGTTGAGCCTCTCCTTCAAAGAGCAGGTTCGCCAATCCCATACGAACAAATCGTCATCTCCGCCGCCAGAGACAAGAAGGCCGGATGGCGTGAGACATAGTCTGCTTACAAAGGCCTCGTGACCGAAGCAGAAGCCCTCAATAATGTGGGCTTGCGGTTGACCTCGTGAAATTCGGATATGCTCGTCACGGTCGGCAGTTATAATGTAACTCCGGCCATCCAAATTTGCATAGGTGACATCTGTGAGCATGGAAACGTGCCCCAGGAGGAGTTCGTGCTTGAAGCGCATGGGCTCTTTAGACTTTGCGGGACCCTTTGCCTTTTGCTTGAGCTGCTCTTCTAGGGTTTTTCGATTTCTGCCAGAGTGGACTGTCAGAGTCGTAGCGGAGGGCATCCAGTCCTTTTGCTCTGGTTCAGCTGCAGGGATATCACGCTGCTGCGCCAGATCGTCTGCTGGTGAGGGGAGAAGTGGCAAAGCATATACGTCTCCGAACTTGTCCGCGCATAAGATTGTTGTGTCGTCAGACGTGATGGTGATTGAAGAAGGCCTTCTAGACATGCATCTTGCCAGCATCAGCATATGCACTGGACAATTATTTGTCTTTCTTACCTATCACTTAATTGCTGTAGTCGATCCTGGGCGTCGATTTCAAAGACTCGGATGCACTTGTCCTCGGCAGTAACGCCAATTAGATACTTTCCATTGTGCGATAGTATCAGATCCGAAAAGTTGGACTTTTGCTCTTTTGGTTGTTCCAACTTGATCCTTTTGCCTGGGCGCTCCTCAGATTCGCTATCCTGCTGCTCCTGCTCGTGTTAGTGACATGTCAAGGCAATACTATCCAACAGAACACTACAATGCAGCAATATGGTTATGGAGCATCACACATTGTCTCACTCACTTCGGTCTGCGCTTCCTGTGCTGGCCACACTGATGTCGCTCCGTTGCTAGACTGGACCACCAGCTTCGGTCCACTCGCACCGAAGAGCACCCAGTCGCCTACATTTTTGGAGCTCCGCGCAACAAGACATTGGTAAGGTGCAGCCATGGTGTTGCGACTAATGCTGTCTCTGTCCAGGGTGGTCGTACTTTTTCTCTGCCTCTGTCTCTGAACGCGCTAGCGCATTAGCGAGCAGGGGCCACCCACAGCCGGACAACCTCAATTTTCGCGCCCACGACGAACTTTCTCTCCCCAACAACACCCACGACCCAAATTAAGACCTTAAACATCCCTTTGCGTCACCGAACACAATGGGGGGCAAGAAAGAATCCAAGGCCGCTTACTTCGAGAAGCTCGATGTCCTCCTCAAGGAGTACAAGAGCATCTTCATCGTCACCGTCGACAATGTCTCGTCGCAGCAGATGCACGAGATCCGTCAGTCGCTCCGCGGTGAGGGTGTCGTCCTCATGGGCAAGAACACCATGGTCCGCCGTGCTCTGAAGGGTCTTATCGCCGACTACCCAGAGTACGAGCGCCTTCTTCCCCACGTCAAGGGTGCGTTTTCCCATGTACATACACCTCACTACTAGGCCATGGCGCTAACATTGGCATAGGCAACGTTGGTTTCGTCTTCACCAACGGCGACCTCAAGCAGATCCGTGACAAGATCCTCTCCAACCGTGTCGCTGCTCCCGCTCGTGCCGGTGCCGTTGCCCCTGGCGATGTGTACATTCCCGCCGGAAACACGTAAGAACATCTCTGGCACATGCATCGTGAACACACAATTGACAAATGGACAGTGGTATGGAACCCGGAAAGACCTCTTTCTTCCAGGCTCTCGGTGTCCCCACCAAGATTGCCCGTGGTACCATTGAAATCACCACCGACTTGAAGCTCATTGAGGCCGGTAACAAGGTCGGAGCTTCCGAGGCTACTCTGCTCAACTTGTTGAACATCTCGCCCTTCACCTACGGTATGGGTATCTACCAGATCTACGACAACGGCCAGACCTTCGACGCCTCCGTCTTGGACATCAGCGAGGAGCAGCTCCTTAAGACCTTCTCCACCGCCATCACCACCATTGCCACCATCTCCCTGGCTCTCAACTACCCTACCCTGCCTTCCGTCATGCACTCCGTTGTCAACTCTTACAAGAAGGTCCTCGCCGTCGCCGTCGAGACCGACTACGAGTGGGACGAGATCTCCGAGCTCAAGGACCGCATTGCCAACCCCGACAAGTACGCCTCCGCTGCCCCATCCGGCGGCGCTGCTACTTCTTCCAACGCCCCTGCCGCCAAGGAGGAGGCCAAGGAGGAGGAGAAGGAGGAGTCCGAGGATGAGGACATGGGCTTCGGTCTTTTCGACTAAGCTCATAACGTTTGCGATGGCATTTCTTGAGAGATCTCGGTATGGCTACGGCCTGCCGATCATGTCTTGATGATTTAGACAGTCAACGACAATACGATAAGATGAAATCAGCAACAGAACAGAATGACCGTGATGCTCCCAAAGCAACGGCGTCCAATCCAACATCAGGTAAGCTCAATCTCTTATTTATTCACTTTGCTATGATTATTTTCTTTTTAACCCTGAGGTCCTACGGTGAGGATTAAAAATACAACAACAACAACACTCTAATTTTTTAATGAGCAACCTGTTTCACTTTTCTGTTATCAGCTTATGTTGCGGATCTCAATGCTGACTTGAAAACAGATTTACAGTTGTGCACTTTACACTACATTTTGTCTACGTGAAACTCAATTAGTGCAGATTATGCGATGCTAACAAGGCTTCCTGCCCTTTCAAGATCTATGCGCAACCAAAAGCACTTCCAGAGCGCCTTACCTCCTAAGCTTCGGCAGACACTCTCGCTTTGTATATTCCCAGTGTAAACATCTGCATGTGACCAAGAATCGCCATTGTCGTCGACTGCTAACCCTTGTGCGTGCTTTTTGAAAAGCCTTGTTGCGACAGCCTTGGCTATTCCTTTGCCTCTGTAGGCCTCTTCTGTATGTAGTGTAACCAGAGAGCCATCCAATCCAAGAAACGTCCATGCCACTGGCATGTCCGTCTTTTCTTCAAAAACACCTACACTTCTCAATGACATCAAAGTGCTACGTGTGCGAGGTATAGATGTTCGTGCCTGGACAATTTCAATGTCTTGTTTGCGCATCTCACCCCACCGCAACCCAGCAGGCAGCTCTTGAGTTTCTGGTAGATCGGAATGCTTGAACAAGAACTTGTTGAGCTCAGCGTCTGGACCTGGAAGCTCCGTACGTACAACGCCTGCTTCGTGCAGAATTTGAAGCACATCACGCTGGCATGCGCCCACGGTGATGGTTTTGGGAAGAAGCAGATGGCGCATGTACGTTCCTGGCGCAGATTCATAAGCGCCTGAAGGTGGCGGGGTTGGATGTTCTCGTTCATGCTGCCTTGCAAGGTCCATGGCGGGAAGGTTGTCGATACGCATTGGAGGTGTAGGCAGTGTAGACATGTAATCTACCAAAGCCAATACAGCTCTTTTGCACTCGTGGCAGTACTTTTCACCATCATCTCCAGTTGAAGAAGTGGTTGAAGATTGATGATTCGGCAGCTCAAGGGTGCTGAAGATCCACAACTCGGTTTCTGGTCGCATGGACCGGTCCAGGTACGCTGCTGCCCAGCATTCTGGTAGTATCGCTTCTGGCGATGTGGATTCGGGGAAAGTAGCGAGTATGTGTGCGTGGGGCGTTCGGTTGGGATGTTGGGTGCGGTATACCAGGTTGATGCTGTAGGGCAGGGTGGCTTTTAGAGCACGTTGGAGGGTAGGCGAGGAGGCGGAGTGGGCGTAGACTTGCATGCTTGGCAATGCAATTGGCTGACTGATATTGATCGCGAAGAAGTGAATGGGATTACTTGCAGGATATTTACTTGAAGGATGGAAAAATTAAAGTCTAGTAAACGTTTTGGTTTGTGTACCTTCCGTGTTGGGGATGGACGGTGCATGACTAAGTGGCCGCGGGGTGTCGTGCTTTGAGTCAGATGCGGTCTCGGAGTGTTGCCTCTACTTTCTCCATGTACACGTAGTATTATTCACTATTTGCATATATTATAAGTCGAAGGGTATGGGAATGACTTCATTACTGCTCAGTCTTCAACTGGTCACCCTGCTTTCAGTACATTCAATATGGAAAGTACTTTCGTATCTGCCTGTCGAAATACAGCGGCTATCTCTTACTAATAAGTATGTTTAAAATCAATTGTAATATCATTAAATGAGTTGTCCTGCATATGAGAAACATGATGATAACAATCTGCTAACAAGATCTGTCTTCATGTGTGATCAAGGCTTCGCTGGAGCTGGTATTGTTTCTTGTCTACTAGTGTCGCAGTATGAATAGGTAGACTAGTCAATGACCAGAATAACCCGGGTCATATAACCCGTCCGATCTTTCAGCTATCCAGTGAATGGAAATAGTAATCAATGGGCCGACATGGTTCGTGAATTGATAGAATTGGATGGACTCGTGTTGGTTGGTCGGTTGGTTAACTTAGCCGCTGGACATTGCGGACCTTGCAAGGTCGTCATTTGCTTGTCCAAGAGAAGAAGAATGGTCCTGCGTGTCGGTTCTAGGGGAGTAGGTGATTACACTTTCTAAGATTCCTTTACTGCTCCCATTCAGACCGAAATAATTGCCTATCTAGTAATAACGGTGATAAGGAGGATGACTTCCCCTAGAGTGCGCACTGTTAAGCCTAAGGCAAAATACAGCAATGCTCATAGACAAGTGCAAATCCTCCAAGACAGCAGCAGTTGTCTTAAACGTTTATCCAAATCAGTCTCTTGTCTTAAGCTTTGACAATATAGATAAGTTCTGTTATAGCATATAAAGCTATAGTAAGCTGGGTGCTACTTTGTAATATCTTCAAAGTTTAACAGATCGCACGGAAATCATATTAGATGCTTTCGGAAACACTACTTTACCTTACAACATGTACCCTATTCCAGTCTCGTTCGAGAATACCATACCAGACCTACGAGGCCCCCACCTAGTCTCCACCGGATTGTACGATAAAAGCAACATAGCATTGTTCATCCACAAAGAAGGAAAGGAGTTGAAACGACACCTATGCTATGCATTCTACTTCGAAGATCACGAATCAAAAGTTAGTTTCGACAATAAGGCCTCATCTCCGGTAATACATTGGATAGAACATGGGCGGTTCTATAATCGCGACCTCTTCGCGAAAATCTGCAGGAATCAGCCTGTGTTGAACCAGTCTGCGCCAAATCAAACTGCGGAGCAGGTATTTGCAGACTGGCGGACGGCAGTGCTAACTACGCTTGAGACCGACCACAGCGCTTTGTGGGTTCCTTTCGTCGCGAAGTAATTCACTGTAGCATACCTAACTTAGCTATCGAACACTACAAGAAGTCATAACGTGACCAAAGTTTGGTCTAAGATGCAGAATAGTCAACAGTCGTTACTCTCGGGATCGTTGAGATTAGAATTGAAAATTTGCAATTTACTTTTTCTTATAATTATCTAAAAGACAGATTACATGTAACAAAAGAAACAAATTCCTAGTCTCTCTTTCGCCGCTCAATTAAGCATCTATCTTTTTAGTGTTTATTTCGCAACCACTCTCCTTAGTAGATACGATTCCAAACCTTGGAGGAAAGGCGCACCAGATCTGCTCCGCATTCCATCTCACCATAGGCTTTGTCCTCAAATACTTTAGTAATATCAGCGTAGAACTTTAAAGTGGCGTCCGTGAAGGCGAAACGTTGTCTGAACGAAGCGCCCTGTACCCACGGTGGGAACCACCCAGCACCAGCCCAATCAATTAAAGTTACTTCCCAGTCTGGAGGATGGCCTTGTGTCGTTGGAATACGGCGGAAGATGATATTCTTTAGGGCAGGATCCACATGAGTAAAGACAGGCTTCCGGTCAGTAGATATTTCCAAGGCTTGCTTGTACTCAGATACCACAGTGTTTTGGTCCTCAGAAAGAAATTCACCTTCTTGGAGACGACTAACTAAAGCATTTGCTTCAGCAGCACGGATTACAGCTGAAGTAAATTCTTCGTAAGTTTTGTATGGGCCGCAAGACTGTTTATAGTTCGTGCGAAACATGCCCATGCTACAGCCAAAGGCTTGGCGATGAACTCGGCCATAGTATCCCTCAGATGGAATAGACCGCAGTAGGCGGAACTGCTCGCGTACCCTGGCACAAAGTGTTGTACGCTCTTCTTCAGTAAAACCCATCCAATCGTTAACCGTGAGCTGGAACCCTGGTATGTATTCCATAACCAGAGTAGCCTCAGGGAAAGGAACGCCTGGACGCCCAGGGTACACCCTGTACACCTTGGGCACTCGGACGCGAGAATTTTCTGCAAGATAGATGAGATTCTCTGCTTCCTATTGTACGTCAGTCGACCTTCCACCGCGATGTTTATCCTGCTGCTTACCTCGATAATGTCTGGTTCTGCGCCAATCTTATAAACTTGGTCCCGAACTCGGAAAGCTTCGTTCATGCTCATTCTATTGTGAAGGATGTTTTTAGTTTTGGCCTTCCGAATCTCATCCTCTGAAGGTAGCTCCGGGCAATTGTCTGCAATATATGGAACTGATAAATGGAACGGTGTAGTTCGGGGAGGTTCTCTCTCTTGCGTAGCATTAAGCACAAAATCAAATGCCTCTTCATATGTAGAGACCCCAAAGTGCTCTTGGGCAATACTCGCTATTGTTCGCATTGTAAGATTGATGTAGAGTTGACGGTGTTGTATTTTGTAATGCTAGGAAAGTAAAATTTCAAGTGAATAACGAGAATGTATAGAATGCCCAGATCTCTTCCTTATATACTTGTTAGGCCAGTAAACTCGGACCGAGATAGAGCATGCAGTCTGCTTTGTTCTCAATGATTTCTTTGACCCTTGTTACGATATTATTAGCCTACAATTTTTGCCTTTTGTACAGAACATGTTGATTCTGGGACACTAACTCTTTGATTACACCAGCTGCAACAGCCGACACGACAGTTGCGCGGAAAATGAAAGAAAATTACTGCGGGCTATCGTGCGAAGATACACGCCTTGCGCTTTATGTAATAGTAACTCTATAACTACTCGAGCCTAAACAAAGACATCCTTTATGCGCTCACACTACTCAGATATTCGGTTTAAGAATGCCGCCACACCCCCTTGCATTGATCCTCTTTGAGCACACATACAGTCTATGGCTTTGTTGTACGGGCCTCAATGTCGCTGCTTTGATGCAGCTTGCTGGGGCCGTGCTGTGCGTGCTCAATGCAGCGTCCAATCCTCCCCTTCCATTGAAAATTCCAGTAATTACTCTGCTTACACGGCGGGTGGGCCTCCTACTATATTATCTTCCTGCTGTGGCTTACTTGGATCTCCTCCAGTGGGGAATGAAAGATATCCTTTTTCGGACAATCGAGGATACCTAGGCGCGTTCTTAGGACTTTCATTGTACAGCTCGTGAGCGTATTGATTGGTAGAGCTTCGTCTAGTCTATAGTGTGAGCCACAAGTCGCGTTTTGAGTAAGCCTGCATAGTTACTCCTTGAGCTTCTATCGTAATCCTCTTGGATCGTCTGCGGTGTGCAATATTCACTTTTCACGATCCCTATCCCAGCGAGTATTTCCAGAACATCAGCTGCAAACCCCTGTCCTCCCATGGAAACTCGGGCAACAGTTGTACCTTGATGCTTTGACTGCAGGCAGACGCCGTATGTTGCACTACGTTGACAACGAGCCGCACTAGTCCCGAAAGAGTTACATCTCGAGAGCGCTCCAACGGAACCAGCCCTCTGTCTTCGCACCACCAGAGCTTCATCTCTAGATTCGCTTTATAACCTCGCTACCCTTTACGCCGTCGCCGCTCGACAGCCAACTCACGTCTAGCATTGCTCGGTATTTGTTCATATCACAAGTGGAAGGGCACTGTATACCAATGACGTCATTTTTGTCCAATTGATTATCGATTAAGTTTCCCATCTCCCTGCACATCCAAGTGCCCCAAAGGGGGTTTTGCTTGTAGACGGTTTTCATTGTCCTAGTAAGAAGACATAGGATCGGATTGAGAAACATTACGAGTAAATACCCGCGGCAGTGACACAATGTTCCCGTACCGATAGGGAAAGTACCTTCACATCTGCCTACAACGATCCGTTGTCAGCCCTATCACAACACAGAGGCTATCTCTTACTAGTAAGCCTATTCTAATCCACTTTAAAAGCCCCAATTCTCAGTCCAACATGTAGGGAACATGACAATAACGATGGGCTGACAGCATTGGTTTTCATTTACCGCCAGTCTCGCTGGAGCCGGTATTCTTTCCTATATACCGGATATATCTTTTATCAAATCCTACTTACATTCACATACGTTCATAGGCGAAAAAATGACTCTGGGTCCCGTCCGCTCCCCACACGATAAACTTTCGACCGGCGGATTAGTAGTTAGGTGGGTGACCACTAGCGAATCCCCGCTGACGTATGTTTTTGTATGTTTTTGTATATTTTTGCATCTTGAATTCGTGCCGCGTGTGTGGGAACTGTTTTTTTTTATTTTTCTGGATCAGCCTTTATCTTTTGGTGCATCAAGGATTTCATAGCAGGGAAGATTCAAAATGCAAGTGAAACGTGTGTATTCTATATTCTGATGTCTATGTCTAAAGGAGCGTGGAAACTGTCGTGAAAGCAAACTCTCCAAGCCGCATCCCCATATTAACAACCCCAATAGTACCGCCAGAGAAGTGAAGTAAACCAGAAAAGCAATGCAAAACAGTCGTAAAGAAGCTCGTCATCCTCTCATCCGTTACCCCCTATACCCCCCCTGGACCCTATGTCCTCGTCTTCTCTCTCTCGGTCTCGGTGCGTCTCATGCCCTAGACTCGGCTCACAATCTAAGCCCTGACACAAGAAAACTGGAATCCATTGAGCCAGGTAGGAACAGGCTTGGTGACATCTCCATCGAGATCAGCAAAGTTCTTTGCGCGGCCATCGAGCTCAATGATCCAGCTGGGGATGTTGAGGTTGGCAAGCTTGCACTTGGTGGTGTCCTCGAACTGGACGAGTTGGGCCGAAGTGCCCAGGATGTTGCCGTTGCCGCTGTCGAGGGCGCTGCCGGTGAAGCGGGCAGGGATGGTGACGACCGTGCCGTCAGCGGGGACGGTGGTGTCGGCGCTGACACCGGTTTGGTCGTTGAAGATGCGGAGGGTGACCTGGGGAATGGGCTGGGGGATGGATGCTGCGGAGGCAGTGAGGGCCATGATGGCGGTAGCGGCGAAGGTGGTGGTGAACTGCATTTTTGTGGTTTGGGGTGTTGGTTTTGGTGGTTTGGAAGTTGAAGAGTGTGTGGTGGAAGGAGATTGTAGAAGTGTTGGTTGGAAGATGCTGTTGCTGTTGTTGTGATTGTGATTGTTGTTGATGATGGACTTTTGGGTCGCGAAGACGGCATGATTTATATCATGGTCAATTGATCCTTTCATCGAGTGCATCTCATAACCGAGCCGTGGTTGTAACACTGCCTGGCTGAAACTCTTCGCAGACATGCTCGGTGAGTAGTAGTGCCGCAGCCACCGCCCTTGCTCAGCATCACCTCAGAAGTCATCACCGAAATACTCACGATGTTGCATTCCGACCGGTGCCAACCATCATGAGATGTTCCTTCAACAAAGTATTTTCTACTCTCGGTCAAGTCTGTGTCTCAGTCTTGCTACAGCTTGTGGGGCGTTACATTGGAGCTTACAAACAATCTTCCCATGGCTTGCGTCGGTCACGAAATTACTGCGTCTGACATATGGGCCGGAATTTTTCCAGCAAGAGAATGCGGTTAGGTCCGCCGCAGAGCGTGATCAGATGGCGGTGATGGGAGGGAGAGCTGAGGGTTTGCTGACGGTCTTGGCTTGCGTTGGCACGGCACAGCCCTGGTTGCGCTCCACCGTCAGCAAAGGTTAAAATACTAGGGCGCTCTAGAGGCTGAGTTCGCGATGGTGTAACAATAATTTTAGAATCTGGGGCACCGCCTGCTATGCACGCCATTCTTCCGCGCATGTTGTAGTGCGGTGTGTCTTATGCCGAATACGACATGCGCTCATGATATTGACACATACCGACCACCAACTCTCAGCTTCTGATGAAATTACATACGAATAGGGAAAATCAGTGTACCTCATTCTGTGAACGAAGCGGTAATGCCAGCAGCTATGCTCAGTGCACGTCTACATTTTCGGCATCATCCTCATGAGTCGATAGTCCCATGAACACACACCTGAAAATGACAAAACACTGGCCTTTGCTCAAGTCCCTAAAACGCACTCTTCTCCGAGATACAGGAATCAGCCGTAGCATTTCTACAAAAAGCAGGGTAAAAGCCGCCTCTTTTCTGTGCATTTCATTCGAAAGTGGTATCCCAACAAAAGCAATGTTGGTCTTGGAGGAAGCCGGGTTGGCTTATTGCTTTTCCTATTCAATCGACGCTTCATAATGAACTGCTCCGCGAAAAATATTGATAAGTGATGCCAAAACAGGCATACCCACAATTTCCTTATTTTCAAACACAATCATTTACAATTCTTTACTTCACCCTAGCTCCCTCCCTAGATAAACGAGTCCATATCCAAACCCCTCCCAATACTCCCCTCTCCACTCTACACTACAGCCTCCCTAACCACCCCATCAGCAACCCACCTCCCCTCAAACACCTCCTGCAGCACCCTCAACTTGGAGAAGAAAACATCATTATCCACATACGCGCCTTTAAGCCAGCGCTCCCCCTTTGACGCATCAAACGCACGCCTTGCATGCAGCACCCTCCTATTATCGAAGATGACGCACTCACCCTCATTTAGTCTGTACTCGTACAGGTTATCTGGGGAACTAAGCAACTTCTCATAGGCATGGGCGGCAGCAATGTATGAGCGGAGAGAAGGCGTAGTGCTATTGCCGTGGGGCATTTGAACGGGAGCTTGGAAGGGTGGAGACCAGTTTATGCGGCGGATGGTGCTGCTAGTGATTTCTGTGCCTTCGGGACAAGGAAAGGTTTCGATGACTGGGCGGGTAAGGTGGTAATGGTTTTGCGGGTGATGGTAGTGGTATGTGACGGGAAAAGTGCACAGCGTGTTAAAGTGGTCCACTGATTGCTCGCGGAGTTGGTGGGCGGCGGCAAAGGCGTCGGAGAAGAAGGATTCGCCGCCTGGAGTGCGGGCACGCAGTGAGTGTAGAAGTTGAAGATGCGGTGGGTTGGATGTGTACAAGAGATCCATGTGAAGACCGAGATAGTCGGGGGTGTAGGCAATGTTTTCGGCTTTGGGCTTGGAGCGAACATCCCATGTGCGGCCGTAGAAGGTGTCTTTGAGAGTTCCCACTCGGGAAGCAAGGGATACGACGGATTCTTCTGAATCGGGCACGTTGTTGATGAAAAGGAGACCGTATCTGTGGAGGTGGGTGAGGGCTTCGAAGAGAGTTTCGTCTCGAGACATGTAGGCATCGTAGTCGAGCCATTTGTTGGCCTTTGTCATCTCCCTGCCATCCCAGAACACTCGATCATCGTGTCGTACGCCGCTGCTTGTCTGGACCTCTGTGTTGAGTGCCTGGCGGAGCCAATTGATGGAGTGCCGGGTGCGATGCTCCGGGCCAAACCCCTTGGCGTCGCTGTCCCATTGCACTTCAATTGAGTCTCCTTTTGTCTCGTCGACAACGGTCTTGACGCTACCTTTTATATCTACTGGAATGTCCGAGGTCTGGAAAAGCCTATTGTTGCTATATTGGTCCACGCAGCGCACACAAGTACAACTATCGCGCAGGAATGCAGCATCAAAGACCCTGGCCTGTCCGTCGATAGTCACCGAGATGCTTTTTGATGGAGCACCTGCTGATACATCTTGGACTGAGTTCCCCTGCTCTTCTGCCCATTCCACCTGGCGCAGCTGTGGTTGCTGTTGCCGTGGTTTGGTTGGCCTGAAGGGACCATGGGTAGCGGGGCTCCGATTAGCATGCTCGGCGGGATTCGGTGATCGCCAGCACGAATGGAAGCGGAAGCTCCGTCTTTGGACTGCAACGCGTGTCTTGCAGGCGTTTGTTACTTGTAGCCTCAGATGGCGTGAGGGAAGCTTGAAGACGATGTTGGAAGTCATGGTCGGCTGGTCGATTGGTCGCAGCTGGTGAGTTCCAATACTAGTAACAGAACGAGGCGGGGTCTGCTTCTTTTCTGTCGCGCGAGCTTCGAGGGAATGTGGGAATCAAACGCGCCATTGACCGAGGTCATCACACACCCTCTACCCGGCAGCACCAGCATCCATTCCTCCTGCATACCGAGGATCTGTTGAGGACATACAATCGCGCCCCGAACCCCAGCACGTGTGTCGACTGACGCACTGGGCGCATGTCTGAGGGTGTAGCGCAGTTGAAGCATGAGGTACCATTCATCAGCCTCGACCGTTTGGAGACGCAGAGGACGCGGGGCTAATATATCTCGCAGGGCTCCCAGTGGCAAGTGGTGATTGCAGGTGCAGTTGCAGGTCTAGTCTCACGGTATTCTTCATCCTTTGGCCTCCTCACCATCATCGACATGGCTGACATGTGAGCAGCTTTGTGATCGCGCCCCTCGACGTCATCAAGATCCGCCTGCAGCTTCAAATCCACTCCCTGTCCGACCCCTTCAGCGTTCGCCATGTCCAGGGCCCTGTGTATAAGGGAACGCTGGGCACCCTCAAGCAGATTCTGCGCGAGGAGGGCCTCACTGGCCTGTGGAAGGGCAACATACCCGCCGAGCTCATGTACTTGACATACGGCAGCGTCCAGTTCTCAGCCTATACATACGTCTCGCATATACTCGAGGCAATTCCTCCACCCTACACCCTGCCCGGTTCGGTGACCAACTTCGTCAGCGGCGCTTCAGCTGGTGCTGCCGCGACGACGCTCACATATCCGCTCGATCTCCTCCGCACGCGTTTTGCTGCTCAAGGAACCGAACGCGTATACACGTCCATTGTCGCTTCTCTAAGGCACATTGCGCAGCATGAAGGCCCCACTGGTTTCTTCCGCGGTCTTGGAGCTGGCGTCAGCCAGATTGTCCCGTACATGGGCCTCTTCTTTGCCAGCTACGAGAGTTTGAAGCCAATTACCGCCGCCTCTCCAGTTCACTTACCACTTGGAAGCTCAGATGCCGTGGCAGGTATCATGGCAAGTATCCTTTCCAAGACCGCTGTCTACCCGCTCGATACGACGCGCAAGCGACTGCAGGTCCAAGGCCCGACCCGAGAGCGCTACGTTCATCGGAACATACCTACATATACTGGTGTAGTTAGCACCTTGGCTCATATCTGGAAACACGAAGGAAGGCGGGGTATGTATCGCGGCCTGACCGTCAGTCTGCTCAAAGCAGCACCAGCCAGCGCCGTCACTATGTGGACGTACGAAAGAGTAATGGGCGCTATGTTGGCTTTCGAGGAAAAACACAAGGATTGAGGTGTATATATAATGTTTTTCTAGTATGGCTCGTCCCTGCTTTTCAAGATACCAGACTCGCAAATGATGCAAGTTTTGACTGCTATGATTCTTCTTATACTGCCTTGCGTCTCTCCACCTGTCGTTGATCTTGTGAGACAAGCTCAGGGGTGAGCAGGGCCCTTAGTCGTAATCTCTAATCCAATATTGAGTAAGATAGTGATTATTCAAGAACGGTCTTTTCTGAGCGGGTCACTGATTCTGCATGCTCCGTGGGAGTACACGGTATTGCGTGCTGTCTCGCACCGATCTGGCTGTCGACCACAGCATTGCTGATATACACTACAGCAAGAAATACCTCTTACTGAGCCCAGAGCCTGAACCGTAAGGCAAGTCGAAGTGTCGGTAGAACCCAACGGAGGTCCAACATCATCCTCGCTTTCTAGAATGCAGCATGCACAGCAATCCAAGAATCCAAAGATTTCCACAATTCCCCCCTCTTTACACAGCAGCCTGCTTCTTCTTCCTCGAATACAACACAGCCTTATGCCGTCGCTCCTCAAACCCCGCACTTTCCCCCTTATGCCCTTCCATCCAGCAATTCTGGCAGTACAAATCGTTGTCGCAGCCCAGACACTTGAGTGTTGCGTCGTCCTGGCATATGATACACCATGTGTCGATTTCTTCGTCTATTTTCTTTTGCAGATTCGTGGAGACGGGAGGTTTCTTTGTGGGAGCGAAGGATGGTGCGGAGGGGAGGCCGAGAGCGTCTGTTTGGGAGGAGGGTGAGGGTGCGGCAAGGGCGGCTAGGCGGGCAGTGAAGTCGTCTTCTATGGCTTGTGTGTCGGGTTTTGGTAGATCTTGGGGCGCGGAAGGGAGACTCAAGTCGTTATCTGTAGTTTCGTTGCGGAGTTTCTGGTCTGCAGAGTCTGACTTGTCGTCTTCTGATGCTGGTGAGGGAGGATCGTATTTCTTGCTTATTTCAAGCTCAGCCATGACTCTTGCGATGATATCGTCGGCCTCGTCATCTTCAGTCTTCTTTTTGCCTTCTTCGTCCACTTCTTCGTCAGTGTCTTCCTTTGCACCAACTTCTCCGCTTCCAACATTGACTTCTATGCTCTCCCAATCGGTCAGCCCCTCTGTTTTACCCTGATTCCTTTGCCCTTGTGCACGACTATTCACCACTTCTGGTAATATCTGGCGCATATCTTTCAATAGCTTCCCAACATCTTGCTGCTCCTCCTTGGACACATCCCATTCCTTTCTATCTCCAATAGCGCCATTCAATTCACCCAGCAGCTCTTCCAGGCTCTTTTCGTCTTCATCGTTAAACTCAACATTTAAGCCACCCACACCCTGAGATACCCCCTCTAGATAGTTTGCTGCACCCGGTGCGACAGTTGGTGCGCGTATATTATTCGTGGACGCTGTTCGTGATGGCTGTGGAGAGCCCGCCGGCGACGCGGAGCCCAGACGCGCAAATCGTGCTGCAAGATCGTCGGTAGGTTTAGGAGGTTCCGCGGGCGCTATCGACGCGTTGTAGCTGGTATCCAAGCTGACAGAGGACTTCTTGAGCGCATTCAGGCGGGCGAGGAGATTATCGTCGGTAGAATTGAGGTCGCGCATTATTAATCAAATACAGAGGTGGTTTTTGCACCGGAAAGTTAAACAGACACAGTGGTTGTCCTAAGAAAGTTGAGCTATGACGGCGTGCTGCATGGAAGCTTTGAGTTTCGGGAATGTGTGGAGTTGCCGCGACCAGCTTGGTTGGACATGGCGGGGGAGGGGCACGCTATGCTTTAGACCGCGGGCAGTTCCAGATAGATGCAATTCCCCAAAGTTACATTTCATTGGGTTCCAGAATAATTCATAACTACTATAGATCTCTTGAGCATTTGAAAAACAACCGTGCTAGCTCGGCATTCCAACAATCGCATCACATCTTCACATGTCGATGCCAGCCGGTCCGACTGTCGTCATACCCACCGCTCCCAGCATCTAAACCCTACCCTACAATTGCGTGCTTTTTCCACCATACATCTCACCACCACGATCCTCTTCCAGCCTCCCCTTCTTCCATCTACGCTGAAACCCACCACACCCGCAAACAATGGCGCTCGCACCCAAATTCGCAGGCCAAAAGCTCGCCTCCTCCTCCATCCAACCCAAAGCCGTCCACACCCTCGAGCTCTGTCCGTCTTCCCCCCTCAATCACTCCCCCCTTCTTCCCTAGTTCTAACAAACGCAAACCTCTAGACCTCGACTACGTCTGCCCCTTCTCCGCCAAAATGTACAAAACCCTCTTCACCACCCCCCTCCGCACCACCCTCCTCTCAACCTACAGCACAAGCCTCGTCACCATATTCCGCCAGCAAATCCAACCCTGGCACCCGTCCTCGACACTCGTCCACGAAGCCGCATACGCCGTGCAACGCGTCGATTCCAGTAAATTCTACGACTTCTCGGAGAAGCTGTTTGAGCAGCAAAAGGACTTTTTTGATGTTAGTCTGGTGAATGAGACGCGGAATCAGACGTATAGGCGACTGGCCAAGATAGCGGTGAGTGTAGGGGTGGATGAGGGAAAGGTGTATGGGTTATTGGAGATTAGCGATAAGCCGGGTGAGGATGGAAGTTTGAATTCGGGGAATGGGGTGACGGACGATGTCAAGGTGCAGGTCAAGGCGAATCGCATGACGGGGGTGCATGTGACGCCGACGGTGGTGTTTGATGGGGTTGTGAGGAATGAGATTAGTAGTAGTTGGACGGTGGAGCAGTGGGAGGAGTGGTTGGCGAAGAATGTTAGTAAATGACTAGTGGATGAGGAAGGCAAGAAGAGAAGCAGGAGGTTCGAAAGCAGAATATAATATAAACTTGGAACCTAAAAAGAAAAGAAAAACTCTCATACACGCATACAAAAATGGATATAGGTAGATGAGCTGGGTTATCATCCGGAACACCAATCGAACACCAGCTCCAAAGAACGCAAAGGGAAGTGCTATGCTGTGCACGTAGGCCATGTGTTGTACGCCAGTCCGCTCCCACCCCATGTGTGCGATGCGAAGATCATTAAGCAAAATCAACGCGCCACAGTCAGACCATCCAAGCCCGTAACGCCGAGGACGCAACAGTTCCGCCCAATCTCCAACACGACACCAACCTGCAGACTTAGTACGCGAACCCGTCTGCGCCCTCCATGTCCACATCCTCGCCTTCGGCCACCTTCCTAGGCTCTTCCATGTCTTTCTTGAACGCCGTCTTCTTGGCATCCACCTCCTCGCGACTCAGATCCTTCATCCAGCTATTGTTCCTCACAAGAATCTCCTGGACCCTCTCTCTCCGATCGTCATTGAGCTTCTTGTACTCCTCATTGGGCTTTGGAACTGCCTCGCTGACACCTGCGCGCACGGCATCCGGCTGAAGGAAATACTGCACACCGCCCGTACCAAATGGCTCGCTGTTGATGAATGTCATGATGTAGGCAGAAGGACTAATGGAAACAGTAATCTTGTCGTCATGCTGGACCTGATCGAAACGGTCTTCTTCGGAGAGAAGTTCAGCCTTTGCTAGACGCTTCTTAAGGTAAGGATAATTGACGCGCGAGAGATCGACCTCCTCGGTAGGCTCGATAGCCATGTACGAGGCAACGTATGCCCGCCAGCGCTTGACCCGATCCAGTGTGTTGAATTCAAAAGTAGGATCATCCTTCTTAAACAGCCGGACATATGCTTCCATCTTGGCGGGATCCTGTTGCAAGATTAGTGTATTGTCATCAACAGCAGAACAGTCGTTGTTTACATAAGTAATGCGGTAGGTATCAGCATCTTTGGCGAACTTTTCAACAGCCTTTCGATAGGCAATCTCGCTCTTGTGCGTAGTGGTGTCGTTGACGCGGTCCTTTCTGAAGAGGTTGTAGATATCAAGGCTCTTGTCCTTGCTATCTTGGCTCACAATTGCAACAGCAAATCGAACCAACGAGCTGAGTAGCCTGTCGAATGAGTACAACTGCCAACCAATCTGCAAGTAGTATCGACGTAGTGTCTCTTCGATGAAGTTCATCTCAACATCTCCAGTAATCTGATCCTGGAACATGTCGAGAAGTTGCTGGTAGTAGTTGGCCGTAGGCGAAGTGTCCTTGAAAAAGTCTTCAGGTTGCTTGTCCAGCATCTTAAGTTTCTGTGCTGGCTTGGGCTCCTTGGCACGCATGATGAGTCTTTGCACTTCATCCTCGCTCTCCTTAAGCTTCAAAAGCCTCTCGTAAAGCATAACAAACATCCGGAAGAAGCAGTAGATTGAGGCATTGGCGTACATGTTGTACTCAACGCGGCGGTAGGGCTCTTCGTGCTCGAATTCCTTGTCACCAAAGGCAGTCGGGGTAGCGGCGTATTCCACCCAATGGCTCGCAGGTCGGTCTGCACGTGGCATCGAGTTGGAACTGTCGACAGCAGCATCCTCTTCCATAGAGTTGTCTGGTGTGCTGTCTCGGCTTGCTGAGGCGACACTGTCCTCTTTGTCCTTGCGTGGCTTACTGCGGGGGTCAAGAACATCGCGACGAAGGTCACCCTTCTTTGTCTTCAGCGAACGTTGAGAGATGTCTTCATCTGGAGAGGGAGTGTCTTCGCCTGAATCATTGGGCGTATCGCGCTCTGAGGTGTGTACCCGCTGCTCAAACTTGGCTGAATCGATGCCGAAGAAGAGGGGAACAAACTCCCTGACAAAAGGCACAACCTTTGCAAATTCGGCACCTGGGTTGTTGTCGGCAAAAGTAAGCATCAAACGAGCCACGTCAAACAGCACTTCTTCATCCTTGAAGGAGAAGGCGAACTGATAGTCGGGCTGTGAAATTTCTTGAATCTGCTGAAGACGCTTTTGTTCCTCGTAGCGAACTTGGATCTCGTTTGTAAGCGACTTGGGTTGGAATTGTCGCTTGTCAACTTGCTTGACTGTGATGCTTTGGTGGTCAAGGGACTTCCAGAAGATCTTTTGAGTCTGGTCGCGCCAGACCTTTTCCCATTCTCGTTGGGCAGCCTTCCAGTCTTCCAGCTTCGTCTTTAACCGGTGGAGAAGCACTGGGACGACGCTCCAAGGCATCTGGAAGAGCTCTTTGATAACATCTTTGCCTCGATCGCGACCATAGATCTTCATGATAACACGCTTGTAGATTGTCTCGCTCTGTCCGCCCAGTCCGGGAGGCAAAGTAAACCCAATCCTGTCTTCGGGCTTCATCGTGAGCAACTGGTTGGCGATGGGCTCAAGCTGCTGGATCGTGCGGCTACAAGCTTCGATGTTGAAGTCATAGTCATGACGTTCCTCTTCGATCCTGTGGAGACCCTCTTCGAATGTGTTCTTGCGATGCGCAACGAAACCAGAATCTTCGGAAGCCCATGTTGGATGAGAAGCCCATTCATCGTTCAAGACAGACCGGCAAAGCTCATCACGCCCACTGCATACGCGTTCCCTTTCACGCCTGGGAAGAAGACGATAGCTGGGTCCCAAGCTTCGGCAGTTAGACAGTGAGACACGAGAATTGACTGTCTTGGGGCGCGAATTTTGCTGCTCTTCATCTTCACCCATGAACTTCTTGAACCAGGCAAAGAGTTCTTGGTTGCCTCCGATGAAGGATTGTGCACGGTAGAGGAGGAGTTGCTTGTCGATCAAATCCTGCGAGTAGAGATTGCAGAGCTTCAAGAACTCGTTCATGATGTTCTTGTTTCCGATAAACTTCTTGACACGGTCGAAGAAGGCAAGCTCATCTTGGCTAGGAGATGTCGTTGTTGTTGGCGGCATCGGCTCAGGCAGCGCAGGCGTCAGGGTAGGTGAGACTGGTGGGCCATCTGGAATCGTCTGTTTTGTAGCATGTCCGGTCTTTGCACGCTTAAATTGGTTAGCAGACAAACTCTCGTCAGAAAATGAAGAACGTTTAGAAACTGCAGCAATTCTGTGACTGAATCTCCTTGGCTCGTTCCGCACATCGGAAAGAGATGGAACAGGCCATTGCAACGTCAACGCGTCCGAACAACCGCTAGGCAAATGAAACCTGTCACGGCCGTCACCATGCACAACGACAACGCTCGACGTGGCAGAGCGCGTGATCATGAGTGGGAGTCAAGCTGGGCGCGACGTTTGAAAAGGGAAAGGATGAGGAGTTGACTGGAGGACGTTGGGGCTGTGCACGTGCATCTTGGAAAAAAGGAACCACCGAATGCCATGATCCCAGTCTTGCCGATAAAAGTGTGAAAAGATTTACGTACCTTGTTAACATTTACCTGGTTGTAACCACCGCGGACATTCGAAGTCGGTGGCTCTTGAGACATGGGCGCAGGCATGGGTGCAGCTACTGGTCCCTGTCGCTCACGCTTCCGCTTGTTATCACGGTTCGCTGTGGGAGTGGGTGCGAAGTTGCCCATGGGAGGCAATCGCGAGGTATCCGCGCGACCAGGTGTCTGCTGGTTCGCTGCGACTCCGTATCCAGATTCTCCTCTTACATTGCTGAGCATGACCGCATCTTCAGCAGCATTCTTGGCAGCCTGTTGTTGTGCTCTATGGTGAGCGGCAGATTCTGGTAGAAACTGTTTGAAGTCTTCGAGAAGATCTGGCGCGCCGCCGAACAGATGAGTGACTTGAGCGTATACGTCCTGGATAGGTTTCGATTCCCGTTGATAGGTCTGGAGGATCTCCAAAAAGTTCTTGTAGATATCAGGATGAGCCGCAAATCGATTCTGTACCATAGTTAGCGTCCGTGCCCGTGGGTCCGCTTTGAAATGAGTGTTTGTTTACCTTGATCTTGTTGACGTAGCTGATAGCATGATTGAATTCCACTGGTCCTCGTTTCTCGGCTGCAGCCCCGCCCATTTGGGGAAGTTGAGCGGAGCCATTCATTGCTTGTCCTTGAGGGGTAGCAGCGTCAACGCTAGGTGACATGAGCGAGCGACCAGTAGCAGCAGAAACGGCATTTTGCAGCTGCGAGACGCCTCTTTGCTCTTGTTGGTGAGCTAGTGCGGCAGCCGAGCCAGCGGGGTCAGGATGGGGTCGCGAGGTGACCTCTGGTGAATGCTGCGGGTGACCCTGTTGTCCTTGCTGTGGTCCATACAGAGGCTGTCCCAAAGTGCGGTTGTTTGGGGAAAACATTGTTTCTTGTCCCTCTGGCCCTTGGGGCCTTTGCTGCTGAGGCCAAGGCCGTCCTTGTGCGGTTTCGTAGTAAGTGCCCTCATGCTGTGGAGCGTTGTTGCCGTTGGCGGCACCGCTTCGGGGTGGCGAAAGTGGCCTTGGAGCAGGCATGGTGGAAACCATAGTACCCATTGGCGTAGTGACTCGAATAGCATTTGGGTCTCCATTGGTGCCACACTCAATCTTGTAGCCGGGCGGGAGAAATGTGTTGAATCCTTGAATCAAGGCTGGGTTGCCCGCAAACAAAGTTGATACCCTCTCGATAACGCCTGGAGTGTCAATCGCACCGCTCTTAAAATCTTTCATAATATCGAGGAATCGATTGTAGACGTCGGGGTGATCTGCGAATTGCACCTTGACTTGGTCGAGATAGCTCAATGCGTCATTGAGAATCGGCTGCTGTCCCTGACCCATAGCCATGGATCCTGGAGGACCAGCAAAGGGCATCAACATCTGAGCTTGGGTCGGCGCTTGCACCGCGTGCTGCATACGAGGTGTCGTCTGCTCGTGCTGCGCAGGCGCGTTGCCGTACATGGGGTTAGGTGCGTTTTGGTTGCCGCCCATTGGAGGTGCAAGTGAATTTGGCCCGTTCATCTGCCCAGATTGTCCGAGCAACCCATTCGGGCCATGTATCGTTCGCGCGGAAGGGGCGACTGCAACAGGTTGGTGGATCTGCATTGGCGTGGAGTGATTTTGTAGCGCTGCGTGCTCGCGCTGCTGGCGCTCATGGAGCTCCCGATCCCGCTGCTCTGCTTCGCGCTTTACAATTTCTTCTTGCTGGTGCATAGGATGCGCCTCCATTTCCCTCTCCCGTGTTTCGCGCTCGCGCATTTCTCGTTCCCTGTCCGCATTCACTTGCTCCGAAGTCGGTAGGTGCTGTTGCTGTTGCGATTGGGGCTGCGCTTGCGATTGCTGCTGTTGTTGCAGTGTTTGCGATATTCCCGGCAACGAGTATTGGGACCCCTGGGGGCCTTGGTGACCTTGCGCTGCCGCGTCAGAAGAAGGTGGTCGCTGAGCGGACATGTGGGGCGACGAGTGCTGAGGTTGCGCAGTCAATCCTGGAAGCGTAGGAAGGTTCTGGTTGTGGGCTGTCGCGGCGCTTGAGGAGTAGTATCCACCACCTGTGATGGAATTAGCAGTTTGGAGAGAGGCGCGTTCTTAGCATGCGCTACCTACCGGATGGTGGAGGAAGTACCGGCCCTGGACCTTGCGCAGGTGACGCATGAGGTGGGGCCTGTGAATTCGCGTTGTTTGGCCTGTTGTCGCTCTCAAAGTCAGCTTGTTTCCAGTCGAATGATAGTAAAAAGGCGATTTTGGCAGCTTCTTCGCTCGTGACTGCCATGGCGGGTGGGACAAGTAGAAAGTACGCACCCATAAGGTCCAAGAGGGCGTGGAGCTGGCGCTTGTCCTTGCGCTTGCTCTGTTTGCTGCTGGGTCTGCGCCGACACACCTGCCTGTGCCGGCGGCCACCCATCTCGATGCGCTGGATTCATGTCGGCTTTACCAGGCTCGCCGGCTTTAAGCAGATTCGCGTGACCGAGGAGATGAACGCGTTAGGATGGCTTGGGCGGGTTAGAAACTGGTGGAGCTCATGGACGGCTCGCGGTGTTATGCAGGAGGGTGTCGGGGTTTGTAGGGTCTGAGACTAGATCTTGGGCGATCGTTGTTGATTAGGAGGAGCAGGGCAGCCCGAGCTGGTGCTATCGCCGGAGCTGCTCGGCGAGTCCACCAGGAGAATATGGAACGATGCCGCCGGGATATGCGACAGTATTAAGCGACTCAAAAAGGCGCGATCAAGCAGGGACGAGAGTAGTCGCGATGATGGAATGGTGGTGGCATCTGGTTTCTCTGTCAGGGACCGGCGGGATAACTGGTCGGCCCGAAGGCGGTCAGTGGCAGAAAACCAGCGCGTCATTCAGCCGAGCAACGCAACTGCACGGTCACTATGGCTTGGGAGCCACTGGTGATTCATGGTTGCATCCAACATTGTTGTCCAAACACACTTCACATTATAGTTCTCGCAATACAAAAATCCAGATAAATCTGTATCACTCAAATCATGATGCTATTTAAAAATAGATTTCGACATGTGATTAGTCTGTTTTAGATGCTACTGATATTTACTAGATGTTACCAATACTAGGGGACTTTCCATCGCCCTCTCCCTAGCGACCAGCCATACGACTATACTCTCATCCGCAATATGATTCCTCCCCTTTCTGAAGAAATGCCAACAATACAAACCACTATGTATGATGCCCTTGACCTCAACATCTTCAACAGACGGAGCGTAACAGCTCTCACGAAGCCGATACAGCGCACCAACAACGCCTTCGCAGCCACTGAGAATATTCAACATAAAAAAACTCGTGATACTCATAACAATGTCCTCTCTATCTAGAAGATCCACTGGAAGCTCTCCTTGACCTCAAAGCTGACCTTTGCCCTGTATAGATCGTCAGTATCCTGTTCGTTGTAGCAAAGTGTATGCTAAGGCAAAAAAAAACGTACCTAATATCAGCGCTGCTCGCGCCAATGAACACCTCAAAAACTCCCTCTTCCGCAATCCAAGCACCAGTCTGGCCCAGACTTGTGTCAAAGTAGCCCACTGAATACTTATTCAATTTTAAGACCACATCCTTGGTTTCACCTGGTTGCAGGAAGATCTTGCCGAAAGCTTGCAGTTCCTTTTCTGGGCGAGGGAGCGTAGACTTGACATCCTTGATGTACCCTTGGACAATTTCGGGGGCGGCTACTGAACCCGTGTTGGTAACGGGTACAGTAATGGTGATTTCGTCACTTTCGGACAGAATATCACTGCTGACGCTTGGTGTTCCGTACTCGAAGCTGGTATAGGTGAGGCCATGGCCGAAGGGGAAAAGTGGTGCGATCTTGGATCGCTCGTAGTGCCTGTAACCCACGTAGATGCCCTCTCCGTAGATAGTCTTTAGGTTCTCACCAGGCCAGTTGTGGTAGGCTGGGTTGTCTTCGATTCGGACTGGGAAAGTCGTTGGCAGCTTACCGCTAGGACTGCTGTTTCCAAGCAGAACATCTGCAAGCGCGTTTCCAGCCTCTTGACCTTGGTACCATGCCTGCAAGATTGCGGGGGCCTTGTGCACCCATGGCATAGTGACTGGTGTTCCGGACTGGTTGACAATGACTGTTCGGGGGTTAGCTGCCAGAACAGCTTCGATCAAACGATCCTGGGAGCCGTTCTTTGGAAGGTCCATTGTTTGGCGATCGTATCCTTCTGACTCCCACTCTGCGTCCAACCCAATTACCACGACGGCAACGTCGGCATCACATGCAATATCTGCAGCCTCTTGTAGGCGATCGATCTTATCTTCTTCTTGATAGCCGATGCGGCAACCGCCGTAGTCGTGACGCCTGCCGATAACGGACACCTTTGAGGCGGGCCGTACTTCGCTGGTACTCTCGATAAGGATCTCGACTGGCTTGCCTTCCTCTAGGTAAATCGACTTGAGTACATCCTCAGACGCTGAGAACATGGCCTCGCCTTCCTCGGTCCAATCCCAGTTGTCAATAAACAACTCGCCGTTGATAAACATACGACCTGGTCCCACTGAAGCAAAACTGAAGCTGTGGTTTCCACTCGACTTTGGTGTGAGTGTAGTCTTGACCTTGAAAGAAAAGTCTGGAAGTAACTCCATAGGCGCTGAATCCCATAGCCAAAGGTCTGTGCTGACCTTTTGTTGAACAACAACAGGTTCACCCTTGAACCTATCCCCCTTGTAGTACTCCAATCGTACGCCAGTCTCACCGTTTGATTTGCAGTAGGGAGAGGCCAGTGGCAGCCACTTTGAGCTGTCGCAACCTTGCGCAAATGAAAGCACGCCATCGAATCGATTCTGGAGACCTTGCCAGGGTGTGACATTGTAGTAAGGGTTCAAACCAGCACTTCCTCCACCACTGGCAATCGCACGCTTGGCATTTGGTCCGATCATTGCAATCTTCTTCGCATCCCTAATCGGTAGGACGTCGTTTTCGTTCTTCAGTAGTGTCAAGCCTTCAATACCAGCTTGGAGAATCAGGTTCCGGGTTTCGATGTTGTCAATCGACCGCTCCGGCTCTTCAGGTGTCATGTTGTTGAGTCCTTTGACCCTATCGACAAGGTAAAGTACCCTGGCAGCAGATTCCTCAATGTCCTTGGGAGTTATCTCGCCATTGTCGAGACATTCCTTCACTTGCTCAACTTTGCGCCACTTGGATGGGCCTGGCATTTCAATGTCGACGCCAGCTTTGATCGAGGGAGCAGTTGCATATGTGCCCGTCCAGTCAGAGATGATGGCTCCATTCCATTGCCACTCGCCTCGGAGGACTTCCTTGATAGAATGAATGTACTCATCAGCATGAACACCATTGACCATGTTGTAAGAACTCATGAGCGCCCATGGTGATGCATCTCGGACAGCAATCTCAAAAGGTTTGAGGTAGATTTCACGCAGCGGCCGCTCTGCAATGATGGCATCATACGCCTGTCGCTCGGTCTCCTGCTCGTTTCCAAGAAAGTGCTTGATGGTAGCGGCGACACCCTGACTCTGAAGGCCACGAACATAGGAAGCCGCAAGCTTTCCGGTCAGAAAAGGATCCTCAGAATACGACTCAAAGTTGCGGCCTCCGAGAGGAGATCGGTGCATGCACACAGTGGGTGCAAGCAGCACCTGTGCACCACGAGCCTTTGCCTCTTCACCAAGGTGACGGCCAACCTCTTCAATCATGTCCAAGTTCCACGTGGATGCCATGGATATGCCGCATGGAAATAGGGCAGCCTAAATTCGTCAGCTTGAACCGGGTAGCGCCAAGCCGGAGTACGTACAGGTGTGCCGTTAGTGAAGAACTCTCCGCGAGCGCCATTGGGTCCATCCGAAGTCTTGATTGACGGAATGCCCTTTTCAGGAATAGCTACGGTGCGCCAAAAGTCGGCTCCTGCAAGCAAAGAAATCTAAACGAGGTCAGCCTGACTTCGCTATAGGTCCCTTTCCGCCTCTTTCATATGCCCAAGAACGTCAGACGGCATCTTGAGCCGGCATAAGATGCGCTATGGTTGCATTGCCGAGTTCCATCTAGAAAAATGCCGTAGTCGCTTGCTGCAGGCTCACAAAAAAAGCATGAGAGCCTCAAATCGATGTGTACGTATGGAGAAAGGAAACTCTCACAAACACCGGCCCAGTACAGAATAGCCAATAAGAATGCAACGAATGCTAGTTTTTGACACTCCCGTGCTTTTCAAGATAACAATAGCACCACGTACCTGTTCCTCCAGGGTCAGCTTGGCGGCAAGATTCTTCGCCTTGTCGTCAGGCCTCTCCATTGAAAATAGCTTTTTGCCCGCCATTGGTTCGTCGTCGGCTGGGGAAACGTCCTCGGGCGTTGCAGCAGGAGTCAAGAGAGGAGTGTCGAGGGTCAGAGGTTGGATCTGGATGGCCGGGTGCTTTAAGTCGATTTGCTTGATATCATCTGTAGGGCTAGCGTTGCCCAGGTTAATTGTAGCCATTGTAGATCTCCTCAAAAGGCTGAATTAAATGATTCGATAACTTCGGGATATCTGGGGCGGTTTGCCGCGCTTCTCGCCACGTGCAACCAGTGCGAGTGAAGCGAGCGATCAAATAAAATCAAAAGACGACGAAAGCGAAGGAATGGGAGATGGAGATAAGGCTAGAGGTATGCGGTAGACTTCGAAGATGGTCAACTGAGGGACGTGGTCATCTTTTAGTACCCGCCGCAGCGTTGTTAGTTGATCGTCTGCTACTCCAACGCATGGGCCCAGAAGGAGGACGCTGGAATGCCGGTTCAATTGGAAACAAGCCTTGTACCTTGCTACGGCTCGCACGTCTCAGGTGGCCGGCAGCGCTATTGGTTGCCGGCGGCAATCAACCAACGTTGAACGTACTTAGACCCGCCTCGATCTGGAATGTAGGCAGGGCGGGAGGCTCGTGTTGTGGTGTCAATCTAGAGCTTGCCGTGCGGCTGGTACTGGCGGCACCCGACGCTAGTATGCTGCAAAAAGTCATTGTACCGCTGCAAAAGCTTTGTAAACCCCCCCACTGACGGCTCGTATCTTGGGCAAGTATACAGCCCAGGTAGTTCCACGTACAAGCAGTGCAAGAACAGGTGACACGCGGGTGGAGCTCTGCCAATGCATGCCACGCAGAGGAAGCGATTCCCCAGCCAGGGTCAGCAGCATCGAGATTGACTCCTTGCCTCCCTCTTTGTTAAACGGCGGTGATGGCGGTCCTGAACTTCCGAAACTAGGCTGGCAGGCAGTCGGAGAGCCGTCTGCAAGGCATTTTAGGCGGCCAAAGATGGCACAGCTGAGGTGAATGCCAATCAGTGGTGGAACAATATGGTTGTGAAGATGTTGCGGCCCGGGAGGCGGGAATGTTAAGCGGGAATCCGGGCCAACGAGCCGTTTTGCATGTTAGCTGCATATCACGTTGGCCAAGTCTCCCGTTGTGCGCCACACGAGGGGTTGATTGATTATGGTTCATCGAGAATGGGACCAGACAATCGGAGCGTGGCCATCACAACGCCGTCTCGTCGGTCGGAAGTGGCCCTGCCACGAGAGCTTCATTTCCGATAACAACGAGGCCATAGTCAGGGCGTCTTTACCGTATTGTACATCTAGTGCAGGTACATTGCTTACTGGTGACCACCTCCATATCTAGTCATCATCATCATTATCCTCCTCGTCGTTGTCATCAAGGTTCATAACGAATGCTTGCATCAAGTGATCCATGACATCAACGACCTGACTTAGTCGTCAATCTACGGGCCATATCACTGCAAGAGCAACATATGAATGTATACTGTCCCTCATTTGGACCAAACCCTGTTACATATTGCTGCGAAACGCCGGTGTATTCAAGTATATCTGGGCTCGATTGAGGGCGCAAGGTTACCCCAACTTGTCAAACAAACCATGGCTTTTGCATGCGCACTGCCCACTCTTTGATGCTATCATTAAGTTGGAGCTCCGTCGTACCGGACGGGGGGGGGGGGGAATCTTACCTATGTTGCGCATACCTAGAGTTACTGCCCAGGTCAAAGCACCGAAGTACTGCCAGATTGAGCAGATCAATTTCCTACTGCGTAGTCCTTGCACAAACAACAAAAGAGACGGAAATTTTGTCCACTCGATAACATGAGTTTAATCATGTGCCGAACAGATCCATGTCAACACCTGATTTCTATATTCATCCATGGCGGAACCTCTCACCGAAACTTGTATTGATATCCGATATCCATGCTTCCGTACACCCGTGACTAGGCAACATGCCTGTGAGAACATATTGTGTCTTTCTACTCGATTGACTGGTGCCGGGCCGGCAAGCCATCGTCCTGCCAAAGCATACGAGGCAGTCAGAGCCCACACCGAGGTCTGTCTCAGAGATCGCAACATGTGCAACGCTCTACTCAGCCAAGTAGCTTTAGTCATTGAATGTGAACTTTGATCGAATTGTATGGAAGATGTTGTATGCTTTAGATGAACTTATTGGGCGGCATCATTGTTTAGTGCTCTCGTCATCAATGACCCCGTCAACGATATGTGGTTACCTTCTCTTTGCTTGACATATCCAGCTACCGTCCTCAACAATCAAATCTACCAATCCTCATCGGCTTTCCTCCCATGCATAGCTGCTTGCCTCTGCCTCAATGCTTCTGCAAGTCCACCAGCGATGCTACCGCTACTGTCTCTCGCACTCTCCATGGTACTGCCGCCGCTACCGCTGTATCCGCTATCTCTGCCAGAATCACCGTTGACGGCTTTTCTCGCAGCAGGACGTTTAGCGGGGGGAGCAGGTGGTTTGGGCTTACCGTTCGCAGGGCGAGCGGGCGGCGCTGGGGGTGGGGCGGGAGCAGATGTGCGGTCAACGACTTCCTCAAGGTAAGCAGATGGTGCCCACCCAGACGCAGATTTGTCAAGACGGGAAGCCAACCACCATCCTGTAGTGTATTTGTTAGTCACGTACTCATTACTTGGTTCCTCATTGGGTCAGAGATAACGTACCATTGCTCTCCTTCTGCGTGACCAGAATGATTTCGTCCTTTCCGAGACTTAGCTCACCGGCACTTTGGCCTGCAAAGTCATACAGTGCCTTGTACCGAGGCTCCTTTGGTTGGGCTGGTGGTGCAGCACGCGCTTGTGGCATAGGAGGAGGTGGGGGTGGTGCGCGTGCTGAACCCGCCGAAACCTCGCGTGTGTGAGAGCTGGTACCATTCGATAACGCAGCGACTGGGTGTGGGACAGGCTTGGGTTGAGATGCAGCGGGCTGTGGCACAGCTCTCGGTTGTGCTGGACGAGACGCGAGCTTTGAGGGACCTCCGCCTGGGCCACCGGGCCGTAGAAGCTTGCCCTTTGTGATGGGCTTTGCAGCGACCTGCTTACCCTTGGGGGTAGGCTTCGACACGGAGTTGGGTGGCTCTCCCGGGCCAGTGTGAATAGTACCACTCTTATACAGATCGTCTCTCGGCACTGCAGGGTCTTTGACTACCTTGACTTGAGCCGGTTTGCCAGGCTTCTTGTTGTACTCGATACTGCGGCCATGTTAGCTTTTTCTATATGCTTCTCCATATGATTAACTTACGTCTCGCCTATTCTGAGTGTCAGAGCGCCCCGCAGTACGTTGTGGAGCTGTGTGAAGAACTCAGTCTTGAACACGCAGTTGACAAGTGGATCAGGTTCCGTTGGTGAGCCTGCACCGATCGAGAACCAGTCGTCCTTGAGGGTGGAACAACTAATGAACTTGATTGCGCCCACGGGGATTGTCCTCTCGGCTTGGATCTGGACTTGACGGTTGACCATGACCTGCTTTATGAGATAAACATTCTTCTTGGTAAGCACCAGCATGCGAGCCTCTGGTTTACTCGATCGACCAAGCTTCGACACAAGCACTTCGGCTCGGCATGAGAAAGGTACCTCCTCGCTGGATGATATACCGACGGCTTGAGCAATGATCTCGCCAGGACCGCCGTGATTTCCGATGCCAAGATAGTCTCCCATAAACCTTCGAGATCCAATCAAACTGTACCTTCTCCTCTCTTTTCGGCCTTGAAGAATGGTGTGTCCTTGATCGCGCCACTCGATGAACTCTTTGCCTCCGTTGAGCTTTCGCCAGAATCGTTGTATTCGAATAGCGCATTCTGTTCGGTAACGCAGATAGTTTCTCCAAGCTCGCTGAATACGGATAGCCATGTTATGCCAGTACCGGTCGCGCATCGTCTCCAACGCAAACAGGGTCTCTGGAGTCTTGATAAACACCTTTGTCGTTCCTATTTGGTACTCTTCCGCGGGTATGTTAGTGTCCTTCAGAATCGTCTTGGCTCCAGTCTCATAGTCGCCCGTCCAAGTGTATTCTCCAGCATAGGAGCACTTTGGCGACAGCAGGAAGAATCGCTCGACAAACTTGTCAAAGGTCTGACGTGACGCAAAACCAGCTCTCCGAATTCGTACGTTTTCTTGCAGACCAAGATATTTGACCTGGTGGAGCACATTTGAGTCGTTGTATTCCTTGGGCGACTTGTTCTCATTGGGCTTAATGGTACGGATGTAGGACGGGCGGGCTTGCATCAGAGTGGTCACAAGGTCGTTGGCAGACGCCTTGATCTTGTCTCCAGCCGTTGGCGGTCGCCGTCTGTTGTCTTGGTCGACTTGGTTGGGAAAGAGTGTGTGAACGAAAGTGTTGGAACTTTGACCAAGCAGGTTCAACAGATCCTTGAGCAGCTGGTCCTTGTTCTTGTCAGTCATTCCATCAATTGCATACGACACGTCACCAGCGTAATGCTTGATGACGAACTGGCCCTGGCGAGGTTGAAAGTTGGGATTCGAGGATAGAGCGTTGAGCCTCTGGACAAAAGTCTGATCTGCAGCAGTCGGGTCTGCGTGCGCTGTCGCACAAGCATCGTTCAGGGCAGCAAAGACACCCGGTGGGCGCTTCTCCTCAATCAAGTCGCAGACAATCTTGTTGTCGAAGTATTTGATGGGTGTCCACTTGATCTGTTCTCGCTCGTACTCTTCTTGCTCAGCCTTCAATGTCAGCTGGATGAAGATTTGCTGGAGTTTCTCGTTGACATAGTTGATGCACAACTGTTCGAAGCTGTTCTTCTCGAAAATCTCAAAGCCGTAGATATCGAGAATACCAATGGAATGCGCAGTTTCCCCGCGAGCTTTCAAGGATAAATTGACACGCTCTACAATCCAGTCGAAAAGGTTGAAGTAGATGCCCTTTGCGAGCGCGTCTCGGACTGCGCCTGCTTGCGCGCAGTTCAGAGGTACGTCGTACACGGAGCCTCGTCGTCCTCCACGACTTGTTTCCATGATGCGAATTGTGAGCGCCTTGTTGACGTGCGCAGCGTCAACTTCGAGTAGGTATGCTACGAAATCCACCACAGACTGGTCCACAATGGCCGCATTGCCCTGGTCGTCTTCTCGGAAAGATACGTTTCCTAACCAGAGGATAGCTGCAAGCATTCGGAAAATGTTGTCTTGTTCCGCCTGTGGCAATCCAATAACCTTCATGGCATTGAGCGTGTCGTTGAATTCGGCGTTGTCATCGATTCCCGGGACATCGAAGCACTTTGACCGACTAGTGTACACGTAGGCTTGTGGTTGTTGCAGACCAAAGATTTCTACACGTCTTAGCGCAAACTCATTGCATTGGGTATGTGCACACCTTACCTCTGTAGTTTGCTGAAGCAGCCTTTGTGAATTGGTAGAAGATGTGGAAGTTTCGCTCGTTTGTGATCTGCCCCACCACGCGAGTCTTCTCGAGTAGGTAGTTGTTGATGTTTGCTCCGACCGGCTCTCCCTGCGCGTTGAAGTGGATCTCGAGGTACTTTCCGAAGCGCGACGAGTTGTTGTTCCTCAGTGTCTTTGCGTTTCCAAAGGATTCGAGCAGGGGGTTAGTGGCCAGCACCATGTCCTTGATCTCTTGAATGGACGAGTTGCTTCCGCCGGATACGTTTGCAATGTACTGCATGAGTCGCTTGGCGGCCTCTGTCTTTCCTGCTCCCGACTCGCCGGAGATGATGACACACTGGTTTTCTTTGTATGCGTTCATGTTGTAGTAGGCAGACTCGGCGATTGCGAAAACGTGAGGTGGAACCTGTGCTCGGTCAGCCGTGGGAGTACTGGGGAATTGTTGTCAGTATGCGCCGCACCTCGAGCCTGTTCTTGCCCTTGTATCCCTCGAGCACCTGGTCGGTGTATATGCCCACTGCCAGCTGTTAGCATCTGTCTTGTACAAGCGCAAGCGGAGTCTTCGTACAGTCGCGGAAGGGATTGACAGACACCAGTACGTGTCCGATATATGTCTGCGCCCATTGTCAGTCGGTGTGCCAGTGTGGTGATATGCGTGTGTGTATGTGAGTGTATGTGTATGCGGCGCGGGGTCGGGGCAGGCGGGTCGACGCACGTATATCTCGCCATTCTCGAATCGCTTCTTCAAGTTGTCGTTGATGGCTTCGTTTGAGATTTTACTGATCAGGGTCAGATCTGAGACTCCGACTTCCTTCTTCTTGGTCGTCTCGAAGACGGCCTTTGTTGCGAACTGGGCCTTGGGGGCAGCCCTCGCTGCGGGCTGGCCACCAACGGCCTTGCGCGCTGCGCGGTTGGTTTTCCCCTACACACCGCATGCATTAGCCGAGTGTCGTTTGTACAGAGGAGCTTTTTTGGCGAGTACCATGGTTGATGCCCGATCTCGAGCTGGGACTGGTAGCTACAGTCGGCCAGCGGTGGGGGGAGGTGTGTGTCGTACTGCGCGCGGGATACGGCAGAGATGATGTCAATAGGCGTCAAGGGCCAGAAGCTCAGAGGCAGTTTCGGAGGGTGAGGAGCGGCCGCTCAAAAGTGTGGGTGTGCTGAGTTGGCCGCGGTGATCTCGAAGACGGAGACCAACGTCAGAGAGGGACCGGCCAGGACAAGGCAAGCCTTCAATCGGGCTCGTCGGAATCGCCTCGCCCCAGCACAGCCACAGCCAATTGCCGGACGCGCAAGCACAGGGCGGCGGCGGCATAGTTGCCTTGGGTGCATTGGACTACTACGTACATATGTACGTACATACATTCACACACCCCCTTCACACCCTCACACACCACACATGCATTGCACGTACACGCTCGTTTACCTTGTGCCTGGGTGAACGGGGCCAGCACACGGTGCACTGCTCTCCATTGGGCCGCCTCGCCAGCCCTGTTGCCTGCTGTTCTCGCCCACCACTCCGCCGCGTACACATGTGGCCGCTTACGTGTCGCTCCGTCACGCCTTAGGCATCAACATTGGCTCTCTGCAATCGAATCATCATTCTTCAACACTACCAGCTGCCACCCACACCCCAACGCCCCTGGATATGCAACCCGTCGTAAAGGAGCGTCCGAATAAAGGCGAGCACTAGGCCCAGCACAACGCCAGCCCATTTCCAAATGCCCATCGTCCTTGTAAAAAATATATCCAAAAACAAAAACAAAAAAAGAACAACTCCACAACAGAGTACAACGCCGTCGCTTGCCCGCCAAAGAAGTAGTCGTTCAGTCATCATGAGAAAACATCGCCTCCAAAACGCCCGACACTCGCCCAGTCTAACCGTCTAGATTCCTCGAGTTGAGGGCCGCCCCATGAGTACATCTTGGGGTCGGCCAGGCATCCGAGCCCTCCTTGCTGGCACCATTCCACAACCACGGCGTAGATGAATTCAATCTTCGCCCGCAGCAGATTGCTTTCCGTCAGCTCCTTGTAGCTGTCTTCCTTGTCTGCTGAGCCATACAGAAGCTGTTGCAGAGAACCTCGCAGATTAGCACGGGCCTTCACATGTCTCCACGGTACGCTGCCCGTCTCCTCGAGAAGAGATGTTGCGTCAAGTGGCAGGCACAAAAAGTGTCCATATCCAGCATCTGACGAAAGAACAAGCTTAGTGTGATCGGGGAAGTTGAACTGCTAACTGTTAGTTTGGCTCGAGAAATGATTGCAAAAACAGTGCTTACCTGGAACGACCCATCGTCGAATCCCCATATTCCCACATTGCCCAGTCGCTGGTAGAACCGGACAAAGTTGACGCGCGGATCTTTCCTTAGAGGCTTCTCCTCGTCGCCAAACGTTGCGCACATGTACTTTCCAAACTTATGCCACACTGTCCGGATCTCCTCGACGCGTCGCGAATCAAGCACTTCGATTTGCGACAGTCCTCGGTCCTTCTTGACAGTCGTGTAGTAGTTCAGCGCTACGCTCTTGGCCACCTCTCGGTTGCCTCCGGCTTTCCGGAGATGATTGTATCCGTCAGTCGCAAATGCAATGGTAACCGGGTATTGCTCCTCGGCCGACAGCAGCGTTCCGATGCTGCCGTCGCTGAGGACATATCCAACTCCATATCGTCGGCTGTAGTCTACCCACTTTGCGACAAATGGCAATTGTGGTGGCTGCTCTCGCCTCGACTTGGTCGGCTTCTTGTCCAGCACTCTCTCGAGGTTGTCTCGGAATGTCATCAGACGCGCCAATACGGCTACCGGGTCCGTTGAAGGCATATCCGAGCCAATAGTACGGTAACGAGGAGCACTTCGCGAACTCGATGATTGAGACAAAGGCTCCGACTTCTCACTCTCCCTTTCCCGAGTACTCGCTTTAACAACTCGTAGTGGTGGGAGATCGGGAAGTCCTGTTGAGCTAGTCTTTGATGTTTCTTTGGTGGGTTCTTTCACCGCCCTCGAACGAGTTGACGCCCGTGCCTCACGAGGAACGCGTAATGGGGCAGGTGCCGTTGCTGTGTTTGCTGTGACGCGACCAGGATTCGATATCTTGCGAACCGCCCTGAGTCGAGTGGGTTGCTTGTCCAAAATCCGGTGTGCTTGTTCGGGTTCTTGATCTGGGTCTGTGTTCTCCTTGAGTGTCTGTACTGGTGGTTGCTCTCTCCTTGAAGCTCTGGGTACACGGGCCTTGACTCGGTCGTTGCCAGTGGTTTCCGAAAGTGCGTGACCTTCTGATGATGATTCCTTCTCCTCTGAAATCTCGCTCAGACCCCCAGGAGCTTGGTGAGGCCATTGCACGCGCGCAGGGAAAGGCACATATACAACGTCCTTGGCAAATGGAATATTGGGCTGCTTGCCAGCTTCAATCTCCTTCTGACAGTCTCGTGCAACTGTCTTGTTCGATCTGCGGCCGTACGCTCCGAACGACTTTCCAGGCTCGTATTCGCCAACGGCAGACGATTTGCAAAGCTGCCACCATTCTTCCGTGTATCCGCGTCTGATCGTCGAGGCAGTCGGTGGGCGGTTCTTGGGCCATTTTGGAATCCTCGAGGTGCAGCCGCTATCAAGCTCCAATGGGATATAGCCTAGCTTGAAAAATGGATGCGCAACGATCTGGTCGGGTGTTGGTCGCTCATCTTCGTGTACGAGCAGTAGAGAGACAATGTCACGCAGGTCGTCGGTAATTTCGTTGGCAAACTTTGCAAGATCCGGCCAGGTGTATTCGCGAGCCTTTAGCTTTCGGTAAATGTCTTCGCGCTTCGCAGCATGGAACGGCGCCCTGCCCACGGCAAGTGTGTACATCATGATTCCGATGGCCCATAGATCAACCTTCTCGTCGTGGCCCTTTCCAGTCTTCTCCAAGACTTCTGGAGCAAGGTAGTTGGGTGTGCCGCACATGGTTGTTCGACGGATCGCCCCGTAGTCGCTCTGTGACACCAATAGCGCGGCGAGGCCAAAGTCACCGACCTTGACGTTCATGTCGCGGTCAAGAAACAGGTTGCCGGTCTTGAGATCGCGATGCACGATGTTGCGCTGATGTAGGTACTTGATGGCGCCGCATGTCTGGATCATAAATCGCCGGATCTCGGGCATGGTGAAGTATTTGCGCTTCTTGATCGCATCGGCCAGCGAGCCATTCTCGGCCAGCTCGAGAACAACATAGGTGCTCGCCTCGAAGGAAAAGGCGCGGAAGAACTCGACGATGTTGGGATGGGATAGCTTCGAGTGGATCTGGAGCTCAGTCACAAACTGCAGGCGGTGTTAGCGCGGGTCGCATCTTTGCCCTCGAGGTCTGCTGCACCTTTTGCGCCAGCTTGGGAGGCTCCATTTTGGATTTGACGATTTTCAAAGCGACGGTGCTGCTGCCGAGGTGGTCGTGGCCCAGCAGCTTCGCGCGATGGCATATGGCGAAGCCACCTTTTCCAAGCTGCACTCCCGTCTCATACTGAAGGCCTTCGGGGTCCTGCACCACAGCCGGCGGGGCATCTGCGTGTATCGTTGAGGCAGACATTGGCGATGGAGTGTGAGGATGATGAAATCAAAGTCGCAGTGTTGATGGTCGTAAACACGCCGCGGCTTAGCGCCGTTGCTAGGGCCATGGGGGTACTTCCCGATCCGTGCACCACTGCACTGCAGCGTGCATAACCTTTGGCCTGATACATACATAGTACATACATGTCGCCAGAGTCTATAGCCAGTGTCAGTGCCAGATTCAAGCTAGCTGTCGTGTGACCATGTGGCTCTAGTGCATTGGATGGTGTCTTGTTGTTGCTCCGCATCGTCTGGTCGGGCCTTGTTGTTGTCCGCCGTTCTGTGGATCGGATCGATGAGGTGCGGGCGGTCGTCAGGCAACTGCAAACCCAACATTCGGCTCCGAACGATGATCAACCACCACGAGCATACATACATGACCACCAAAGGCTGTCGTCCGACTTTGGATATGTCTTCATTCCTGTAGAGCCGGCAATGAACCCCCGCTCGCTCATCAATTGCCTGTATATATCCACATACTAGGTACCCGCAGCACAGTCGTCGTGACCGAACATGTCCCTCACCCTCAAAGTCACCTCGCTGTTCGTCAGGACGCTTGCGAAGCCTGTAGCAGTATGTCCATGCGCCAGTCCGTCTCTGGAATTGCTACTCACCCCAGCTAGAATGCGATAAAACGCAATGCCCACGAGCACGAACGCTTTCGCCGAATATGCGTCAAATTTGCCCAAGGCCTGCATCGCGTCGACATGCGCATGCGCCTGGGCCTCCTTCAAGACCCCGCCGTCATCGACCGGCAGATCAAAAAGGAAGTCGCCTTGGCAGAGGCCAGACGGAAGGAGGCGGCAGCGCCCACCGTCTTGACTGAAGAGCAGACCAAGGCGGAAGAAGCTCTCTCGGAGAAGGAGCGGGAAGCAATCAGGAAGAAGGCAGAAGAAAGGGCCAAACCGCGCATTCGGCCCCTCTCCGAACAAAAGGCCATTGAGATGGGCGCAAACTTTGTTGCCGAATCCTTCATCTTCGCTGTCGGCATTGCAGTGATTCTCGTGGAGCAGTGGAGGCAAAGGAGAAAGGCCAAGAACGCCAGAGACGATATCAGGGAAGACCTAGAGGAGGTGCAGGCTGAACTGAGGGCCGTCAAAGCAGAGTTTGAGGAATTCAAAGCAAAACATCCTGAGCCCACGTCCTCCAAGCTGTTGGGCTTTTGGAAGGGCCGCGCTGAAGAGAAGGGAGCTGAGCCTGCAAAAGCCGCAAAGTCCGCGTCTACTGGCACCACAGCCACAATCGACTCACCAGTTCAGGCTGAGAGCCAAGCTACTGAACAGCAACAAGCAGACAAGACCTCGCAACCAAAAGAGTTGGGAATGCACACGCGAGAGACTTGATCTCGACGGCCTAGACCTTCTCTTAACATTTTCATACTCCCCTCTCATGATACCCTTCCGGTTGCGGACGTAGGCCTGTGTGTGTGTTGTTTAAAAAGGAGGATAGGCATTATGTATTTATATGTGATATTGCTTCTTGGAGGTCTGATTGGATTGTATCAGGGATAATCCATCAAGACAATATTGCTTGTGGATACAAGGTGTTCGTCTTCAACCAAAATTGGCGTGTATAGAGTATAGAGTCAAACTAGATGTATCAATATCAACCACTTACCTGTTGTCATTATGGAGCTTCATGTAGCTGATGGCGTCGATTAGATATTTGCACATGACACAACTAGGCTCAGGTTTACAGTTGTGACGGACCAAGAGCAGATGGAGATCGGTCGCTCTTTCCCTTGACTTACGAACTCAAGCATGGTACCCTCGTCACAATGTCAACCAGATATCTCCAACCTGTGTAAACAGACATGTGATACAACGACTACTTTCCAAGTTTAAGTTATATCCATAAATCTACTCACTGCATGTTGGACAGCTGCAAACTATATCCTGCTCGTTCAATACCTGCCAAAGTAAGCATCAATTACTATGCTAGCCATACCAATATGTACCAATAGCTAAACCATCACAGTGGCTTCATCGCACCAACCCCAATATCACCGCCATCGCTCACTGCTCTCTCCCAGCGAAGAAATCAACCCCATAACCTCAACTACACAAATTTCTCATGCCATCACCCAATCCATGAAAGCGCCCGCTCTCCCCCAGACAGACGGTGGATCCGAATACCATCCCACCCGCAACCCAAACTTTGCTCAGTCCAATCCCCCCTCGTACCCCCGCCAACAACACATGACCCAACCACCTCTTCGCGCTCGCAACATTCCAATTGTATCGTCTCTATCAATTCCACCGCCGCCGCCTCTACGCCAACAATCGCACACCACGGGAAACACAGTCCATGACCTCCTTCCTTACTGCACTACGGAGCCGCTGCTGAACGAAGCCCAAGTCATTGCTTTGAGCGATGTGGTAGGGAGTCTGAGGGAGCTTGTGCCGTTGGCGCTTGCGGCTGCGGCTGGGGATGAGAGGAGTCTGAGGAAGTTGGAGAGTACGGTCGGGAAGCGGGATGCGGTGGGTCTTGTAGAGTTTTTTGTGGATGAGTGGGAGATTGAGGGGTAAGGATGTGGTGGGAATGTATGGAAGTTACCTGGTCATGAGAACATGTGGTATAAGTCTGCGTTCTGTCTGTAAGTGAGATGTTAAAGAGAGATTAACGAATCCTACACATTAGTTACTCAAAAGACAAAACGTAAAGAAGAATGTTAACGAATGATATTTTTGCTAAACGATGGGATATCAAACAAGCACTTTCGCTATACTATCCTCCCAAAGCACCCTCATCTCCCCAATCATTACCACCAAAACCACATCACCTCCATCCCATCCCATTTCCCTCCTCTTCACCCCATCTAACCCGACCCAAGACTCGTAACATTAATCCCCACAGCCGCAAGCGCCGGCCCAACATTCAAATCCAGATTAATAACATTACTCTTAATCGCATCTTCATAATACACCAGATGCTCTCCATTCCTGACGCTCGAATTGCCGGAAATCTGGAGGGGTAGGACTGCGTTCTTGTACTTTGACTGGATAAGGCCGAGGATGGAGAGCTGGTCGACGTGGCTTTGGAGGGGGAAGGTGTTGGGGCCGGGCTTAAGGAGGACGTTGGGGATGAGGCAGTAGCCGATGGGCTTGCCGTCGACGCCCAGGTTCATGGTTACGTTGCCGAGGTCGAGGGTCATGACTGAGGGGTTGGGGATGCTGACTTGGGCGATGAGGTTGGATTTGTCGGCGAGGAGTTTGTCGCCAGAGAGGATGCTGACGTCGGTGATGTTGAGGCCGGCGAGGCGGTTGAGACCTGAGGGGTTTATGTTAGTTTTCGTTCCTGTGGTGAGGAACATATATTACGTACCCTTCATTGTAACAATCTTGTTGTAGTTGACGTCCATGGTGGGAAGGCCACTGAGGTGGATGTTGGTTTTACCGTCGAGATGGATTGAGAATTCCTCGCTGCCTAGGACGAGCTTGGTGTAGTTTGAAAAGGCATCTTTGTTTGCGAGCTTCAGTTCCTGGTCAACGGTGACGGGTGTCTCTGCCTCGGATTTAACCTCGGGAATGTCGATGTACAAGAAGGGTGTTTGTCCTGCAATTGATAGAGCAGCGCGGAAACCATCGATCTTGGGGTGATAACTGCTGTCACTCCTGATGACCGAGTCGAGCTTCAGGTGGATACTATCTGAGTGGGGATTGGTGACTTCTTGAGAGAGAACCTCTATTGTCGAAGCGTTGATCTCGCGTTGTGCTCTCTTTGGTATAGCAACGTAAATGATTGGCAACACAATGATCAACACGATGATCGCAAATACCAGAAGATCTACCACATGTCAGAACAAATCGCGGGTTAAAGTCATCCTCGGATATCAGCTCACCGCACCACCAGAATTTTCTGCAATGGTTCTTCATGCGTCCTTTGACGCCTGGCTTCTCGCCTGGTGGATAGAGTTTGTTCATCACACCACCTCTATTCTGGGGCGTAGTGTATACACCATCTGTGCGCGTCGATCCTCCTTTGTCGTCCATCTTGATGTTTCCTCTATGGTGTGCAGGTGTACTTCGAGGAACAAGTCGATTGTTATGGGCCCTCGCGTACGAGGGTACGTGATAGATGGCCAAACTTTGCAGCTATACAACAAGCGCAGAGTCGAGCCGGTATTAAATAGAACAAGAGTGTCTTTACCAAGACGATCTAATCATCTAAGCAAATGGCAATGGAATGCGGGGAAAGCGAATCGCAAAGACGTCGTGGCTGAGAGAGCGATGGAAAGACTTGCACATGCTCAGCATGAACCGAGAACCCCTCTCATGCGAGGTTGTAATTGGCGATGAACCAACAATAAGGCATGCCGGAGCAATGTCAAAAAGGGTACGATCCGTAACGGGCCACATAATGGCTTCACGAAGAGGACGGGTGGTCCGAGAGTAGCCCTATGTGGTGACACTCCGAGATGTGTGCCACCCGCCCATAGGCAACGGCAGCCCCGGCAAGACAGGCTTGTCAAGGCGGACGGTCGATTGGCGCATGGTTTTTTTTACTATTTGTTTTCCAATTGTAAGCGGCGCGTGGGTCGCACACAGCTGAAAAGACTCGTGGTTGGTGGCACGAGCGGAGACTAAGAGATCTCAAGTGGTCCTTGGCCTTGAGTAGTGGGTCGACTGAATACCTAGAAAATTGCAAGATGCTTGAGCAGAGTGGCACGCGAACACTGGAGCAAGCCGTGGGTGGACCGGAGGGTGAGGGAACAATATCTACCCCGGACTAAATTGTGACGGTCTTTTCTAGTTGCAGTTAGTGGTTGAGAGGCCCCTAACAAAGATGGCCAATGTCAGCAGTGACTGGCCGGCCGTCGATCTGTATTCGGATGCAGCGCCTCGTTTTCGCACAAAAGGACACATCCCAACCGAGCAGGTAACATACTATTCTGAAGAAACTATTGCTCAGTAGAGGGGGATCGACATCCCTGCGGATTCACATGCAATGTTTAGATCCGTAATTAAGGGACTCTGTGCTGCGACACCTCAGAACCCGTAGCTGTCAACATGTCGGGCCGCGACATTTGCGCTGTAACGAGTGATAGGGTTCAATGGGACTGTTGGGCGCTGATTCGTCTGCAAAAAGGTGGTAGATGATAGTTTTGTCACGGTCGAGTCGTGTTTCGCAACGGTGATGCTTGTCGCGTGCACATCCTCAGCTCAAAAGCTAGAACAAGGCTTGTCAAAGGATCATCCATCCCATGTCATGCGGGTGGCGTTGATTGCTGTTCCTGGCTGCTGGAACCCTATTGTTTTCTTTTGCTGACACCGGCTATACTATATGAATGTAGTACGTCGGAAGTTACACTCCTAGTCTATGCCGCTCTGACCGCCTCACATGCCCTGGCAACACAGTTTCGGGCTCTGCCTTTGAATTGTGTGACGAAGCAAAGGCAGTCAAGTTCCATAGCACTAGAAGACGTGTCGTCCAGACAGAAAAGTCTGGGGGATCGCCCCGCCGTGGCATGCGCCAAGCGACGCTACTTTTGGTGGGTCTCTGGTACGGTTATTTCGGAGTTGACTCGCGACTCTGCCAAAAACATCTTCGCTCACATCCCACATCCTGCATCTTGGCACGACGACCATGGCGCAGTCAGACGACGAGGATGATTACATGAACATGGTGTTTGACGATGCGCCGAAAGGTCCAAAGTATGAAACGTCATTGCAGCGCGCCGCGCGCAAGCGCAAAGAGGTACGTCATTCCACTTGCACACTGCAGCGCCGGGCTAACCACCAACCAGGGCGAAGCCAGAGCACGACAGAAAACAAAGGCTGAACGTGAAGAAGAAGCCGAAGCTGCCCGAGAAGCTGCCCTAGCCACTGCTCTCCCTGAGACAAATAAGGGATTCAAGATGATGGCCAAATTCGGTTTCAAGCAAGGCGATGCGTTGGGAAAGTCGGGTGACGCGCGAAAAGAACCGATACGAGTCAACATGAAAGATGATCGAGGAGGAATTGGCCTCGAGTCAGAGAAGAAGCGCAAGTTCAGAGAGCAATTCGAGGAGGCCGACCGACTCGCGAAACGCGCAAAGGAAGAGGAGGGCGATTACCTCGAGGTGATGCGACAGGAGCAAAAAGAGAAGAAGGCCGAAAGAGACTTGGATAACGCGCAGAGGACAGCCGAGCGACTAGCGGACAGAGAGGCAGAAGCCAAAGGTGCCAGCGACACGAGTGAGAAGCCGCTCAAGGATATCAATGTCCTTTGGCGGGCGCGAGCACGACGAAGAGTCGAGGCAAAGCGCGATAAGCAGCAGCGGCGAGAACTGAATAACAGCATTGCGTCACGACTACCCACATTAGCTCCTGAGGATGAAGACGACGACTCCAAGATTGCTCAGGGTAAGGACCTAGCGCCTTTCTACACGACTCTTGAAAATGAGCTAGAGGATGAAGATCCGGAACTTGCCGAATTTGAGGCCTTGCCTGTGGCAGAGCGTCTTGAAAAGTTGCTGCTTTTCCTTCGTGACAAGTACCACTACTGTCTCTATTGCGGGTATGAGTATTCAGACCCAGAGATGGACGGATGCCCTGGAGTGACTGAGGAAGATCACGACTAAGTAAACTATGGGGTTTAAGCTCTTTACATATAACCAGAGCTCAAAGGTATGAAAACAGAGTGCATCTCGTTCAGCCCGTAGGCAACGACAGCGACGCAGTGCGCCAGTGATCTGTTGAGCATCGAATGCTTTGTGCAGCAGCAGATGCTCTCAGTACACTCTAGGTCAGAGTGGAAAACGCTCGAGTGACCAGTGATTAAGACATTGTTTATCCAACAATGGCTTCTAGTCCATGCAGATTGTCTAAGTTACTCACATTGAGCAGACAACCTCAATTGATGGACAGAAACTACCAAGTATGCATAACAAGAGCATAGCAAGTGCCATGACAGTGATGGTTCAAGGCGACGCTGTATGCTGTTGCATTGGCTAAATGTGTCGTAGTGGACCATGTTGGAACGCCGTCAACGTAGACCCCTGAATAGCACAATATCAGCTCCTATCTTCAATTCTCCTTCTAGTTTCTCTTCGGTATAGCACATGTGTACTAAATCTGTCTTCTTTGTCTTTCGTACAGCAAGGCGTTTCCAATGAGCTTTGACCATTTATTACTAGTCTCAAGTCCCGTGCTCACGCGCTTCGCGATTGTCGCGCTTTCCCGACTCAGCCCCTAGCCATTCACTGTCAGCAACATCAACAAGCCAGGAAAACCCCGTGACTGCAACCAAACACAACATGGAGCATCAAAGATGTTACATATATGAGCCCCCGCCGACGCAAGATCGGGCACCCAAGCGACAACGGACGAGCAAATTCAATCCACAGGCGCAGCTGCCAGAACGGCTAGCAACGTACCGACGTCTATGGACAGAACAAGAAGAGCGCATCCAAGTAAGACGACAGTTGTTAACCATTCCTCTGCCGGCGTATCTGACAAAAATAAAAGAATACACTTGAAGGCGCCGACAGCGCGACCCAAGAAAAGATTGCCAATTTCATCTCCACAGCAAGTTCATCTCCCGATGAGGCCAAATTCGCCATACCAACGGCGCTCATTGTTGCTGGGCCCAGTATCGCATCTCACGGACCATTTTTTGAACGTCTTGGCCGAAGAGTCAGAGACGAGAACAGCGCCTACGTTGTACTAACCTCGAGTGAATGCCCAAACCTCAAGACGCTGCTGAAGAATCTTATCAAAAAGGTGACTTTGCGCGTGGACGATGATGATGAAGATGATGTAAATCGGCCGTCTGCATCGTCGAGGTATGGTCCGAAGCTGCTCAATTACGACCTTGCTCATGTCCAGGAATGGCATAAGAAAACGCGGACTTCGAGTATTGTGATTGCTTTGCAGGATAGCGAAGCTTTTGATGTTGGGTTGCTTGTGGACATGGTTGACCTCCTGCAGTAAGTGAGGCCCGCTCTTTCAGCCAGTTTTACTGACTCCTGTAGCTCATGGATTGATCGTCTTCCCTTTGTGCTCCTTTTTGGTATTGCGACTTCTGCAGAGAGCTTTGAGGAACGCCTATCAGGCAACTCGCTACGCTATCTTGAAGGCCAGAAGTTTGATGTCACACAGTCAGACGAGATTATTGAAAAGCTTTTCCGTGCAACTGTTGCCAGCACGGATGTTGGTCTGCATATTGGACCTACCATCTGTCGTCGCATGCTTGACCGACAGAAAGATCATGTGCAGAACACGCAAGATTTCTGCGATGGACTCAAGTACGCTTACATGTCACACTTCTACGCCAGTGTGCCTAGTATATTTCTCACTGACGATCTTGCTTTCGATGACTTGACGGCAGATGCGTTCAAGGCTGTACGCAACTTGCCGTCTTTCCGGCAACGGGTAGAGGATATGCTGGAAAATGGACGCACGCAAGATGTGCGGAGAATGCTTGAAGACGACGAGTATCTCTTTAACGAAATCACACAGAGCTTAAAATCCGGTCAACAAGCCATGGCTACACTGAGCCACGCTACAAAGGTCGTGGCAAGCATGCGCGAATCACTGCAACTATCACCCAACGTCCGGCTTTCGACTCTCTGGACCCGCGCCGCGGCCGGCGAGCTAGCTGCATCACCTCTGATACGTGAGACAATGCTGTCCATCAAGAAGATCCCATCAGATAAACTGGTGCAGCTGCTTACTTCACTACGAGATCTCGTAGGCACCTACTTCACCATGGACATACTTTCCCCCGAGCAAAAACTGCAAAGCCTCCTCGAGACCGCCGACGCGCCTCTCCGCACCCAACACGATGTCCGCAACGATAGTCTCCGTACCACGGTTGTCGCGCAAAAAGTGCTATTGAGCAAGCACAAAGCCGCATTGTCGGAACAAGATAAAGCATATTCGGATCTCGTAACGCAGTTCCACGATGAGCTCGAAGTGTACTTGAGTGCTTCGTTTATTGATCCCAAGACGCTATTTCTCGCAGAGGTCCTGGTGTACGATCTCAAGTCCCCGCATATGGAGGTGTTCCAGCCGAAACCCCGGTTCGCAGTTGAACGTGCACTGGCGTCTCCGCATGACTATCTGGGCTGCGAGTGCTGCAGCGGTGTAGATGGTAATGCGGCAGCACTTTCGGTGACACAACCGGCGACGGCGATTGTGTATCAGATGTACCTTGAATCTGGAACGTTGATCAACGTGAGCGATTTGTGGTCTGCATTTAATGCCATTGCGGGGGATGGAGTGGAGGAGAATGAGGCAAAGACTATGTCAGTTTTCTTTCTTTCTTTTTTGTTGCTGTTTACGAAGATTGATGCTAATATGTATGTTTATAGGGCACTATTCCAACGAGCATTGGCTGAACTTAGATATCTGGGATTGGTCAAACCCAGTCGAAAGAAGACGGATCATATATCCAAAATCATGTGGAAAGGCCTGTAATTTACATTTCCAACCAAAAAAAAAGAGTTTTACTTTTTTTTCTCACATACTCATATATTCACATACACATATTCCATGCCAAACCTCTTCTTCACTCCTTGGGCTTAGGCGCAGTATCACACACCGTGCCACAATTCTTACACGTCCTCTTGCCCACATCCGCCTTGAACGCATTCACCGCCTCCTTAATCTGCGTGCCCAAATCCGTACAGTGAAAAGCGTCCTCATACACCATCCCGGCACACGCCTGACAATACCACCTCAATCGATCCAAACTCCCCTCTGGCCTCTTCTGCTCCAGCACCACACCCACCGTATCCTTGAACCTCACGGGGTTATGCGGCGTGTTTGGCGGTAAAAGAAACATGTCGCCCTCGTGAATATGGATGTCGCGGAATTGCTGGCTGGGAGGTTGTGACTCGTCGACGATTTTGAGGAGCATGGAGCCTTTGTATTGGTAGAACCATTCTGGTGTTTCGTTGATGTGGTAGTCTGTGCGTTGGTTGGGGCCGCCGACGATCATGACGGTTACGGTGTCGTTGTAGACGCAGTAGTTGTTTATGGGGGGTTTGAGCATGTGGGCGTTTTCCGAGACCCTGTATCATTACCGAGGACTGGTTAGTGGGTTGTTTGTAGTGTGAAGCCGGGGCTGGGCGGGTAGGTTAGGTACCATTTTGGAATGTTCAAGGGTGGGCCGATTGGGGTGCTGGGGGTGGAGGAGATGGGTCGTGATGCGCTTGGTGTGGAGTGTTGTATGCGCGGTATAGATTGGGATATGCGCGGTATGTGTTGCGATGTGGTTTGGATGAGGCCGGCAGCTGGTCTCAAGGACCGCATTGTCGTTGCCATTGTGAACGTTGCGCGCGCAGTCGAATATGGGATTTTTTTTTTCTTTTCTGTATACCAAAGAGTGCCGTGGAGGTCCGGAACGGTGGAGATGTTGTCGCTTGCGAGTCCAAGCGTAGGTCGAGGTCTTGGATACAAAAGTCTAGAGTCGAGTCGAGTCGTTGGTAGGGTCTCTACAATGTGGGGCGTGAGCTTATCGATGGGCCCCGCTTTTACCGCGGGCTTGTGCATTGATCACTGGTGCGACGCGTGCGTGCTCACTCTAAACTCCCTCAAACCGCCGCACGTCTCGTGACAGGTCAGCAGCATTAGCTTCCACGCTTCCTTCTCTCCTTCTATCACCTTTGCGGGACCCTGTTTTTCCCTTTATACACACGATAGAATCTTTGGCATATTTCTTTTACTACTACTACTGTATTTGCAGCTCACGATGGACCACTCACACATGGATCACGGCCATATGGACCACGGCCACATGGACCACGGCATGCCTGGCATGGGGGGCGACGGACCAAAGTGTAACATGAATGTACGACAACTAGCCGCCCCTTTCACATCTGACTGGCTATGGACGCGCATTGGTCGCTATTCTACTTATACTGAACGTTGTTAAAAACAAACCAATAGATGCTGTTTACCTGGGACACGACCGACCTCTGCATCGTCTTTCCCTCATGGCACATTTCAGGCACAGGATCTCTCATCTTCTCACTGCTGGCCGTGGTGCTTCTCACGGCGGGATACGAAGCTATACGGGAGATGTCGAGGCGATATGAAAGCTATGCAAAGGGCCTTTTGGAGGGACCACGAGGTGAGTCTACATGTCATTTTCTTGTGGATCAATGGGGACCATAAACAGGCCATCTCTGGCACCTTTTGGCCGTGCAAGGGTCAATTGTCACACAGTGTGTTGTTTGTGTGGATTACCCAATGTGCACGACGCAAGCGTGGAAGTCGGAGACTAGGGAGGTCTCTTTTCTTCAACTTCCCTGACCTGAGTGGGAACCCTTGCTGAGTATTTTTGCGCGCGCCACAAAGAAGACGGCGAACGAACAGATGAATCGAGCTCATTACTTGGCCCAGGGAGAAATGGAAACGCTGGGCGTGGAACGGTGCAGCAGGTCAAGATGATCAAGGCTGCCCTGTATGCTGTGCAGGTGTTTTACTCGTTTTTCATCATGTAAGTGTATGGATGGGGGCAGTGGTGGGATGCTTGTGCTGACTGGCTGCAGGTTGTTGTTCATGACATACAACGGATGGATCATGCTTGCCGTGGCCGTGGGTGCGTTTGTCGGATACATCATGTTCAGCGAGTCTTCGGCGACCAAGTCGGTTGCGTGTCACTGAGCGAGGCTTTTGAGGCAGTGGCTATTGACGGAATATGGACGAAAGTCGGTCAGATGGATGGTGTTCTCTGTGGTCGAGACCAGCAGGCATGTTATTGCTGGTTCCTGCAATATCCGGGCAAGACGAGTGCACGGCACCAATGACATGGGCTGGAGAATCACGCAGTGTCAGCAGCGGTGCAATGGGATAGTTTATTAGACGGACGGATTACTAGAGCAATTGCAAAGTCTATGATGAGAATACTCGCGGTCCGTGTCTAGAGGGTCTTTTGTCATGTGCAGAGTTGGATGCTTGACTGGAAGAGGTAAGCCGATGGAACGCTAAGAGTGCACGACATGGACTCAGGAACACGCAGACGCCGCATCCAGAGAAGTTCGCATTAGAATTAGGGCGAGCTGGAGAAAGAAGGGAAAAGTCGGTATGGGAAGAGAGTGGAGTGGTGGAATCCAAAGACGGCAATGTGGCCCGCTGGTTGTCGTGGGAATGGCACGAGCAAAGGCCGACCGGGCTATGACGGCGTTGCGGGGACAGTTGCCAAAATGAGCATCGTGAGATTCGGGGGGTAAAGTAGTAGCGGTTCATTGCAAGGGAAAATGATGAGGGTGACACACGGCAAGAAGTACGCATGCGTGTGGTGAGTCTACATACTACAGTCGGCCAGACATGAGATGACGCTGCATGTGTCGTGGGCAGCCAGCCTTCACATGCAAGCAGCAGGCTGGGCGGTTCCGACGCGTGACTTGCCCCAGGTTTCGCTGATACAAGCCCGCAGCCGTGTTCCTCGGCCTTGCCAGACTGAGGAGACGCGCTGGGCCGGGGCGAACCCACCAACCACACCGCCCGCCCGTCTGTCATGTGGGTGCTGACCACGATCCACAGCACCTTCACATGCCACACGAGCACGGAGGCCAACCACGGGCTCGACTTGGTTAGCATCGCATCGCCATGCGTATGCGCAACTGTTGCGATGCTGAGGCTCGCGCTTGGACATTGTCTGTACAAACACGCGCCGCCTCATTGGCCCCGCAGCCATGGACCGGGGCATGCGGGTTAGCGTATTATCCACTTCCGAGGCACAAGTTGCATGCATACAAAGCAGAAGCCGCTCCCCCAGACTTTTCCTCTGCTCTCCTGTTCTCCACACTCTCCTCATCTTCTCTCCTTCTCCTTGTCTTCATCTGCATCCTCCATCATCATGCCCGAGAGAGTCATTGTCGTCGGTGCTGGCCGTATGCATTCCCGCTCATCTCGCTGCTATGATGCGCATGACTGACTGACATGACCTGCAGTATCCGGCTTGAGCGCCGCCCACACCATCTACCTTGCTGGAGGCAATGTAGTCCTTCTCGACAAGAACAGTAAGTTTTGCCCAAAGCTGCGCTTAATACCTCAAGAGCGCCGCCCATGCTGACCTTGGCGCAGACTTCATGGGAGGCAACTCCACAAAGGCCACATCCGGAATCAACGGTGCCCTTACCAGGACGCAGGTTGATGCAAAGATTGGCGATAGCGTCAAGCAGTTCTACGATGACACTCTCAAGTCGGCCCGCGACAAGGCCCGTCCAGACTTGATCAAGGTCCTCACCTACAAGTCGGCCGCTGCCGTCGAGTGGCTGATGGACGTCTTCAACCTCGACCTGACTCTGGTCTCGCGCTTGGGGTGTGTTTTCCTCTGACACTCCAGCTCTGACATGCGCATACTGACAAGCTCCCCAGCGGTCACTCCCAGCCCCGAACCCACCGTGGCCACGACGCAAAGTTCCCCGGTATGGCCATCACATATGCTCTAATGCAGCGATTCGAAGAGCTTGCCGAGCAAGAGCCCGAGCGTGTTCAGCTGGTTAAGAAGGCCAAGGTCACCAAGGTCAACACCGAGGGCAACCGCGCCACCGGTGTCACATATACCTTCAACGGCGAGGAGACCACGCTCGAGGGTCCCGTCATCCTGGCCACTGGTGGTTACGCCGCCGACTTCACAGAAGACTCCCTTCTCAAGAAGTGGAGGCCAGACACCTACGACCTCTCCACCACCAACGGCGCCCACGCCACTGGTGACGGACACAAGATGCTCATGAAGATTGGTGCCAATGGCATTGACATGGACAAGGTCCAGGTTCACCCCACTGGTCTGGTTGACCCCAAGGATCCCACCGCCAAGACCAAATTCCTGGCTGCCGAAGGTACGTTCACACACCATTATCCTTGCCAAGCATGCGCTGACATCATCTAGCTCTCCGTGGTGAGGGCGGTATCCTTCTCAACAACAAGGGCAAGCGCTTCTGCGACGACCTCGGTCACCGTGACTACGTCTCTGGCATGATGTGGGGCGAGAAGGAGAAGGGCAACTGGCCCATCCGCCTCGTTCTCAACTCCAAGGCATCCAACATCCTTGACTTCCACACCAGGCATTACTCTGGCCGTGGCCTGATGAAGAAGATGTCCGGCAAGGAGCTGGCCAAGGAGATTGGTGTGAGCGAGAAGGAGCTCCAGGCCGAGTTCCAGAGCTACAACTCGATTGCCAAGGGCGAGAAGAAGGACGAGTGGAACAAGAAGTACTTCCACAACCTGCCCTTTGACATCAACGACACCTTCCACGTTGCCCAGATGGAGCCTGTGCTCCACTTCACCATGGGTGGTATTGAGATCAACGACCAGGCCCAGTGCTTGAACTCCAACGGCGAGCCATTCGAGGGTCTGTACGTCTGCGGTGAGCTTGCTGGTGGTGTGCACGGCGCCAACCGTCTCGGTGGCTCATCACTTCTCGGCTGCGTTGTCTACGGTCGCGTGGCAGGAGAGTCTGCATCCAAGTACCTCTTCCAACAGGCGCTCAACAAGGCCGGTGGTGCTGCAGTATCTCGTCTCGGTCAAATCTCGCTCCACATTGACCCGTCGCAGCCCGGCAAGGTCTCTGTAGAGTGGGGTAACGGCGTTCAGACTAGTGTCAGCTCGGCAGACCCCGTTGCACAACAGAAGCAGGTGTCGGCGGCACCTGTCCTGTCCAGCAAGGCCGACTCGAGCGACCCTGGCAAGGTTTCCAAGCCCAATGCGCCTCAAAAGTTCACCATCCCTGACAAGGAGTTTACTCTCGAGGAGGTTGCCAAACACAACAAGAAGGACGATCTGTGGATTGCCGTAAAGGGCATTGTCATGGACGTCACCAACTGGACGGACGAGCACCCAGGCGGCCCCCAGGCGCTCTTTAGCCACATGGGCAAAGACGCTTCGGAGGAGTTTGAGATGCTGCACGACGATGAGGTTATTCCCAAGTATGCGCCCGAAATTGTTATTGGACGCGTCAAGGGTCAAAAGGTTACTCTGGAATACTAGAGGTTGGATTACATAATGTCTGTACTTATAGCCTGTTGTTTTGAAATGATATCATTTGCCTGTTCATAAACGTCTTGAATTGCTAGAGCATGAAGAAATATACTGTTGAATGTGCGTGCATAGTGAAATCTAGGTGTAGGCCGCATAGAGGCTGCCCGCGGTACCGCAAGCTGGCCCTTGGACCCTAGCTGCAATTTCCCCAGACCCAGACCACGATTGCCACACATGAGTTGCCCCCCCTTGAGCATTTCCCAAGCACAATGACTACCACTGCGTAGCCACTTTTTGCACACTCACACCCTTTTGGTTCAAAGATGCTGCGCCAGTCGTTCCTCTTCTTTTCCATTAGACAATGACGACATATGACGAGTATGGCGTTCCCGTCGGCGCATACTCTGAGCCAGAGAGTTTGACATACCAAGCCTGGAGGCTTGCCCGAGCATTCTACTTGTACCGGATACGCCCTGCTGTGCAGGGGAGGCGGGATGCCCTAC